AAGGATGCACTGTTGAACTGGCACCTGAACATGCAACTGTAGCTAATTTGCATCAGCAAAAACTAAGCCACATGCAATATCGATTTTCCTCTGAAAACAGATTTCTGTAAGACTTTCTTTTTTTTGTTACAGATCAGCTTTGAATGAGAAAGGCGCGTGAAAAACCAAATATGTAGAGCTCCAATGTCTGCATTACCTGGTGACGATCTGCCCACACTTTTCGAGCACGTCCTCTGCGGGCAAAGTAAAGGCCGATCTCCTTTCCTCGCAGACCTTCAGGAATGTGGGAGGGTCTTTTACCCTTGCCAGAACCACCTAGGTCAGAGAGACAAAAGAATTCAAATTAGCATATTTAAGCAGCAGATTAACATATTTAAGCAGCAGAATGACCTATGCACACTTTGCATTTGTTTTTCTATCTTCATACCGAGGTTTTCTGCACCAAAACAGAGACAATTACGAGGCATGTTTTATACCCCTGTCACACTGGAGGAGTTAATGTCGTTAGGTTAAAAAGCCATTCGGTGCAACGAATGTCCTTCGATCCGTGGTGGTAATACACAAGAAAAAGTAATGCCATTCGTTCGTAATGTCAATGTCGATAACTCGGAGAAAAAAGAATGGCTGGAAAAGTTGAAGAAAATAAAGGTAAGGTGGTAGAAAAGTAAAGTTTTTTATTGTAAGAGACATGTAAAAAGCTACATTCCTAAATAAGCATGCATAGATATTTCATATCGCTGAATATATGACCACTATAAGCCAAGATGACATTCAGCCAATAGCCACAACAGATAAAATGAACACAAGCAACACGGCTGACATGGCAAAGCCGGGGAATAATGACACTAAGCTGCAGCAAGTAAAGCATTTAGTTGCTTCATTCCTGGTGTTGCAAGAAATATGCATAAGCCAGAAAAGACTTGGTAGTGAGATAAAAAAAGTCAGCAACCCTGATGTAGTTGCTACAGATACATGCATACACGTGCACAGAGGCATCTGCTTGTTTACATTATGGCCATAAGTGCCGGCATCCAGAGGCTGCTGAGGTAGAGAGTAGAGAGAGAGGCTGAGGCAGAGAGTAAAAAAATGACTGCAGTTTCCCGAGTGGGAACACTAGTTAGCATGCGGAGCGTATATTTTGAACTGCGATAAATGTGGTTTGTAATTTGCCACATGTGTGTGTGTTAAGAGTGAACACGAGTGAACACGCACGCATGTATGCTGCGAAAGACAATGTTTATTGATGAGACGCTTTGGGTATTTTCAGCAAGATGGCTTTATGGTCCGTAAAGTGAAGGGTGAGTAGGTCTGGTTGCAGCGGTCGAAGGTCAAAATTTGCAAAGACGTGGTCGATGCAGGTACCGCGAACCATGGTCGGATCATGTTGAAACGATGTCGGATGATGAAACGAGCAACGCGCCATCGCGCGCTGCTCGTTTCATCATCCGAGTGCTGCGACTCCATGTAGTTGACCAACCAATCGTCCTTCATGTTGTCGACGTTGAAGTCGCCAAATACCATGAAGGATTGTCGTTGCGGTCGTTATTTCAGGTATTCTTCCACGGCTTCGTCGAAGTACTTCTCCACGGCGGCACGCAATAGGTTGGGCGCGAGGTACATCGACCTGACGTCGACTCCGCAGACACTAGCGGCGCAGTGCTCGCCGTTGGCGCGTTGTTGAGCGCCGGGCCGCAGTTGGAGGTCTTCGATGGAGTCGCCGCTCGATGCCGACGTTTGCATTCCGCATCGCGAGCTCTTCGCAGCGTGGCCTTGTCCACGGACGAAGTGTCTTCGGGATTGCTTGCGGTTCCGCCAACACATTGACTGACGCTATAGTAAGGGACGTCAGTAAGTGTGTTTGCGGATTCGTTAGCATACATTTTCACCAGTGACATCGGACGTGGAGCGACTGCACAAACCAACTGACGAAGGGCGGCGCGCCCCGACACTGTTATTTACAGCGAGTGCCGGCCCCGGCCTGCACATGCGCGCATTGGCATACAGCTGGCGCACGTAAAGCTAAAGGTCGCGCAGCGCAGAGGGGAGAAGCGAGCGCAGCGTACGCTGTGTTGAGAGGAAGAAGGGATGCACAGATGGCTGGCGGAGGATTAGGGGAGGCTGCGGACGGCGACGGCACATGACTAGCCCCTAGTATAACGTGCTCCGCATGTAAAACATTTTGTGACAGTCTTCGGTATACACCTGTCCTTGTTAAATTTAGAAATGCCTTAGAAGAGCAACATTAACAGCGTGTTTTTCATGAATGCAGGTCTGATATAGAATACCAAATGCCACCTCTTAAGTAGTCTCCGGGGTGGAGGGCATCCATTCAGTTCGACTGCGATGGTGAATGTGTTTCTGGAACTCATTCAATTGCTTAAGTCGTTCAATTGTAATGACATTATATATCACTGAGTAGCAGCCCCATAACGTCATTAGATGTGAATCTCATTGCATTTACATGACATTAAAATGTCTACTGTGACAGGGGTACTCCAAAGTAATTTTGATTCCCTGGAGTTCTCTCACAAGCATTTAAGAAACGTGTCAGAACAGAATGATAACGCAACGAAAACATTACCTACTATTTCACTCCAGTGCAAAACCAAATGTTTATCAGTTCTCAGTTCAAGGCAGTCTAGTATAACAACCCGGGTCATGCAACGTGAGTATTAATGCATATCTTGGAAAGGAATTCAAAAGTAAAGATGCATTCAAATTTATGAAAAACGAGAAAAGTAGCTAACAAAGCTGCTGATATTAATGCAAGTGAACACTGTTGTGCCAGTCACATAAGCCAGAGTAAAGAGGGCCTTCTCAGCACTGAACTTTGTTTTGACAGAAAAGTAATCTTGCACATCAGAGGCTACACTAGGTGACACGCTGATTCTGAGATTGTGCCCACCCCTTTGATGCAAAGCATTGAGCCTACTTCGGGAATTCCTAATTCAGTTATGAGAAAATTAAATATGGTGTTTTTATCGTGACTTCGATAAGAAATGTTTGCATACGAATACAAATGGTTATAAACTGTTATGGCATTTTTTTTTTTAACTCTAGGGTACAGAAGCAGAAAGAAACATTTTTTTTGGTGTGCCGAAACGAAACGAAAAACTGTAACTAAAAACATTGCTCGACACCCTGCACCCGAGTCTGTGCATCGGTGTTTTTGCATTTCATCAAACTGAAAATGCCTTTACCATAGCTGGTAATTGGGTCCCTGCCCTACCGTGGGGCAGGTATCAAAGATACCATTGTCACAATGGTATCTTCCAACATGAAAAACACTCACCTCTGCTTGAGCCTGACCCTCTGCCCCATCCCCTCCCATGCCGTCCTCCACGTCTCTCATGAAATGACATATTTACAGGCACTGCAAATGAGACAGAGATGGAGTGTGACCAAGGGCTCTAATTAGGCACATCGTTTAACAAACAGTGCACTAGAGAGGTAAACAGGCGAATGAGTTACAAAAAGAAAAGAGCCCTGGTAACAGAAAACCGCATTAAGATCTTATTAAGCATGAAAGAAATTTACACAAAATGCGATTGGTTGAAAGATGGATGGAGAGAGGCACCTAAGTACATTTTTCAGCGCATGAAATTTAAGATTCACACCAAATATGTAAACGGGCAGGTGATTTATCAAGAAATGGCCCTAGTAGCAGAATACGTCAGCTTTTATTAAATAAATACAAAACGAAACCACCACTGTTACAAATTTCTTACAAGAATCTAAAAGAATAGAATGCTAAAAATGAGTAACTTCAGTTGTTTTATGTATATTTTTTTCTTTTTTGTATGTTTATTATGTTTTCTTTTGAAGGTTTTTTTTTAGAAATTTAACACATATTTATTATTACCTATATTACCTAATTAATCCAACCCTCTCTTTCAAGAAGTGAATTAATTTAAAAAGCAAGGCACCGTCCCATTCATGGCCTATCCCCCTAGGTGGGTTGCGCCAAGGTGTTGAGGAACCAACCAACCAACCAACCAACCAACCAACCCGAAAGCACGTCTTGCGTTGTAAACAGTAAGATGCATATTTTTTACCCCCTAATGCTATCCTCACAAACGTATTATTACAAATGTCCATCCTACTAATAACCACATTGTGAATACTTATCAAGAGTCTCGAAGTGTTTCTTGGACCATGAAAATTACTCGTGCTAAGATTTTGCCCGTACAGCAGCGAATTTTTAGAAACGTGAGATATTTTACGAGAGGGCTCATTTGCTGGCAGCCACATCAGACAGCTGCTCTGCGCGCAGTAGGCTCTTCACCGCAATTGCTTTCCCTAATTAGGGCCCGAAATCATGGTCATTGACGGAATTCCCAAGTTGTAAGCAACTTTAAACTTTCATCATTGACGGCCAACAGTTTCGCTGGACACCCAGCCTGCTAGCGATTGCGCCCATTTTCACAAACAACTAACAGTTTCATACCCATTGCCTAGCGACGAATCTTTCGGGAATCTTTGCATTCGCCAATTGGTACCGAAGGGCAAGGTTCGACAGCGGCTTCACACAAGTTTCCTTTTTAAGAACACAAATTGGTAGCCTTCAGCCTACCTGAGAGCGTATACAATCTGGAATTTTTCAACGTAATAGCTTTGAAGATTGGTCCATTGTTTCAACAAGAAATAAATGCCCGCTTGTGGGCTTGTATGAATGAACGCAGACTCCAAAACGAAAACGGCGCAAGGGATAGCTGGCGTAGTCACGTGACACAATAAAAACTGGTTTCGGCTTGGCTATAAGCGATTAGAATGACGTCTGTGGCTTAAACATGGCGATAATGACGTAACTATAACGTTTGCAACAAAAAATTTGTAACCTAAAGTATTTTCAACAACAATAAAAAGCAAACATTTATATTTTCGCATTGTTCATTAACGCATTTACTTTTTTTTGTCAACAGCATAAACAGTTCTCTAGTATTAGCGACTTATGAACGCTGGAACAGTAACGCTGTGTAATTGGCGCTCTATATTTTTATTTGAATTAGTGTTTACGTCTAGCGTCTGGCACGTTCGATCTCCGGATGAGCTGATCGTTTCAACAAACGAACACAGCTGCGTTTCTTACTAGTCGGAGATTCCACAAAACGACCGCAAATACCGAAAGTTGTGCGCATTTTGAAGTGTTCTGCCCTTGAACGAAGAAATGATCAGCTGACGGTCTTAACCACGAACGGCCACTTAGGTCAACCGACTTTGTGTGTGTGCTTGCACGGTTTCTATCGTACATTCGTTCTTTTCTTATATTCTCAACTGTGCTCACATAAGTTCAAAACAGTTACGCAGTCAGCTGAGTTGAGATGTCGGCTGGTAGCTCACTAAGCATGAAAGCTGACGATACAGAGAAGAATCGGAGACGCGTTTGGTAGAAAGAGCGCTAGAAATTACAGGGCGCCATAAAATAATTCAATATGAAGAAAAAGTGTGCGCTGCTGTAAATAGGTATATCTTATTTCGGCGTCATGTGTTTCCTTGTTTTGCAATCGCGCACGCGATGATCGCCTTCGAGACCGATAACAATCAAGTTTCTTGATCGCGGTCGATAAGTTCAGTCGCTATCAGAAGTGCCCCTGTAATAACTGCGAAGTCTGCCTTATAACGATCACTCCAGCTATCCTTAATCTGGGGAACTTTCATTACGACGTGCAAAAATATATAGTGGCTGTTGGTTTCAATAAAGAGAGGCTTAAAATATTTGCATTGACCCGGCTGTTTCGGTCTAGATATGTATTTTATGAGGATGACAGTAAATTTATGGTGGGCATTAGTACACCGAACATAGCCTGCTCGTCGATCGGCATCCGTTATTATAAAGATTTAAAAGTCCACTTTGTCGCGCCACTTTAGGGCGTTAATGCGTGCAAGCGTTGTGCCCTTTCAATGTAAATATTAAAAATATTAACTAAGATAGGCAGTTTTCTCCGCTAGTTCCTGGCTTAAAGTGAGCATTGCGGGAGAGTTCACGCTTTTGGCTTTTGTCACTAGCTGTGCTAGAGTTGTTATATAACTGCCATCATATTTCATTAGATGCAAGTTTTTGCGACCTCCTGGAGCAGCATTTGATAAAAATCTCCCTTGCGTTAATTTTTTTTTTCAAAAACCTGTGGACTGAAATATTTAGTTAAAGCATAAAAATGTCCATATTGTGAAAGTCCCAACTACAAACCGCAATTGTTTTTTTTTTTCTTGCACAGTTCAGTGCATGTACTGATTCATGCATCATGTATTTCGTATTGGGCGTATGTATTCCCAGGGACCACGAAATGTTCTGTTTTCATTACACGTTAGTGCATAATATGTGAACTCGTCATGGGTCGATAATGTCAAATTGGTTGTTGCTCAGGAAAACGATGGCACAGAGAAGGAAATGACTTCGGACGGCTACATATGCAGTTCTGATGCGTAAACATGACCGGTGTCGAGGAGACATCTCCTTCTCAGACGGATGTATCGAATGCAGCCAGTGGAAGCAGTAGCACATCTGACAGCCTATCCAGGTACATAGCTTGATATCACCGCGGCTGCCATCTTGGGGCTGGTTTGAGATGCTGCACGAGCTAAAACGGTCACATTAGATCAGTGACGGTTCCCCTCGCATTCCTTTATGTTCCCTGCTTGGCGAGGTTCATGAACAGAATAAAGTGGGAAGAGCACAAAAGAATGCGCGGACTCTGTGCCCTCCACTTGCACTGACACTCTCTAATGAGATACAAAAATTGGGGGACCCTTAAGCTTCACTTTTATGAGTTGAATGCTCTAGCGATATCCTGTTCCTAGTGCACACTTCGCATAGCACATAACATCTTTTCGAACTTGCCATGCACTCACTACGTGGCCTCATAGAAATAGGCCCAGTAATGTGCGTGCCTTTTGTGGGCTTTAAACCATGGAGTCATTATTATAATCGCATGTTCTGACACCCAATGGCAATTATGCTTGTACCATGCATTATTACTGCAATATTTCATCTTGTATTGTGTAGCCCCTTAACCGATCTGCTGTGAGAAAATAGATAAATAACTAATAATAATAATGTGCATAATAAATGTAACCAGAAATATGAAAGGCTGGAATGATGCTGCTAGTATTATATTGCGGAAAAAGTATCATTAGGATGTATAAAAAAAGATGTTCAGGTTGTTAAATTTCTTGCCCCTTGAAAGAAGTTGACTATCTCACATCATTTCAGTTCGGACACATTCTTGTAATATGATGATCAAGCCCTGGGCATTTTTGGCTACGGTATTCTGCAACTGACTGGAAGGTCAAAGGTTTAGTGCCCTGCTGCTGTGGCCATATTTTTATAGGACATATTGCAAAAATGTCAATTATTTAAATTGGGGTACTTATTAAAGAACTCCAGGTGGTCAAGGTTATTACGGACTCCTTCCCAATGATGTCTTTTACAGCCCCATTCCACTTTTGTACATTAGACCTATTATTATAACAAATAAAATGGAAATGATGCATTAATTTAAGGGCTTAGAACAAGAACATTATGGTGATGTGTCCTAGATATGTTGTCATATTAGAATCTGTTGGTTAGAAGCATGTTGCTCACACGCATTGTGGTGTCTTTTGCATGACTAATGAACCGTGAATTCGTAACATGAACATGATTGCAACGATGCTTTGTCATTACTTTTTTTTCCTCCTTTGACTTGCATTGTAAAAGCACTGCTTTCAAGGAAGAACAGCAGAATGTTTACAACGAAGGCCAGGGAACGGAGCTTTTTGACGTATACGATGACTTTGAGTCCTCTGACCCTGAAGACATCCAAGCAACGATTTCGCGAGAGTCACCTTCCCCCTGCTCAAAAGGAAGGAAACGATGCTCAGGTCAGGCTTTATGCATTGCTAACGAACATGTTTACCTTTTCTAGTGGCCAGCAGTAATGGTGATCGATGATTGGTATTGGAGAATGGTTAGCGAGATGATATGCTGAGAGGGCAAACTATAGTGCGGTGTTCTAAGAGGTACACCAGTTAGATAATGGAGATAATAGTGTCGAAGTTTTGTTGAACATCCAGTAGCTGCATAATACAGCACTGCATGCAATCATGTTCATTATTTTATCACACATGCTTCAGAGCGAATTGGCCAAATAGAAAAATGAAAACTTGGTGTCTTTGCATACTTACTGGATATGGCTTAATGAAGATGACCAAAAGGATTGTGTGGAACACACAGCATAGTCACAGAGAAACCTGGAGTCACAGAGAACCTCTCGTAAAGCTCCTTGTAAGCGTCCTTGGGGCGGCTCTGGCAAGTACAGCTGCAAAGTACCTACTACCCCATAAATCGTTATAATTTTAAAAAGTAGGGAAATGCCCAGTATGCCTTTATTCATCATTCTGTGGAGGTGCGAGGTACCCATTACGTTCTTCTAAAACGTTATGTACGCTTCATTGACGCTGTGGCTGATGACAACGAATCAACGAAGCCCTCTGTAATACGTAGGTAGCTCTAAAAACCCACTCGTTGTGCAGTTAGAATTTTATGTTGCGTGGTATTATTTTACTTTTCAATACCATGCTGTATTGCATCTGTTAATGATTCTCTGTCCGAAATAACGCCTACATACAGTCTTCTCACGAGGAAGTTTGAAGCAGTGGCATGACTATGTGGTAAAATACTTGTCTGGTATGCAGACTACCTCGGTTCAAATCCCACTCGATTTTTAATTTTTTGTCTCACTGTGCACTATAGAAGTTATCAACACTGGCAGCGGTGGCAGCAGAGCCACAGACAACTATGCCACCAAACTTGGCTGTTGTTGTTCTCTCACTACGGCTTTCACTGTAAAAGAACGAGGCTGTTCACTGGCTAGACACTCAGTTGCTCATCTGCCATGCTCGTTTCTTCATCTCTTTTAATATTTTTCATTGTTACTGTAATATAGAGATAGTGTACTAAATCTCCAGTGTTTCCCTTGACTGAATTTTTTTAACGAAATGGCACTTCTTTCTGTGATGTCAGTTTATTAGTGAAGACGTAATAGTTCAGCTGTCAATGCCTCTGTTCATTGCTATCTGCTTGGGCTGTAATAATTTTTGAATAAATATTGATCCATGGGTACAATAACATAATAATTATGAAAACACCAGCTGCCTTTCATTGTTTTCTGCTGCTGCTTCTGGCACTTAACAAGCCATTCCTGCTTTCCAGCTAAGCACAGAAAGAGTAGGAGCCGTCACAAGAAACGACACATTTCGAGAACGGCGGAGTCCTGCAGCGAAACCATCTTCACCACGTATGTTTTTTATGTTCATACATTTTCTTATTCGCATTAGCCTTAAGAGACAACCTGACCTATGTCCACAAAAACGCTTGACTAGAAGAAGATCCCGTCAACGTCTCTTGCACTTCCATGGGAAGTTCTATATATATATATCTGAAGTACTTGACCTAATAAGATAAACGAGGATCTTTCTGTGGTAAAAAAAAAAAAAAAAATGGGCAGTTGGCATGCTGTTACACCCCTTTACTCCATGGGTGAACGGCGTACTGTTGCCAATTGGTTTTCAGGCGGCAGGTGTCCCCCATACAATCTAATCGTAGTTCAATAACTGAGCTCCATATTTCAGGAAGGCAAATGTCTCACGGTGCAGAAAATCGAAAACACATTCACAGCAGGCGATGTGCTTTGACCAAATTATCTGTGTTGTACCATTTCACTTGTACTTTGAGCTCAGTTATGTTATAGAATACAGATAGCATAACAGATCAAGACCCTTAGATTTCTTTATGAATAGGATTCACAGAAAATGAGTGGCACTTTAAAATATTCGCTAGCCTTTTTAACAAACTGTACACAACTTGCACTTGCTCCATGAAGTAGCCAGAAAAAAAGGTAGATTGCTGTGAGCTTTCCGGGCAGTACTAGCACTGCCTTCAATTAAGCCAACTCTACTTGCCATCTCTTCCTTCCTGCAGCTTACGTGCGACCACTCATCACAGCCTCAATGCCGACTGTGCCCGCAACCTCTCCGTCCGAGCAGTGGCTTTTGCATTACAAGAGGCTCAAGAAGGCAAAGTTCAAATGTACACTGCTACTTGGCCACCATGACACTGTGCGCTCAGTCGCTGTGGACCAGAATCTCGTTGTGTCTGCAAGGTTAGTCTCTGGGCTTCTCATTATTCCTATAGTGCAATAAGACTTTATAAGTCGGCAGAATTTCCTCCTCAAAGGCGAATTCATGCAAGCCATGGGCACCAATGAGCATGCACTCTAAGCAGACATTAGCTAAGCAGGACAGCTGGTGATCCAATCTACGACGAACATTGCTAAGCACATGAGCGGGACTATTCCTGTATGAGTGGAGGCACTCGGCTGCTGCCCTTTAGTCGAGGGTAAGGGAAATAAGTTCTGCTTAGACATGCTGCATGAAGGAAATATCGGTGATTATGGAGAAGAGGTAATGGAAGTGGAGCAAAAGAAAAATGGAAAAATGCGCGTGAAAGAGATAAATTATCTGTTAATTTGCAGGATGAAGTTAGAAAGGGAACCCACACAGATTTCTTATAGAGAAAGCTTCCCAGTGGACAAAAAATTTCAGCCTGGTGCCGGATTTGGACCTGAAATGACATGATCACCATTCGAGCTAACCAGAAAGCTAGCAGACCATAGAGCGCTGGCAAATTAAATGACCCATCGAAGCAGCTATTTAAAAAATTTCTATTAGTGAAGATAGTATTAAAGAAAATTGTTTTTTTTAATAAACAAATGACGTTATTGCTCGTGTAAATCTGAAAATGGCTCCATACACACGGTGCTTCCAACTGTAAAGTTTAGGCAACAGTGCAACACTGTCTAACTACAATTGCGATCCCCGGTAACATAAAAGATCGTTGAAACGGTAAAAAGAGAATGTGTGACTCAATGAAATGGAGTGCAGAATCGCTGGACAGTAAATGTTGCCACCCAGACAAAGGCAAGTCCGCTATTGAAATTTTGGTCCAATGACATTTCCTGTTCATAAATTTTTCCGCTGCAGTTGTGCACAACCCAATTTGCACTGTTTCATTCTCGCACTGCATGGATTTGCCAATGAATTGAGAGAATTCACTTCAGACAGTCCCTTTCAGTGACGACACCACGCTAAGAGTGTGGAGCGTGCAAGCCGGCAGGGAACTCTGTAGTCTGCGTGGGCACACAGCGTCCATCAATGCCGTCCTCCTCCTGTCCTCTGAACAGACAGAGTCGCTTTGCTACCGAATGGGACGCCCCCCAACATATCGCCTGGCTGTCAGCGGTTCATCCGACGCCTGTCTCAATGTGTGGCTTGCTCTCGAAGGTGTGTTTTTTTGGTATGGCTTAGGAATTTCCTGCATGAAACAGTGTTGTCATTAGCCTTTGTTCATTTGGAAGTCATCAACATGTATAAAAAAATAATAATTATTATAGGTGCCTTGTTCCGAAGTCAGCATTTTTATAGTAGTATTCTGAAAGCGTAGACATTTGGGCAAGTCGATAGATTGCGTCTTGTCAATTCAAGTGATATGCAGTTGGCACTGTACATTTGTATGTACTTGTTCTTTTTGATAAAATTTGTTTCAAGTATGCACTTGTCCGTGCATGTTCTTTTTCCTTTGCTTTAGTGTGTCATTGTAATGTCATCAAAATAAAAATCTCTACACTTATTCATCACTCTGTAAACATATTGTGCTGTTTGAAATGCTAATATCAGAGCTGGGTGTATGTTGTATTTGCTTAAAATTTTATCATTAATGTGGTCGCCGAGCCAAGTATCATGATGCTATGTCATAGTTCCACATAGTATTGAATAAAATTTTGAAGTTGAATTTGTAGGGTATTAAGTGCCAAAACTATGATGCGGCCATGAGGCATGCTGTAGTGCGGAGCTAAAGGTTAACTTTGAAACGGTCATATTTGCATTTCCGCTCATTAAAATATGGGCTGTATGGTCAGGAAGTCCTTTTTTTTTTGCTATACATATGTACACAGAAAAAAAAGGCACTTTTTTTTTCGTAATATAATACGACGTGTGACGTGTACGAGTGTACCACATGCATGACTTGCTGGATGACACTAGTGCATGTCTCCCACTGTGATTCAGTGCAGGCTTTTTCATGATAATGAAGCTTAGCTGCACTATATTATGTTCGCAATGATGTTTATCTGTAAAAAGGTGATCATACTTTTCAAATACATGTCACCCCCCATTTTTGAGGAACAGCAACCAGGACATTTTGGTTTTAAGATTATGAATCTGGGCTATCCACTGCAGAACATCATTTTGTTTCATGTAGTTATGCGTATGACTAGAAAAAATCTGACTACATATAAGTACCAGCTTGTTTGCATGCTTTTGAATGCATGTTTAATAGCTGCATAGATGCATCTCTCTTGCAGGGAAGCTGCTCAAGTCGATGTACACCTACAATGCCATCACAGCTCTTGCAGTAATCACCGCTGACTGCCACATTGTTGTCGGCACAGGTTGGCGAAGCACTGCAGTCATTATTTTTATTTTGTTTGTAGAAGCGAATTTGTTTGAGTGTTCATCTTCAATTTCTTCAATGTTCGAGTCAGTCATTTCAATGTCCGTTTCCACTTTCCAGAAGGAGGTAAACTGGAAGTGTGGGACGTGGCGAAAGGGTCTCCTCTCAGTTCGGTCATTGGGCACGATGGCATAATTGTGTCCATACAGGTACGTATTCATTGCAAACATAAAGATTCGTAGTTCACAATACTACTGCTGAAAGTTGTGGGGTTGCACGCGCAACCCATCGTCTTCAACATGGCGGCACCTCAGCTTCTCGCTACGCTTCCAAGCGTAGTGATGATAGACAGGCTTGTGGGAATAGTGAATTTCAGGTTCGAAGCTAATTCAAAGCAAATAGTAATTTTGGTCAAATTATTTCGAATTCAACTTGTATGTATGTCATAAAAAAATGAAATATTTATCGTGACCTAACTAACCTGCACAATGTTTTTTTTTTTTTTCAATTATAATAGGGTCTCTATTCAAATGCCCTTTTTTTGTTTGTTTGAAAATCGTACCAATTGTGAGTAGTAGCGAGATTTGAGTTTTAGTAGGATGCGAGAATCGAAATGTAGCAGTTTAAAATTTTTAATACTATAGAGCATATAAGCTATCATAACAACCTTAATAAAATAAATGAGTTGATCTGAGGGTAATATGTTAATTTAAAGGGGCCCTGCAACACTTCTTCATGTAGCCATGGAATGGATTCACTTAAAAAGCTTATTGCCGCACGAATTCGCCGCCGCAAAATTTTTAGAAGCCGTCCAGTACGAGCGAAGTTGGAAAGATTTGTCGCACGCTGCAATTGCATTCTCTATTCTCGTCCCAACAGCTGGAAGCTAAGCAAGGAAAGATGGTAAGGGGCAGGAAAATACGACACTAGTGCCTCGTGACCTTGACCACTTTTTCTCTCCCCCCCCCCCCCTTTTTTGTCCTCAAATACGTGGTCTTTCAGTGCGATCGCACACGTACGCGTGGACAAGTGGTGGCCTCCCGCGGAGGCCCCAGTGATGATCGGGCGCGCCATGTTCAAATCAGCCAATGGCTGTGACAACTGATTTTTAAGCTTGTAGTGTAATTTGCCGAGAGAAGAGAGAAATATTTAGCTGACTTTTGAGAAATTATCGTGAATAGCAGGCCACGTGCTGCAATATAATATTTGGTTCGCGTGTTTTTAGTAGCCTCAACTACCGATCCGCAGGGTTTTTTGATCATGCTCAATAAGTGTTGCGGGGCCCCTTAAAATTTTAAAGGGGGCTTTGGGGCAGAGCAAATTTGTCTTGGACAGGTGCTTTCACGGCTTAGTGCCCCTACACTGCAATGAAACCACCTTTAAGGTGGTTACACGCGGACTAATACCTATTCGTTCATTGCGAATACTTCGCAATTTTGAATAATTTAAATTCGAAGCGAAATCGAATACTCTACTATTCGTTCGAATATTCGAAGCATTCGAATATTCGCACAAGCCTAGTGATAGGGCTTTGGCCCTAAAGGGATAAGCCACCCACAAAAGGCTAGGCGGCACACAGGGTGTGATGACGACTGTAGAGCTCCCGACACGACTGAGCTGCGGTCATCACTGCTCCCGAAGTCGAAAGAACCTTGGGGGCCTAGGCGCGTGTTGTGGGCTGGAGAGGAGTCTCTCCAGAAAAGGGCAAGGAGGGAAACAGGGCATCTCGGCTTCACCCACGATGCAGGGCGCAAAGAGCTACAGGAGCGACACAGTGCCCTCTCTAATGCAGCCCCTCTAGCCCTTTCATGTGCAAACATGGCGTGAAGCCGAGGCACCTCCGTGTTGAAGACAGTGGCTTGCGCGTGTGACCCCACAATGTCAAGTAATAGCCAAAGTAAGTTTTGCAGACTATTATGCATGATAAAAAAAATGTGTGCTTCAGACTGTGGGAATTGAGGCTAGCCCACCGCCTTTGCACGGGCTTTGCCGCCTATTTTTGCCGTTCTCATGTCCTAACATGACTCCTCTCCTCCGTGGTCTGCCACGCTGGGGGAGCGGGGAGTGACGTTTAGCCCCACTCACCCGGTAGCAGATGTCGACTGTGGCACCATGCGCAAAGTCTCTGTGGACATTTTGCGCGTGCGTGTCAGGAGCAAGTCAGAACCTCTCCGGATGACACAGGGTAAGCACTCATTTCTTTTCCGTCTGTCGGCTCCGTTTGTTTGGGGCTCGTTTGGACTTTGCCAAGGACGCATTGCGCCCGTGGCGAGTGCTTACCTTTTGTCGTTGCCCCTTTCCCCCGCTAGGCCAAAAAGAGCAGTGCAGTGTCCTAGTGCGTGGTCATACTATGCCGACCCGTACCTCTCGGAAGTCAACTGAAGCAATGTTTTGCCCTCGTTCGAGCGACCGGGCCCTTTTGTCCTGGTGTCCCCTGTGAATCACTTTTGCCTGCAGGAGACGTGCTCGGGACACCCTGCGTAGTTTTCTCGCCCGTGGTGTAGATAAGCCCATTTGCTCTCCCGCCACGCCTTTTGCATCGGGCTCTGTACTGCATTTTGGTTTTGCCGCCGACAATAAAGTGTTGCGACCTTGAGCAGTACCATGTTCTTGCCACGGCGAGAGTTAACGCATGCCCTGCAGCTCGCTGAGACCGAACCCACGCTAGTGGCCATACTCCTTAGGGATACGTGTACACTACAAGACTGACCTGCTGACTAAGAGTCCACAGACTGACAATGTGATTCTAGGCTGAGCTGTTTTGTTAATGGCTTCTTGCCTGTTACTTGTGGTGCAAGTGCGACAACATTACCTTTGACACTTAGGCCGAAATGACATAACGACTGTACTACATTTTTTTCCTTTTCCTCACTTTGCAATTGGTCACAGTATCACCTTCATGAATGACGAAAACACGGCAGCCTGACGTTTGAGGTAATTCAAAAGTAGTGAAAAGACTGAGTGAGTCGAGGAGGCTGAGAGATTTGTGTGCACTGTCGTCCTGCATGCCTAGTGCTGGAAGTCGTGTAACCTCACGATTTTGAGGTGCATTAAAGGAAGCGGTAGTACTTGGCATTTACTCCCATCCACCTGCACTTTTTGCTGCACTCAATTAAGATGTATTTTTGTCTGCCTGCGCATGCATGGCACCATACTTGTTAGTTTACTCAGTGAAACTGAAATTCGTACATGATTGCCTAGTACTTTGCTGTTGTTATCAAAATAGCTTTGCTTTTTGAGCGAAACTGGTACTTTCTTGTCATTTAATGCAAGAAATCTTACGTGAATAAAAAGATACCATCAACACGAATCAACCACAACAATTTAACGTCATAGAAACTTGGTGGAGCACACATAATAGAGCAGCTACTGTCGTGTGTATAGTGTGAAAAGAGAAGCAACTTGACAGCCAGATTATTCCTACCACTCAGAATGTGGCAAAAATACTTGTAACGAAGATGAAGTAAGCTTTTAATCACCAAAAAAGTGAGACCAATTATCATAATCTTAAACATGTGCATTGCTAAACATACATCTCATGAATTCGTTGCTCAGAGCACTGTTCTGCTGCGCTGTGAAACAAAGGGAACAGCCAGAAAACGACTCACAACAGTTCTCCAGAATCGGCTTTGGGTTTTTTGGCCAAAACAGTCTATGTGCTTCTTTTTGCTTGCCAGGTCGACTGGACGGACACCGTTTTCTCTGCCTCCTCCGACGGAAGCCTGAAGGTGTGGCAGTGGCTGTCAAACGAGCTGTGCGCAGTACAAGTGCACGATGCCGTCGCAACTGAAAGCTGCCAAATGCACTGTGTGGCAGTAGATGGCTCCAAGATATTTGTGGGCAGGGATAGTGCGAGCGTTAAAGTCATTGACTGGGCTTCAGGTGAGTTTCCTCGAGTTGATTCTAGTGAGGTGTAGACGTGCCCTACAATGCACAAACTTTGTACACATCTTGCAGCACAGTGCAATATATTGTGACAGTGCAATGTTTCGTTGGTTGGTACTAAAGTTTCACAAAAGTTTCGTTGTAATGAATGAGCGGCCATGTACCACTGATGTTCTGATACAAAATTTTAGTGTTCCTTTTTTTTTCTTTTTTTTTCATTTTTGGACTAGAAAAGTAGCATGATGCAAAAACAATATCAATTCACAATAATCAATCATATTTGCTTTCGCATTATGCCGCAACTACTATTTCTCCTTCTGAATGGAAGCTTTAAATAGATTAGCTCCTTTTCTACTGTGTACTTTTTTTTTTACATCCACGTTATGCCCCATAATTGGGAAATTTTAAGAACATGAACCTGCAGGTTTCGCAAGAAGACTCCACTATCTGCTTGCATCGTTATGTATAAAAAGTCAGCAGGACCTGTACAGTGAATCATATTTGGGCATCTTTATACTTACTGTACATCTATATATATGTTCCATTTTAAGCTACCTTGGCTGTTTAGATGTCATGTTTTCCTGTTTATCGAACAAAAACAGATTGATTGACGACCTTGCCTACTAGACTGCTCAATACTGGCCTTCAGTTGAAGTCTAGCACCATTTGTTTTGAAAGTTCTGTTTCAAGGCTCATTTAGAGGCCAGGTATTTTTCCGAAGGTAATGCGAGAAATGTCCTGTTGACTTTGCCTTGTGGTGCTTATCTCTGTGTGCCCATTGAGAAATGACTTGTGCGCATTTTCGCGCTGTAATACGGAATAACATACAAGGCATACCTTAAAAAAATGTCACAGCAGAAGAATACAAGAGGGAGTAATTAATTGGGCGCAGCAGCTTTAGCAAGCATTTGTGGAGAAATTTGTCAGAAACACTACTTTTGAATTTCTCACTGCCAGCAATACAGTGTGGAGATCCAAAATTATTATTAATATTAGTTAGTTAATATCGCCTATTAGTTAATAGCATGATGATTCTTTAGTGACAGTAAGTGAATTGAGGATTGAAGGATTAGACAAGCCCTGCACGTTGAGACAAAGCTTAGAGAATGGTTGTTAATGTGATTCGTGAAAAATCTATTCGCTGGTTTGTTCTCTCACTAAGTAAATAGGATGACATGGTGAGCTTTTCTTTTTCTTCATCAGGGAGAGTCGACTACCTTAAAAACCACCCTCATGATCACGGCTTTGCAAGAGCAGTTTACGTCAAAGACAGCCTTCTCTTGTTGACGTCGTACGACAGATATACTGGAAACAGTACCGTGAACAGTAAGGAAATCTTGTTGTCAGTGTAGAAACATGTCACAGTTTCATGTTAAATGATTAATATTGCATGTTTTTGACTATATATAGCCTCTACCAGATCACTTTCACAAAATTATGGTGCGCTAAATTTAAATGTGTTGTCGCATTTTCTGCGCATAGCGATTCTCACATTTTGTGGAGACGATAAGCGACATTAATGTGATTAGCTGTCTTATGATAGGCAGTGGAACTTGTGAAATTCTTGTTGCCATTATGATGATCCTCCTAATATCGTCATGCCACTCGTGAATAACGAGATCTTGCTGGCGCATAAACACACCTATAAATTGCCAATATCGCTGCCAGCCACAGTTCCAACATAGTGTCACGACCCAGTAGTACATTCTGTGATCGCTACACCTCAGTTTAAATTCTCTGGCAACCTCCACTACACCTACCAGCTCATATGGAGTTTCGTTGCAGTGACTACACATAAATCAGCGTTATTGAACAGAAAAGTGCCCATCTGCTATTCACAGAATGCTATCGGTGTAATATATTGGTTGTGTAATCATTGTGTCAAATCAACACATACATTCTTTGGCATGGATCACAAGTAGGTGCATATGAATACATTCACAGTTCCAAAGCCTAATTTAACCCAGCAGTTCACAATTCACTTTTCTAGGTAGGTATGCAAGATCCTTTAGGGGGCAGACTGGTTTTAGACATTTTTTGTTTATTTCTTCAGTGACCTTGATCAAACTGCCCAGGATTATGCAATTTTTGCAATTTTTTCTGCTGATTTCAAATATTTAATTAGTTTTCCTGTAACTCATCTTGTTCCCGAGATAATTTAAGTTTGCCCCCTATTATTTAAAGCCGCCATAGAAAAAAAAGTGCTTAATTAAAAGTGATATTTAAGATATGCCAACATAAACTAATGATTATAGAGTGAAATTATGGAAGAATTTTTTGTTTTTAGGCCTTTACTTGTTATTTTACAGCAAAATGAACTATCCATTTTCAAAAGCAGTAAGAATTATGTTACAATTGTGATTAATAATTAATTAAAAAGGCTTGTGTTCTAAATTCTGCTCCCATAGTTGCATTCTACACACAGGTTTCCACTGCAAAGAGAATTATTTTTGTACCTGCCCTGGCTGCAGAGATATTGAGGCCTCAAAATTGGATAGTTAGTCCTAAATGTACTTTTTTGAGAAAAATGGAAAAAACTGAAAACACACAGTTTCTTCAAAAAGCAACAATCATGGTGTGCATGTTTTGCAATCCTCATAAAAGGCGCTCAAAAATTGGTAGTAGAGCTTTAGACACAGGTGCTGGCAAATTATAAAGAAGCCTCAAAGTCGGTTCCCCATTTTTTTGCAGGTTCTGCATGTTAACAGCACCAAGAATTTGGACAGTTAGAATGGCATTACAAAAAAATTACCACTTCTGTGTGTGTGAAAGTTTGCATACAGATAGAAAAATGCTTGCAGAAACCAAATATGTCAATTTTCAAAACTGAATTTTTTTGTCACCTTTTGGTCCCAAAGAGCAGTCTGCCCCCTTAAAGCGTGCTTATTGCATTCAAAGGCTGCATTAGCAGTGGTTCTTCTTGATTGCAGAGTTTTGCTTGGCAACTATTACTCATGAGTCATCTTGGACTTGTATTAAAACAAACCCACAAATCCGAGTCAGTCTGCCTGAACAAGCATTTTGGCGAGTCCGAGTGAGCCCGGCTGAGTGAAATTCTTGCGACATTAATAGCAAGTAGGGTTGAGCAGGATTTTGGTGCGTCTTAGTGAACTTGGCTGAGCAGAGTTTTGTCATGTCTGAATCCAAGTGAGTCAGACTAAGTGTGAGCACAAGTCCAAATGAGCTCTCGAGAAATATATATATATATATATATATATATATTGTTATGGCGTTTATTAGCCGGCACACAGCGAGTCTACACAATGGTGACAGTAACAGCCAAGCACGGACTCTCCGCACGAGCGGCGTTCTTTTTGGGCAGACCCACTAGAAAGCACTTGAGAGTTCGACCCATTTCAGTGTTCGGCGGCTTCTCTACAATTACCCCGGGGTCGAAGAGGGAGCCGCCTGGCGACCTAACAGCTTGTCATTACGAGCGGGTCATAGTAAGCCTTCAGGTGCTCCACGTTGACTATGTCGCGCCCGCGGCGGCGCATGTCCGAAGATTGTTCAATTGGCTTGATAAGATAGTTGACCGGAGATGTGCGCTCGATCACACGGTAGGGACCTTCATATTTCGGGAGTAGTTTGGAAGAAAGGCCAGCTACAGAGGTCGGGATTAAGAGCCATACAAGGGAACCAGGAAGGAACGTGGGCTCAGAAGTGGCGGAGCCATCACGAATACTCTTCTGCCGCTCTTGCTCATGCGTCGTAAAAGTCTTCGCAAGCTCGCGACACTCTTCAGCAAGCCTGGCGGTCTCGGAAATAGGTGTACACTCAGATGGATCCGGCGTGTACGGGAATATCGTGTCAACGGTGTGTGACGGGTGCCTTCTGTACAGCAAAAAGAAAGGTGAAAAACCAGTCGTGCTCTGAGGGGCGGTGTTGTAGGCGTAGGTAACGAAGGGCAGTATGGTATCCCAATTCGTGTGGTTGGCAGCGACGTACATCGACAGCATGTCGCCGAGGGTGCGGTTAAAGCGTTCGGTCAGGCCATTCGTCTGCGGGTGGTAAGCAGTAGTTTTGCGATGGACAGAATGGCACTCAGTGAGAATGGCGTTGACGACTTCTGACAAGAAGACACGGCCTCGATCGCTGAGAAGCTCCTGGGGTGGACCGTGGCGCAGTATGAATCGATGTAGTAGGAAGGACGCAACATCACGCGCAGTAGCCGCAGGGAGAGCGGCGGTTTCGGCGTATCGCGTTAAATGATCTACGGTGACGATGGCCCAGCGGTTGCCAGTGGATGTCAGAGGGAGTGGTCCATACAAATCGATACCTATGCGCCCAAACGGACGGTCAGGGCAAGGTAACGGTTGCAGACCGGCTGGTGACATGTGTGCGGACGGTTTGCGGCGTTGGCAAGCGAGACAGGAGCGAACCAACTGCTGGACGTAGCGGTACATCCCGCACCAGAAGTAGCGTTGTCTAATGCGATGGTAGGTTTTGAATACCCCAGAGTGCGTGCACTGTGGATCAGAATGGAAGGATTCACATATCTTTGACCGCAGACTGCGGGGTATCATGAGTAGCCACTGCCGGCCATCGGCGTCGTAATTGCGCCGGTGTAGGAAGCCGTCGCGAATGGCGAAATGGTGAGCTCAACGACGCAAGGCACGCCTGGATGGCGTTGCGGACGGATCAGAGAGCAAGTCGATCAGTTGGGCGATCCAATTATCTTTTCGCTGTTCAGTAGCGATGATGTCAACATCAATGGCAGAAACAGCAACCGAGGATACTGAGCAGAGCACGTCAGCTTCAGGCAGAGGGGAGCGCGAGAGGGCGTCGGCGTCAGCATGCTGGCGTCCGTTGCGGTAGAGCACGCGGATGTCGTAGTCTTGTAAGCGAAGAGCCCAACGGGCGAGGCGGCCTGAGGGATCCTTCAATGATGACAGCCAGCATAGTGCATGATGGTCGGTGACGACATCGAATGGGCGACCATACAAATAAGGTCGAAACTTTGTAAGAGCTCAGACGATCGCCAGGCACTCTTTTTCCGTGACGGTGTAGTTTGTCTCGGCTCTCGTGAGCGTACGGCTTGCATATGCCACAACATAATCAGGGAATCCGGGTTTGCGCTGCGCCAGGACAGCGCCGAGGCCTACACCACTGGCGTCCGTGTGCACCTCTGTTGGGGCCGTAGGGTCGTAGTGGCGGAGAATGGGAGGAGACGTCAACAAATGGTGGAGCTTCAAGAACGCGTTGTCGCACTCTGACGACCACGAATTGAGGGGCCCGTTACCTCCGAGGAGCTTCGTCAGCGGTGATATAATCGTGGCGAAGTTTCGTATGAAGCGTCGGAAGTATGAGCACAGGCCCACGAAACTACGCAGTTCTTTGACGAACGCAGGTTTTGTTGCTGGCCACCTTAGCCGTTCGTATAACGACGAACTGCCGTCTGTGCCACTGTCGTCTCGCCCAGGTCCGTCTGCTTGAAGGTCTCCGTCTCCACGATGTCGGTCTCTGTCCCCCATGCAGCCAAGTTCTTCTGCTCATGAGCGGGAAAACTAGTCGTCGCAGTCCCAGAGGCAAGGACTGCGACGCTATCGCATTGTGAAAGCCCTCAGAGCCGCCCATCTAATGTCTTTGACGTGCTTGTGGACGGTGTTCATGCATCTGCTCTTATTGACACTGGAGCTGCGATATCAGTTATGAGCAAAAACCTTTGCTGCTTGCTTCGAAAAGCGACGACGCCGATTTCTGGACTGTCCCTTCGTACCGCTAGCTCACATCGTATTAATCCTACAGCAGATTGCACAGCTCACGTTGTCGTTCGGGACGTTCTGTATGTCGCCCAATTCATAATCATTCCTGCATGCTCTCATAACGTCATCCTGGGTTGGGATTTTCTCTCCCGCAACGACGTCGTCATTCATTGTGCCGCCGCCGAATTTGAACTCTCCCCCTTCTCGCATTTGACGCCAGAAGACGGTCCCTCGACACTCAGCAAGATTCTTGTGAAAGACGATACTATAGTGCCTCCAAGCTCGACGATGGGTGTATCGGTCTACTGCACCGGTCTCTCCGATACAATTGCACTCGTTTCGCCATCCTACCGTGCTTCCAGAAGGAGAGGGTTGCTAGTACCTTTCGCGACCGTGCAAATCACCCAGGGCAACGCCGCTATTTTGGTGACCAACCCATCCCCGTACACTGTTACCTTGGTTCGAGGGGAATGTCTCGGCAGAGTGGAACCAGTCGACGACGCACAAGTCCTGGACGCACCCGAAGACTCGCGTTGTCCCGATTCGCGTATCATCAGTGCTGTTTGTACTTCTGACCCATCATCTCCTGATGTATTTGGCCCATACATTGATGACGACCTAACGTCAGTACAGCGTTCCCAGCTTCTAGACCTGTTGCAAGAATACCGTTCTTCTTTCGATGTCGAGCGATTCGGCCCTCGGACAGTCCATGGGCGTCTCCTGTTGTTCTTGTTGCGAAGAAAGATGGTTCTGTGTGGACTACAGACGGCTCAATAAGATCACTCGCAAGGATGTCTACCCACTGCCGCGCATCGACGACGCAATTGACAGCCTTCACGGAGCCCAATGTTTTTCTTCTCTCGATCTGCGCTCGAGGCACTGGCAAGTACCCCTGGCTGATGACGCTCGACCGAAGACTGCCTTCATCACACCCGACGGCTTGTACGAATTCAACGTCATGCCGTTTGGTCTGTGTAATGCACCTGCGACATTTGAGCGCATGATGGACACCGTTCTGCGCAACTTGAAATGGCACACGTGCTTGTGTTACCTCGATGACGTTGTTGTCTTCGCTCCAGATTTCTCCACCCATCTCCAACGTCTAAAAGAAGTTTTCGCACGTGTGAGCAATGCCGGCTTGCAACTAAATCTGAAGAAGTGCCGCTTTGCAGCGCGCCAACTTACCATCCTAGGGTACGTCGTGTCCAAGGATGGCATTCTTCCTGACCCAGCCAAGCACGGACTCTCCGCGCGAGCGGCGTTCTTTTTGGGCAGACCCACTAGAAAGCACTTGAGTAGTTCGACCCATTTCAGTGTTCGGCGGCTTCTCTACAATATATATATGTTGTGGGGATGGGCAAATATTCAGGCTCTTCTAATATTCAAACAAATGTTATGGTATTCGATTTTGCTTTGATAGTAATATAGATTATCGAAATTTGGAAGTATGAACGCATATATGTACACAAAACCGCATATAACACCCTGTAAAGGTGGTTTCACTGCAGCTTAGAGGTTCCATGCCAAGAAACACATCTAGAACAAGTTCTCACTGTTGCAAAGCCAAATTTTAAGTTCAAGTGTACAAATTACCCTCACCTCAATAACAATTAACAATTCTTTAAGTACAAAGCATATCTGTGCGAAGTATAGTTGTTTTTTAATTGTAACATGTTGTACTAGTTATGAATTGCACCTTATTGCTGTACACATTTTGCTATAATTCAAAGTTGCTTCTACTTAACTTTGAACCAATAAAGTGAAATTAACACGTTCCCACTGCTAATTAAAAAAAATTTTATGCAAGCTAGTTGTGTCACGACAAAAATGCTTGTTTTTCTTAATAGTGTGATATATGCACATCGATTCGAAATAATTAGACCAAATCACTGTATGCTCCGAATTTGTCTCGAACAGTTACTATTTGCCCGCCCCTTGCAAGTGAGTTCCATTTGTTTTGCCAACTCATGGCCCTACCTGAAGCACACTTCCTTTGCGATCTAGTGCGGACCCTCCCTGGTGGTGCCTATGTTGGAACGCTGAAGTGTAGCGGGCAGGGCAGAGTCATCGCCCTGGCATCTGACATTGTGGAGCGGAAAGTTCTCAGGATTGTGACAGGAGGCACGACCCTCGCCGTCTGGGACTGGACGCCTCATGAAAATAATGGGCAAGTACAGTTGCTCTGCCATTAAGCAAACTGCACACAATCCTTGCATAAGAGAAATGCAGTTGCAAATGTACTGGTTAAACCCCCACCGGATGTACCAAACAAGCTGCAACATTATTTACTTCACAGTTAAGGTTTGCAGTTATACGAACAGTACTGCAAAGTAATACTTTGCTGTAATACTTCGCATTATTAGAACCACTACGCCTCATCACACCAGCGTCGAAGACAACCGTGAGGCAGTGCCATACATCAGAATAAGGTTTTTATAATGCAATAAATACATTTAAAAACATTGTAAAAGACTATGTCTACTTAGGGCAGGTAATAACCGCAGAGCCGAACCACGAGATTGAAGTAACTAAAGGAATAAGAATGGGGTGGAGCACATTCGGCAAGCACTCTCAAATTATGACAGGTAGATTGCCACTATCCCTCAAGAGGAAGGTATATAACAGCTGTATCTTGCCGGTACTTAGCTACGGAGCAGAAACCTGGAGACTTACAAAGAGAGTTCAGCTTAAATTGAGGACGACGCAGCGAGCAATGGAAAGAAAAATGGTAGGTGTAACCTTAAGAGACAAGAAGAGAGCAGAGTGGATTAGGGGACAAACGGGGGTTAAGGATATCATAGCTGAAATAAAGAAGAGGAAATGGACATGGGCCGGACATGTAGCACGTAGACAGGATAACCACTGGTCAATAAGGGTAACTAACTGGATTCCCAGAGAAGGGAAGCGGGTTAGGGGGAGACAGAAGGTTAGGTGGGCAGATGAGATTAAGAAGTTTGCGGGTATAAATTGGCAGCAGCAAGCACAGGACCGGGTTAACTGGCGGAACATGGGAGAGGCCTTTGTCCTGCAGTGGACGTAGTCAGGCTGATGATGATGATATACATTTAACTGTCGCAAATTAAAAGTCATGAAGATGTCATTAATTTAATTAGCTATGTCACCCATTACAATGTGCACTCCTGCGGGCTCATTAAAATTGCTAAAAATCATTGTTCACAAACAAAGTCAACAGTTTAGCGCATTGGCCCTAGAGGCTATAGTATAATCTGTGCTGCAGTTAAGGATGCATTTTAGTCCCTTACCTATTTGTGCATAATAATATTGGTATTACCAGTTTCATTGCACCATAACATTCCAAGCAAGTGCCTGCCCCCCCCCCCCCCCCCATTGAAAAAGAAAATACGAAAAAAATTGGAGGGGCGGCCCTTGCTAGGTCGCGGATCAAAACTAGTGTTGGCGTAGAAGAGCCAGTAAGAATAAAGAACACGCACCCTTGCTCCTAATCAAATGCTTTATATACATGCATACACAGTTTTCATTTGTTGAATAAGAACCGTGAATGAAACAGAGAAAATGGCGGAAAGAGAAGTGGGGAGGAGGCACATTTGAAATCTCCCGAAAAATTAACGCAGGCACTTGCTTGAGTAAAGGACCTCGCTAAGAATTTCATGGCATAAAATAAACATACTGCCTGAAGCCCTGTCAGATTTAAAGGGCCACTCATCAGGTTTGACAATTTTGAGCTGACAAGCACAATGCGTAGATGAGGCGCTCACGATCACGTCTGCCGAAATTTGCAACGCTACGTGCCGCAGGAAATGGGTCAAATTTCAAGATTAACGCTGCTCCCCCTTTCTTTTGCGGGCTTGCGCTCCGAGAAAAGGGCATGATGTGCGCGTATGAATGGCCCTACGTACACGGCAATGCAGTGACGTTGGTCCTCTACGTAGACAACTGTGCTCCGACGTTGCCAGCAGTGGCACTTGACATGGCGAAAATTATTTCACGCGACCTGCGTAGTTTATGTATTTGTTGCTTGAAGAGATTAATAAATTTCTAGATAAATAATGAGTTGAATAAAGGAATGTGAGTGTTCTTTTTTTTTCTTTTTTGCCCGTGAATTGCAACGAGATTCGAGGCTAATGTGCCGGCGTTTCGCATGCGTTCGTGTCTCCGCGGTGAGCGCATTGAGCAGACGACAGTGGTAGAACGCTTTTACGCATTTGTGCACTGATTGTGCTCATCTATTCTAACGTGTCGTGACCGCGTCTAAGCCAGCGTTTCCAAACCATCCCGCAGAAACAGGCGGTAGACCTCAAAACAAAGCTGGTTAACAACAATTAAAAAAAAAACGTTGCTCGCATACATGGGGGTTGGGCTTGTTAGGGCATGTCATGCGCACATGACCTCTTGGTCGGATGCCGTAGGAGGTAGAGAAGTGATTTGGCTTGCAAAGGCTACGCGGTAGAGCGGCAAGGGTTTCGAGCTCACCTCCTCTCATTTTTGTTTCGTGCTGCTTCAAAAAAAAAAAAAGTTTTCTCAGCTCGTAATGAACCGGTTAAAAAACTTTTCGCGGCAAAATGTTCCTCATCGAACACCCAACAACTTCCTTCCGTGGTCTAATTAAAATTTGGTATGGGGCCTGGTGAGTGGCCCTTTAAGTTTACTGCTGCATCGACAATAATGCATAGTGATGACAGGAACGGCAGTCTCATTAGCAGCCTGCTGCTTTTGTCCCATCCTCCTGCATTGCCGTAGACAAAAAAAATTGACCAAGATGCTGTTGTTTTCACTAAGTTTTGCATATTGATGAACACACATGCTGTGCAAATTTTTATGCAAAGTTCCTTGTTTTGCAGCGAATTTCCCGTACTGTTTCTCGAGGCATTGGCAGAGCGTCCTCAGGAGGATGACAATGGATCGAACAAAAGCAGCCTCAGCCCGGAAAGACAACTGATGCTGTATCAAGAGAATGCTCAGACTGCTGATGCAAGCTGGTGTAACATAATGTGATCCTTCTTTCTCCATTTCGGCCTCAAAAGAGATACAGTACTCACAGATTGCAGTGACACTTTTTTTTTTAGTTTAGCAATTGCTATGAGCGATTGCTTGTGATACCCATGTCATGTCACTGCAAGTCTGGCTGCTAAACATTATATTGGCTCCGATATAAGTGACAGATTCAAAATCACGCAGATAGGACATTAACTGTAGTCACTGGATATGAGAGTATGTACGTTACCTAGACCTCAACTTTTGAGTTGCAATGTGTGAGTACTGTATATGTTGTGAAATACACTCAAATCTCATTATAACAGAACTGCATCTTACATAAAAATGAGTTCGTTACACCCGAAAATTCGTTATAAGAGTATATTCCTAGCACTCTATCAGTTGCAAGACTATTCTGCATTTACTTTGCTATAACTGATATTTCGTTATATCCGGGTTCGTTATATGGAAGTTTGAGTGTAGGCCACATATTTGTATGTCCAAGAGCAAATCTAGATAGTTGCGTGCACTATACCGCTCCGCAGCTTAAGCAGTGTGTTCATCTGTGTCATAAGCGAGTCGTAAGCCTGCAGCACGACTGCTTTAGCTCAGTTCTTGCCGGATCGGAGATCCGCGTTTTTTTAGTCAAGAATCGACCCAGTGATCTTGCCCATGTGCATTTTTTTACGCGCCATTTTTACCTCGCCCTTTTATGCAGCCACATGTGCGATGATATTTTTGGACAATAAATGCGATTACACCCGTGTCTCATTTTTCCTGAGTGATGCTGCATACCTTCTGTGGGGGGGGAATTGGCTATGTTTCGAGTTGTTAGACTGAGGTTAACGAGGCCCGGGGTCAGTAGTAAATTTAACAAAAATGTTAATAAAAAGTGACATACTAATAACTTATAAAAATAGCCTGAAGCAATGAAAAATTCTTCTTTGGCTGAGCTGACATATATAGGGTTCGAGCGAAGAGGCTATCGAAGGATGTTTAGTAGGCTTGTGTGAATATTCGAGTGCTTCAAATATTCGAACGAATATTAACACATTCAAGTTAGCTTCGTTTTGAATTGAAATTGTGCAAAATTTCAAAGTATTCCAATTGAACAAGAAAGTGCGCACTTGTCCGCATGTAACCCTCCTGTAAAAGTGGTTTCACTGCAGTGCAGGAGTGCTAAGCCGTAAAAACATTTTTTTAATTGTATATAATAGGGGAGTGCAAATATTCGAAATTTCAAACTTTTGTCAAATAGTGTTTGTTATGTTATGTGCAATGAATATTTTACTATTAGAACTTCCCAAAAACAAAAATAGTCATCTATTCGTAAGTGCCCCTTCAGATTTTTAATATGCTTCCCCTTATACTCGTTTTGCGGCAAAGCTGCCGTTCAGGCTCCGTTATGGTCGAACTTTTAACGTCAAATTAAAGGTGGCCTCTCAGCAGATCTTTAATATGCTTCACTTCTTCACACTCATATTGCGGCAAAGCTGCCGTTCAAGCTCCGCTATGGAGCCTGAACAAGAAAACGCACCATCGAAAAAACGCCGTTGTCAATGTAGAGATAGTAGATGTGGGGACTCGATAGGATTGCCACTGGTGGCTACTTTTTGCCAAATTGGCGAAGTTGAGATGCCCGTGGCAGCCTAAAATTATGAATGGCGACATGGCGAATTTTTGCCGATTTTTGGCATAGGTCTCCACTGAGTTATGCATTCTATACGCAGTGTTTTCGAAACGAATGGGAAACATCTTTGTATTTTTTTTAGTAGTTTGAGGCGCTCCACTAGAAGGTTCAGTTTAAGCACAACTCGGTACATCTGTCCTGTTTCTCAATTCACTTATATCCTCGAAGCGTTGGCGTACGGCGCGTCCACCAGCAACATCTCGGCAAAAGTTACGTCAACGGAGTGATTTGCGTGCCACGAAGCGGTGGTTTAAGTATTGTAGCTGCTTTAGAAGCTCTAAGCTTATCTAAAGTTTCGATTCTGAAGTGGCTAGCAGAAGGTTAGTCCGCTTGTTCTGACCACAGCACTACTCTCCTCAATAGCTTGTCGACTTCTTCAATGCGGTAGTACTCCCAGATTTCTTATGTAGAGTTTTAATTTAACATACCTTTTGGGGCGGCCAAGTAGTTGGCTTCTTATGGCAGCCTTCAGAAACAGCATTAAGGTGAATGTGTAGTGCAAGCATGACTGCAGAGAAGACGGGTGGGGTGCAGGCATCACCACAGTTACGCAGTCTTTCTTAACTTAAAAAAATTCCGCCATATCCACGAAGTGAATGATGATGAGTGGGCGAAGCTCCGGAGGTAAACCTGGTAAACCATGAATCCTCTGTACATTTTGCCCACTCGATTTTATTACATCGCTCCCCCTAGCGTACGTCGCCGCACTAAATCAAACGATTGCCTTCAACCAATGACACGCGCCATATGTGACATCATTCCTATTTTATAAGATCTCGCGTCTTTCATCAACTACAAGTACCGCTTTCTAGTTTATAACATCTTGCATCTTTTCATCATCAGCTACAAGTACCACCATCTAGTAAACACTACAAGAACTAAACGACAGGTGGCTACATACAGGAGACGGTACCGCCATCTAGTGAACACTGCAAGAACTAAACTAGAGGTGGCTACATACAGGGGACGGTACCGCCATCTAGTGAACACTGCAAGAACTAAACTAGAGGTGGCTACATACAGGCTACAGGGGGCGCACAGCCCACGCCCTAAGGAGCTTTGCCCCTAAAAAAATTGTGATTTGTAATTATTTTTTTCAATTATCGAACATGTTTTTCCACTGTAACGAGACTAAATCTGCAGGAAAGATAAGCACGTCGTCCCTTTCTTGTTGTAGTGGCTGCTTCGCCCTGTATTAAATACAACTGAAGCCATCACAAATTTTTGCTGTGAGGTGCTAGCCTTCAGAAATCTTGCTGCAGTGCATGCATGCCCTTTCTCGGGGCTCCCATGGTGAAGCGGGTGATACGACTCCAAGCGCAGTGAGCCTTCCCGTGGTGAAGGGGATGATGAGACTGGCACTGAAAAATGTCAATTTTGGGGTTATGAATGGTACTGTACTCCAGGGGGCTATACATAATTAGCAATTTTTATTACTAGACCCGTCACACATATGTTGAGTAGCGACTTTTCTGGCAAAACTTGAAGAAAAATTATGACTTTTGGCGACTTTTCCCTCCATGTTTGGCGAAATTTCACTGAAAACTCAATGGCAACCCTGGGACTCGTTCAGGTTTTGGATCTGAAATTTGGGCAGGATGTCCAAAAAAGCAGACACCGAAAAATTTTTAGCTTCCAAAATTTCAAATGTTATTATATTATTGACATCTACAAGGCAGATTTGGAACTTCGGACTCTGAGGGAGCACGCCCTTATTCGCCACATCATTTAGGCTTACACAGAAATTGAAAGAGTAGGAGAGGCTGGGGAATTAGTATCTTCGCATTTAATTTAAAGTGTTGTTGGCACCAGTTTGGTTTGTGAAGTCATCTATACAAATACGATTCGGCCTTTGCAGTGCCTCATTTTCGATTTCCTGGTTTGGAATTAAACTGTGTGTTTCTCTAAAGTCCACAATTTCTTTTTTACGATTCACTCGTCTAGTGCATCTGCCTACTTATGCATCGTCGTGTGCATTCACTTGTCTTGTGCATTGTACAGCCCTATTCACAATTTAACGGGCAAATTTTTCGCACACGTTTGCGGAGATCTAGAGATGATGTTTTACTCGAGACATTATTGAGAATGTTCTATCTTTTGCGTACATAAGTTAAACAATTGGTACGCGAGTACTATGTGCAAAACCTTTTACCCTACAAGAGCACGTCACATGCAGAGGCCTATACAAGCTGCTGCACTTACAAAACTGGACATGTCGGCACAAAATAAGGCAGCACGGAACAGGATTTTTTATTTTACAGTTTATACAGTGTTTCAAGAAAGCCTTTCGTGGTCTTCTCTTGGCCGTTTCTCCATCCTGTAATCGTAATTAAAAAAGGAAAAATGGCCCCAAGGAACAAAAAGAAAACTAGCCGACCTAGTTACAAAACCATGAGAGAGTGCAAAAGGTATTGCTCAGAGCAACAGGATAAAATCTACACATGTAATGATATGATGCACCCAGTCAGTAGAGTCACGACATGCATAAATATTTTCCAAAGAACAAAATATTTCATGTTCTCTACATCCTAACAAAGTACTACTAAGGAAGCCTACAAGTGAACATGAAAGCTCAAAAACAGACCATTTTACAAGAAAGCTCACCTGTTTCAACTCAAGCAGGTCAGTCTTTAAAGCCCAGGCGTTTTCTCAGCCACTCTCATCTTCTACTCTGATGTGGTAACCTAGCATAGGTAATTAATAAGCTCATTAAAATCTTGTCCTCCACACTGTCGTGATACGAAGTTCAACTTATTACATCCAAACCTGTATATAAAATATCAAATTCTTGTCTGCGTCAGTCTGTCTAACTGCCCCATAGAAATCCCCACGTGAAGAGAACCCCTATGCTATGTGTGACCCCTGAAATCTCATTGTTTTGGTTTGTATCCAATGTAAAATACGTTGTATAAAAACATTTAGGTGCACCAAGCAAAAAAAAAAAAAGAAATGGAGGCAAAGCCTATAACTTAAACATGACGGAGTCCCTCTGCTACAGCACGGTAACGCGGGACGGAAGAGTCGTTGACGGATGCGAGACAAAGCATAACGTATGAAGCACAACACTCAGCGGCATGGCGATAATACGCTTTTATCTCTTCTTATAATTAACTAGCAAAGGAACTGACGACTGGGTGAGTTGGTATTCATTTTCTCTTAGTGTTGCACATACAGCATTAATAATGAACCAACTTTAAAAATGCTTGCTGCAAGAACTTCTACTGACAGCACCTGTAACTTTCCGCCTACACAGGGGCAAATTATGCAATGTGTGGTACTAGCTACGAGACGCACCCTTTGCTCTTGGATCCCTTCTTGCCCGGCTTGTCCATATGGCTGTCATCTCGGCCATCGGCACCCATTTGGTCGTCCACATCTTGCGATTGCACCTTTAGATTCTTCTTTACGCTTGCCACCTGAACCAAAGGCACTTAAAGTGATGCAGAGCTCATTTCGCACAACACGACGCACCCAAGCAGAAACTGGCATTCTGCTTTTTGACTCGTGAAACATCATTCAGCCAGCCTTTGACATCCTTTCTGTAATCACATCTACAACTTGTGTGTGCTTCTCAGCTCCAAGATAAAAATTTGCACCATGGTTTAGGTGAGCGTTGACTTCAAGTTAAGTAAAACTTTCAGGAAGACAGAGTTGTTCGAAACCGTCTTGGCCACATCGTACTAAGGCAGTTAGGCTACCCTAACAACTGTTTTCATAACGAATCCTGCAACGCCTTGTGAATAGTAATGCAAAAGTATTTTACCGTAAGATTGCAGAGATGCTTTTCATGACTATTTAACATTACTGGCTGGCCTACCCAAATTTTAGCGGTGATCCCTCTTTGCTCAATGCTTCCCTTGAAAGGTACTGTATAATGTGCTGCTACTTTACAATACCTGCAAGGGCTGTAAATGGTTGTTACAACTAAATACAATAATAACAGTTCAAATGGTACGTATGCAGAGTATTAACCATGTAATGCACACTGTATCATATTTGGTACATTGAATATAATACTTCAATAAAGCTACTATAGCTATCATGATAAATAGATATTGCAGATTTTGCATATTAGGAAGAAGGTGCAGTGACCTATATATAATAAGATAGTAATGGATTATTTGCAATTATTACTGATTAAGTAATGCCTCAAACAAGATTTCATTCATGTTTTTTTTTTTAAACTACCTCTACAAGAAGAGTAAAAACAGTCGGCATACTCTCGCAATTTTTCTGGAGGCACAACTTTTCGCGGGCATTACAGGGTTAAGTTATGTATAATTACAAAATTGCAAGCAACTAACCATGATGCTATGGATGCAATAAATAGCGTAAAAATAGCCTAAAAAATAATTTCTGTGGGGAGCTGCTTCTATTAACACTAGTCATCACGGTGAGGGGAAGATATACAGGATTTTCCCGCAATGGTGAAGGGGAGGGGTAGGAGTAGCAGCTCGTGGAAAGTCTGATACCCGAGTGCTGAGCACGGGGCATTAACGCCCACACTAAGCTTATATGCATTAAAAATTAAAAGCAGGGGCCATGCTGATAAGGCTTCCTTTTTAGACCCACTCTTTATCACAGCTACAAAAGGCAACAGCAGCGATAGATAAAAAAAATAAATAAGCATGGAATGCATAGAATAAGTCACCTCGTTTTCAATGTGTTGCTTCAGCTTTATGTGCGAGTCCTTCATAGCATTAGCACGGGTGATCTGGCACTCAATGCTGTTCACTACAGTCTCGCAGCTTGTACACCTAAAGGGGCAGAGAAACATAAATGTCAGGTAACGCAGCATCAAGTGCAGCCACTTGTTCATTTGCCATCACGTTCTGGCTGATAAGCTACCATAATACCTGCAGCCATTAGAAACAAGCCAGAAGGACAGTAACAAAATGACAGCCTTGTTATCTGCCAATTCTCTCAGTGCAAAATAAATCACTGAAAAATCCAGAAAATCTACGAAAAGGAAATACAGATGGCAGCACTGCCTCGAGGTTCCTGCACCAACAGACCGCTACACTAAATTTCAACAGAATCTGGCAGAGCTGACACAATCCTTATTTGCAAACAGTGTTCTAGTGGATATGATGAAACAAATTTTGAAAAATTTTTTAAAATATTTTAAAAAGAAAAAATTCGGCAAATCCCACGTGCCTGGGAATCGATGTTATGCGAAGTATGCGGAGGGAAGGTGACCTTGTTGCAATTTTTTTATAGAACGTCACGTTATAAAATGACACTAAATGATGTACAAATGTTGCGTACACAGACATATGTTTAATAGTTGCAGATGGTGTATAACCAGCGGTTTGCACTTGCACAATGATGCCAACTAGAACATGCGTATTAGGAATACCAGAAGCAGATATGAAGTGCTGATGCTCGCGAGGACGCTGGCCCTGGACACTGCTACCTAAAGAAACTTGAGCGCAATGCAACTAACCAGAATTGACGTTAATCCGACGTGACGGCTATATCGAAGGAGTACATATGTAATGTTTTTACAATTGGGTAGGCAGCACTGCAACCACTATTGACATTCCACGAAGATTAGCGTCTATTTAAAAAGTAGTTCCGAGGCTTGGTGTAGCTCTGGAAAAATACTTCATTGCCACACATAATGCTTGGGTTCGATTCTAGCTGGGGCCCTGACATTTATTCATTGTATTCGTCGGGTCGACGCTACCAATGTTGGGTACTTCTTAATGCTCGCGCGTTGAAATTGCCCATGTGTGTTCTGGTCGTTTCTGGGTAGATACTAAGTGTCAATCACCTGTGGCACATAGTGGCATACTAGAGGCACATACCTGCACGTGGGTATGTGCCACTGTCTGGTGTAAAGTTTTTGACGACGCACTTGATGGGATTGTGGCATTACTCATGTCTTGACCAGCATGTCATATCGGTCAAGCCATCTTACCCTCCCATGCTAATTTTAGTTCACGCCAAGTTAAGAGGGTGACCACATGAGCACCCAAATGTGAGCGGCTAGATAGAATAGATAGATAGAATAGATAGATAGATAGATGATTGATAGATACGCTCAAAGTGGCCAAAGTTCGCTAAGAAATACTTTGCATTTATTAATATTAGAAAAAATATTTTGAAATTTGTCACATCAGAGGTGAAATTGAGGTACAGAGCTTGTGGCACAATTAAAAAAAAAAGAGAGATGTCGGCCTTCATTTTTTCTTTCAGTAATGAACCTATGATGGTAATATGACTCTAAAATATCAGCTTGCAAGTCTGCAGTGATTTAGTATTTCACTATTCAGTTAGACTAGGCTCAATCATGTTAGGTCTGTTCAAAATTATACCGATGAGCGCATGCACGACTATGTTTTTCCAAATGCCCGGCCATCTCTCAAATCATTGACAATTGCACAATTTAGAAGTTGCTTTCCAGCATCACAGCAGCTGCCTAGAATTTCTGATCACAAAGCAGCGGTGATGATTGTACAACTCAGTGCAGTCCATCAATGTTTAATGTACATGAGCACAACTCCAGCTATATCCTGGCTCTGTCAGCTGCTACAGACACATATAGTATTTACGTGACTGCAGGTCGACACATTTCATCCAAATATGAAACCCAAAGTTGGGGGGAGGGGGGTGGTGGTGGTGTCTAGGTACAATCAGAACCGAAACAGGTACTACTAGTTAGGTGCATGACAAACGAGAAATGATGGACGACACTACATTGTCATTCCTGCTCTACCTGCAATACATACTCCTCGCGTATAATCTGCGCTCTCAGCGAAAATTCGGAGAAATTAAAAAAAATAATAATAACTTCTGCGTATTGCCGCAAAGCTAGCTTCCCTGCAGAGCTCTCAAGCCTTACTGTGAAGCTGTGTTAGCAAACAAAAATTGAGATTGTTTTTTTTTTTCTTTAACGCTATTAAAGAGCTTGTGTCGCAGAAAACCTGCCGCCGATGGTAAAAAATCGTCTGTGCGTCTGTGACCAAAAAATCAGGTTACCTAAATAGGCACGGGAGGCCGCTACTTTGTCCCCACGTGCTGCGCGATCACACTGAAAAAGCCATGCACTCAAAGAAAAAAAAAACTGCTCAAGGTCACGAGGCGCGGTAGTTTCTTTGCCCTGCCACCCTTCTCTGCTTAGCTCTCAGGGCTTTCGTTGGGACAAGAAAAGAGATAATGCAATCGCAGCATGCGACGAATCTTTGTAACTCCATTCACACTGGACGGGTTCCTAAAATTTTTGTGGCACTGAATTCGTGAGGCAATAAGCTTTTCTAGTGAATTCATTTCATGGTTACTTGAAAAAGTGTTTTAGGGCCCCTTCAAAGCATTTTGTTTGACAGGTGTCACGATGAAAACGAGCCCTTTGGGCGATAATAGCACGTGCTGGTCCAATCTACTGTGTGCATGCGTGTGTATGTAACAAAACATACGAATAAGTATGCTCTTAGTGGTTGAAGGGTGCACTAGGGGCTGGATTTCACTATCGCGTTCAACTCTTGAAGGCGAAGCTTAAGGGTCCCTCAATTTAAAAAAAAAAGTTCCGCTTCTTATTAGTCTTGACAAGACATGTCTTGGCACTAGTTGGCGATACCTTATTGAACACATTCTGCACTACCTTTTACGAAACCAGGACAGAGAAGAGCGTAACAGGACGAACGTTGACTCCAACTATGCAGTCAAATCTTATCCTGCGTGAACAGTACGGGCCAGTTCTCTCTCTCTCATTTTTTTATTCTTTAACCGTGTTATTTTGACATTAGAGGAGACTTGAAATCGTGCAAATACATGCACTACTAGGAATGCCTTTCATGAGCAAAGAGAATGCATCATGCGTTACCATTCCTGCAGCACTCGGATGATGGTATTGACGTCCTCTGGACGGATGTCCCTGCCTATGGTGTAGTCCACTTCCAGCTGATTGTTCTTCTGGTCCAGTTTCCCTCGCACCACGTCAGCATAGATCACATCGATGATCATATCTTCCAACTCCCGCAAGTTCTTCATGTCGAGTTCTTTTAGCAACGTGGAATATGGGATACACTAGAGATGGCAGAACAAAAACATAGTTTTACCACGCTGGGCAGCATGCCGTTAAGACCCTGCTCTACAGCTAGAGCCACGATCTTCGAATAAATTAAGAAAGAACCTTAGATATCATTTGTAACAGCACAACTCATGACAGTAAGAATGCTTTACAAAATGCGGTGCCACATAGAACTGAAATTAGGCTTTAGATTACACCAAATTTTAAATAATGCACAAGCTATAATAAAAACTGCTGCAAGAAACTACCAGTAAATTTAATAGAAATGCGCTTGATTTTCGCCCCAGTAACATACAGCTACTTCAGCCTGGTATTGGGCCTTAACATCAAACTTGGAAGTGCACTGTACCCACTTAGGAATGTAAAGCTAACTTCACGCTTTCTGCTAGTGAAGCAGCAATCTAAGCAAATCATACAATATACCAAGAGCTTTGCCCCTTATTCAAAACAAATGTATGCTGCGCTGCAGTAACTGCACAGTTTTCTTGGCAGTGGCTTTGACATTTGCTAAAATAAACAGGCGAGTTAGAAGTGAAATCCTTTTTTCCAATCTTTTGCGATTGAGTGAATAAGAATACTCAGCGCACAATACTCAAGCTGTAACCAACTACCCCATTACTTCTGACAAATTATATAATACATGTTGGTATCATGTAAAAAAAATTCGATATGGTTATAAGAGATGCAGCGGAGGGCTCCAGAAATTTACACCATCGGGTGTTCTTGTAACGTTTGTGAAGAAGAAAACGCATCGTTGGCAAGCAACATCGCCACCGCTTGGGTACTGGGTGCTGGGCTTCTCTAGCTGAGCTCGTGCTGATCATCGCCGGCATCTGCTTGACCGTTGCTCTGTCCCCACAGTGGTTTCATCGTAGGGCCACCGTCGCAACAGTCGCCAATAAACCCCTTTTCAATTGTGCGTGAAGAAGTAGCTCGGCAGCTGTCGATTCTCTTCACGCAGCAGCCTCCGTCCTCTCGTCTGCCCTCACCACGCCGCGACGTTATTGCCGAAGAGGCAGCTCAGGCTGTTCCCGTCGCTGCCCACCAGCAGCCTGTGGCCATGCCTGTTCCCCATGCGCTGGCTATGTAGCCCGTGGCTGCGCCTCTTACTTATGCCCAGGTGGTACGCAGTAGACCCCGCCAGCAGCTTTTGTTACCCATGCCTGCAGTTGCTCCCCACTCTACCCCTCTTTCGACATCTTGGGCCGCACCGCGAGTCCACAATTTCTGCCGCGCTGCTGACAATTGACCGATCTGCTACGCCTGCAGTACTCCAGGACACGTGGCACGATATTGTCGTCGTCGCTTCCAATCACAACACAACGCTACTTGGCCGTTACCGTATGACCCGCAGCCCATGCACCTACCTGCTCCCTATCCTTCACCGCAGTATGGCTACACTAACCTTCAGAGTCTCAGTCACTCCAGCCCCCAGCTCCGACTCACTCTCCCCGCTTGCCGTCTCCTCGCAGGCGATCTCTGTCCTCAATGCGTCCCCGATCCGCTTCCTCCAACCGGGAAAACTGAACGCCGCAGTTCCAGAGGCAAGAACTGCGCCGTCATCGAAATGCCCAAGTCCTCGCACTTCACCTGCTAACGTCGTCGCCATATCTGTCGATGGTGTTTCTACCTTTGCCCTCATCGACACAGGTGCTGCCGTTTCTGTTATAGCCGCCCAGCTTTGCCGCTCCCTACGCAAAGTGACCACGCCGCTCTCTGGACTATCGCTTCGTACGGCTAGCGCACAACCAGTTCAACCTCTCGGCACCTGTACAGCCCGCATTTTCATCCAAGGCTCTATGTACGTTGTCGAGTTCATCGTCCTTTCGGTGTGCTCGCATGACGCTATCCTCGAGTGGGACTTCCTGTCACATCATCATGCCGTCATCGACTGCGCACGCGCTGAAGTTCAATTTTCGCACCTGTCTGACGAACCTTTGCACGAAACTCTTGAGCGGTCCCCAAAACTCGTCGTACGTGAACACACTGAAATTCCGCCAGCCTCTCTTGCCGTTGTCCCTGTTTGCTGCAATGACCATAACGATGCTACAATAATGTTTACACCTTCCGACATTTTCATGAGCCGCAGAGCCGTTTCCTTGCCTTTCGCTACACTTGATGTCACTGCTGGCCGAAGCAATATTTTCGTCCACAACCCCCTTTCTGCACCGCTTATGCTACCTGCCGGCGAATGTCTCGGTCGAGTGGAGTACCTCGATTCCTCTTTATTCCTTAACATGCCAGACGAATCGTGCAGTAGCGCCTCGACCGAACTTCATGCCCTTTCCCCACTGGAATGCTCATCGAGTGACACCTTCTCGAACTCCATCGCCGACACCTTAAGTGCCCATGAACGCGCCGAGCTTCTTAATCTCCTCCAGCACTTCGCGAATTCATTCTACGTTTCTCACCCGCATTTGGGTCGGAGTTCCGTAGTGCACCACTACATTGACACGGATTCGCACCAGCCATTGCGTCAAAGACCGTACCATGTCTCTGCTGCAGAACGTCAAATCATCAAAGACCAGGTCGAAGAGATGCTACGCCGTCGCGTTATTCAACCATCGCACAGCCCTTGGGCATCTCCTGTCGTTCTAGTTCTAGGGCATCTCCTGTCGTTCTAAAAGAAGGATGGATCGATTCGATTTTGCGTCGACTACCGGCGATTAAACAAGGTGACGCGGAAAGACGTCTATCCATTACCGTGCATCGACGACGCCCTTGACAGCCTCCAAGGAGCCGAATTCTTCTCCTCCTTAGACTTTCGATCTGGATACAGGCAGGTTCCTATGGCAGAAGCTGATCGCCAGAAAACTGCGTTCATTACACCAGATGGCCTGTACGAATTTAACGTAATGCCATTTGGCCTTTGTAATGCTCCTGCCACGTTTGAACGACTCATGGACAACACACTGTGTGGACTGAAGTGGTCTGTGTGTCTATGCTACCTCGACGACATTGTCGTTTTCTCTCCCGATTTTCCCACACATCTGCTTCGGCTCCAACTGGTTCTGACGTGTTTAACCAACGCTGGGCTCAAACTGAACCTTAAAAAGTGCCGCTTCGCCGCGCGAGAGCTGTCCATCTTAGGGCACATTGTGTCCAAGCATGGTGTTCGCCCCGGCCCTGCAAAACTGCGAGCAGTCCCCGAGTTCCCAAAACCTACTACACTGAAAGAATGACGCAGTTTTGTCGGACTATGCTCGTACTTCTGGCGCTTCGTGCGAAATTTTGCGTCGATCATGTCACCACTGACCAACCTCTTACGCGGTGACGCAGACCTATCATCCTGGTCTCCTGACTGCGACGTCGCGTTTGCCACGCTCCGTAGTCTGCTAACATCTCCACAAATTGCCGCAAAGCTAGCTTTCCTGCAGAGCTTTAAAGCATTGCTGTGAAGCCGTCTTAGCAAACGAAAATTGGGACTTTTTTTTTTTAGTGCGATAGCGTTAAAGAGCTCCTGTCGCAGAAAACCCGCCGCCGGTGTCGGCCCTGTTGGTTGTGACCGAAAAATCAAGTTACCGAGATAGCAGCGGGAAGCCGCTACTTGTCCACTCGTGCATGCACGATCACACTGAAAAAGCCGAGCATTCAAAGAAAAAAAAAAATTCTCAAGGTCACGAGGTGGGGTAGTTTGCCCTGCCACCCCTCCTTGCTTAGCTTCCAGCGCTTTCGTCGGGAGGAGAGAAGAGATGATGCAATCGCAGCATGCGACAAAGCTTTGTAACTCCACTCGCACTGGACGGGTTTTTAACATTTCTGCACCGTTGAATTCGTGAGACAATAAGCTCTTCTAAAGAATTAACTCCATGGTTACTTGAAAAAGTGTTTCAGGGCCCCTTTATCACATTTTGTTCGACAGGTGTCACAACGAAAATGAGCCCATTCGGCGATAATAGTGCGCACTGGTCCAATCTACCGTGTTAGGTTAGGTTAATTTGGTTTTAATGGCGCAAAAGCAGCTAAGGCTATGCTGCGCCAGACACAAGACTTTCAGGAATGGACACTGAAAAGATGAGATTTTAAAGCTTATGTAACATATTACATTCCTTCAGAAAGTTTAGCAAGTCAGGCAGAGGTACTAGAGGGTCATCTCCTAGGAACAAAGCAGGGTGTAAAGGTGCGTGTTGTTTGTATAGCCTGCTGAAATGTTTTTGTCTCTGTGTTTCAATGGTAGGACATGTAATTAGGATGTGCATAAGTGTTAACGCTTCTTGGCATTTTTCACACGTTGGTTATTCTTCCTTTCAAGTAAGAAGTTGTGTGTCAAGTGTGTGTGTCCAATGCGAAGTCGGCATAATACAACTTCGATAAACCGTTGCTGGTGACGGCAGGTCTTCCATTCCCCGAGTGTGGGTTTCACCAGGTAGAGCTTATTGTTCGTGCAGGTGTCCCATTGCTTTTGCCACTTTGCTAGTAGAGCCAGGCGAATTGTTCTCTGGATATCTTTGAGGGGAATTTTCACTTTTGTTACTGTTTTTATGGGCTGCCTGGAAAGCATACTTATCTGCTTTTTCGTTTCCGGGTATCCCAACATGACTTTGGGACCCAGCAGAAACGGATGCAGGCTGCCTGGCTGTTTAAGTATACCATGTTTAAAATGTCGCCCACTATTGGCTCACATTCGGATTTTATATGTAGTGCTTTTAGTGTGCTTAGTGAGTCGGTGTATATGATTGCTTTCTTGTATTTTTCAGCGATGATTTTCCGAACTGCTTCACTCAAGGCATAAGCTTCAGCTGAAAAAATGGAAAACCTACGAGGTACTTTCACAGAAATTGCGCTTTTCGTCGTCGCAATCCCAATACCCAAGTGGTCTTCCGTTTTTGAGCCACCTGTGTAAAATTCTTCGTAATCCCTATATTCGTGCTGAAGTGTGTAAAATTCTTGGATTATGTGTTCTGGTGGGGTGCTTTTTTTGTTAAAACAGCTTAGTGAAAATTCACATAGCTTTGACAGGTCGAACCATGGCAGCAGTCTTGGTGGTTTATTAGCGACATCTAGTGATCCATCAGGGATCACTGTGTGCATGTTTGTGTGCGTGCATGTGTATACAACAAAACATATGAATAAGTATGCACTTAGCGGTTTAAATGTGCACTAGGGGCCGGATTTCACTATCGCGTTCAACTGTTACAGGCGAAGGTTAAGGGTCCCTTGATTTAAAAAAAAAAAATTTTCACTTCTTATTTGTCTTGACAATACATGTCTTGGCACTAGTTGGCGATACCTTATTGAAATCATTCTGCGCTACTTTTTACGAAGACAGGACAGAGAAGAGCGTAACAGGACGAATGTTGACTCCAACTACGCAGTCAAATCCTGTCCTGCATGAATAGTATCAGTCAGTTCTCTCTCTCTCATTTTTGTTATTCTTTGACTGTGTTACTTTGACATTAGAGGAGACTTTTAAATAGTGTAAATACATGTACTACTAGGAATGCCTTTCATAAGCAAAGAGAATGCATCGAGCGTTACCATTCCTGCAGCACTCGGATGATGGTATTGACGTCCTCTGGACGGATGTCTCTGCCTATGGTGTAGTCCACTTCCAGCTGATTGTTCTTCTGGTCCAGCTTCCCTCGCACCACGTCAGCATAGATCACATCGATGATCATATCTTCTAACTCCCGCAAGTTCTTCATGTCGAGTTCTTTTAGCAACGTGGAATATGGGATACACTAGTGATGGCAGAACAAAAGCACATTATATTTTTACCAGACTGGACAGCATGCCGTTCAGACTCTGCTCTACAGCTAGAGCCACGATCTTTGAATAAATTAAGAAAGAACCTTAGATATCATTTGTAACAGCACAACTCATGACAGTAAGAATGCTTAACAAAATGCGGTGCCACACAGAACTGAAATTGAGCTTTAGATCACATCAAGTTTTAAATAATGCACAGGCTATAATAAAAACTACTGCAAGAAACTACCGGTAAATTTAATAGAAATGCACTTGATTTTTGCCCCAGTAACATACAGCTACTTCAGCTTGGTATTGGGCCTTAACATCAAACTTGGAAGTGCACTGTACCCACTTAGGGAAGTAAAGCTAACTTCACGCTTTTTGCTAGAGAAGCAGCAATTTAAGCAAATCATACAATATACCAAGAGCTTTGCCCCTTATTCAAAACAAATGTATGCTGCGCTGCAGTAACTGCACAGTTTTCTTGGCAGTGGCTTTGACATTTGCTAAAATAAACAGGCGAGTTAGAAATGAAATCCTTTTTTCCAATCCTTTGCGATTGAGTGAATAAGAATACTCAGCACACATTACTCAAGCTGTAACCAACTACCCCATTACTTCTGACAAATTATATAATACATGTTGGTATCATGTAAAAAAACTGCGATATGATTTATAAGAGATGCAGCGGAGGGCTCCAGAAATTTACACCATCAGGTGTCCTTGTAACATTCACCAAAATTTAAGTGAATGGGCCTCACACATTTTTGCTTCTATCAAAAAATGTGGCCGCAATGCCCGAGAATTGATACAGCCACCTGTGCGTCAGCAGTCTCGCATCATAACCAATGCACCACCGCCTCGGGCCTTCTAACAATTAAGCACTTTGTGGTGCATATGCATCAAAGGATAATAAAATGTGTGTCACCTTTGTTTTTGTTGCTAAAGACACTATGGTGAGGTGCCTTAATTTCGTAACCATAGCCGGCGTTAATGGTGGAAACTGAGATTTGTTCTCTGTAAGGAAAAATAAAAGGGGTTAATTTATGCAAAAGCCACCAGAAAGAGAAACAGGTACAGCAATGGAGGAAGAAATGAGAAAAGGATAGACTACGAATAAAACAGAGCTGGCATTAGGCCTTCCAACTAAGCGGCTGCTTTATTTACTTTTAATGAGGCAGCAAAGCATCACTTTGAATGAACTTAGCGAAAAATGAATCCACTAAAAAAAAATTATGGCAATCACTCACCATGGTACGTTGCATAGGTCCCAAATGCAAACAAGTTGAGGAGATTTAAGTAGGTGCTGTGGGGACCATTTGCCAGCTAGAAAGAACAAAATAACATAAACTTTCTAATCAAAACTTTTTTGCATTAATAAAAATCTTGCATAAAGCTGACGTAAAAACTCGCAATGCCAAAGTGACTAACTACATACTATGCATATTAAACTGTTTTGAGCACTATTACAAAGACAGTTACTACATATACAGTTAAACCTGGATATAATGAAATTGATAAATTCCCAGAAAAATTCATTATAAAGAGGATTTCGTATATGCAGGTTCAGTACGAAAATTCGGGAAGTAAATGCACAATTTAAGCAAGCAAGGGGCTGAAGGCAGTACTAACTCAAAACACTTTTTTTACAGTGAGAAATCTGTGTTGTTATTGCGAGAACAATTATATGGACGCTCTCGGCGAGCTTTTGCCGTCGCTGCCATGTTCTGTAACAAGTCCGAATCGATAACATGCCCCAACGCATCATAACTTTCACAAAAAAACAAAAAAAAAACGCGCGAGCGCTGCTGAAGCAGAGATAAAATTAGTCAGCCCATCCCTATCGCCTGGAAAGTGCATAAGATAACATCTCCCCTGTGCTAGAACTGCTGTATAATGGTCAAACAAAGTCCAGTCTTGAACGAGCATGGAGCAACGTGAGGAGTGGGGGAATCGCTCGAGTAGTAATAATGAAGTTTGATTTTAAGGGCGGTCGGGATCGCTGGCGCGCTTGCTATCTCGGCGAGTATCGGTGAGGTTTCAACGTGAAGAGACTGTTTGAAAAGAGCACTTATCCCTGCAGTGGCAGTATTTTCTCACACTATCGTTTTGCAGAAGTTAGGCGATATCGAATCCGTGATATTGGATGCCAGCCTTACTTCTTATGAGAGTGCAATTTTTTGCTATCGCGTCCAATGCATTGCATTCCACGCGCACGTCGTGTTGCCAGAACTAATCGTGAAAGCTACCTGCCTGCGTACTCGCAATGCAAGACTGAAGGGCATGACGAGTCGAGCTCCGAAGATCTGTCGGGAAGTCACTATGGTCTCGGAGTTTCCATCAGCGACTAGTCTGGCATCCCTTCGGTGGTGATGATAGGGTTGTCAAAAATTAAGAAAAGTCACAGTTTCGCCGCAAGGGCAAAGCATTGAATGCGATAGCAATAACTGGGAATGTAACACCAAGAACGACAAGCAGGTCGAAACATGCAGCGCGCTGCTCACGTGCAAACGACGTACGAGGACGAGAGCGAACTAACAATGTTTACCGCTTGACACTTGACGCACTGTTTAAACAAAAACAAGGCACGAAATGTAATCACAGCTACAGATATGAGTGCTAACTAAGTGCCCCAGTTGTTACTTCGCTGTGTTTGAAAAGCGCACTTTTTTCGCAAATGGCACCTGCCCAGCAGGCGAAGAGATCTTTGCGCGCCCGGCAACTACACGCGATCGTTCCGGTCAAAGTCGGAGGCGCACGATTCTCCTCACCGAAGGATAAGCGCGCCCCCTCTCCCTTCGCGGGGCAAAGTACGCGTGGGAGATAAGCGCGCATCGGCGCACAGTGATGAGCTGGGCACCAAGCGCGGGCGGCTTTTCTTTTTAAAGACGACAATGTTTCTTGGGGACCTTCGACGCCAAAATTTTGGTCTGCCTGTCTGTACATTTGTCTGTTTGTCCACCATTAACGATACTCCAAACGGCCGACCCCATCCACAGCGCCCACCAATATTGCTCAAGGTTCAGCGTTCATACTTGTGCGATTTTCAATGAAAAAGCAATTATTGCGCATATCTGAGGCACCATAACAACACGTCAATGTTTTGTATGTGTATTTTTTACTAGAAAAGGCATACATAAGTAACTTTAAGGGTCGTAGCCTTTACAACGCTGCGCTGGCCATGCAACGCTTGCACGAAACGGCAAGTGTTTCCAACGCTTTGCTAAGACGACACGGTGGTGGCACCTACCCGTCGCCTTGAGTTCTACACCTTATCACTTCAGAGACGGGCGCGCCCCGTTTTCCAGGATAACTGCCAGATAGCGCTCATGTCTCACGTGTGACGTGACTTTATTCGCTCGTTCGCCTCCGCTGCATGTTCGAGGCACTCTAACGCAGCGCCTCCAGAATACCATTCACCGATTTTCTTGAGCAGAGCATCAAATAAACGTTTTGTTCACTCTCTCCTGACGTAAGACTGTCAACTTCCGACGACACTTGCAGTGTAACATGCAGATACGGGGCCAAATTTTTTCTTTCTTGAGCTTTCATATATATGGATAGGTATACATATGCGATGAATGGTGGCGGCGATGGCAAAAAACCAGGTGAGACTGTCCATATACCGTAATTACTCGAATCTAACGCGCACCTTTTTTCCGGTTAAGCGAGTTCATAAATCGCATGCGCGTTAGAATCGAGTACGAACAAAAAAATTACAATCAATCTATTGCCATCGCAAATCCAAAATGGCCGCCCCCTACGTGCGTCGGCATGGTGCGTCGGCTATTTCTGCCTATGTGTTTACCATGTGCGGCACTTCGTACGTGTGCTGAGGAGTTCGTCATCTAGTAGTGCATTAGCATCGTCGACGTGGAAGGGCCGACTCCAAAAACTCGAGTGCACCACGATGCCGCTTTTAAAAGAAAAGTCATCGCGTGTGCAGAAACGGACGGAAATCGGGCCGCATCGTGGTCCTTCTCGAAACGTGCGTGCGGGACCGGCGGAAACAAAAGCAGAAGATTGTCGATAGCAAAGCTTCACGCAAAGGCTTCAGTGAACCCCAGCAGGGTCGGTTTCCGCAAATTGAAGAGCTGCTCCGCGAGTATGTGCTTGAGGAGCGAGCGGCACAGCGGCCCATGACGACAGAACTGCTCCAAGTGCGGGCTATGCAATTAGTCTTAGAAAAAAGTCTAATGCGGAGCCTGTTTAAAGCGAGCAGGTGCTGGCTAATTAACTATATGAAGAGGAAAGGCTCTTCCCTCCGAAGGGGAACATGCATATGCGAAAACTTTTGCGGAGAAGTACGATGAAAAGCTTTACAGTTTTCAGAGGTTCGTCCTAAACTTGCGGCGCAACAACGGAAACCTGCTTGGGCAAATCTGGAATGCCGATCAGACGCCTCTTTACTTCGACATGCCTGGCACCACAACTGTCGAGAAGAAGGGGGCGAAGCAAGTTCGCGTGCTGACATCAGTCCACGGTAAAACTACAGTGACGGCAATGCTCTGTTACACGTCAGATGGGCACAAGCTTCGCCCGTACCTCATATTTAAATAGAATACAATCCCGAAAGGAATCGTTTTTTCGAGTGGTGTGATCGTGCGGGCCAGAAAAAAAAAAAAATGGGTGCGCGTTGCAATCGATGTCTTACGGTTTTTTTTTTTTTTTTTTCCGCGGTGGAAATCGGGTGCGCGTTACAATCGAGGGCGCGGTAGAATCGAGTAAATACGGTAATTGCTGTCGTAATAAAAAAAAGCAATGCTGAATGTCGTCGTCGGGGGCCACATTATGCGCGCGCAGTAAAACTATGCACATGCTCACGGTGTCGAAAACGAAGAGCGAACGACACAGACATGGATGCCGCGGGAAACTATTAGGTAAAGCGCCCTCCATATGCAGCACGGTCCCACCATGTGACGCTAACTAAAATCGTGGCACTGCCAACGTGCAAAAGTAGCTTTTTTTTTTTTAAAAAGTTTGGTGTGAAAGAAGGGGCACACCCGCGCATGCGCCGGGGGTGGCAAGAACGACGGCAACGCCGGCTCGTAGTGTGAAGGCCCGCCTCGCACTCTCTAGCCTGGTGCGCCATGCGCACCGCCACCGCTTCTTCAGTGCCGGGGCAGCTACGGCTGATGCGTGCTCGTATCCAAAATGGCCAAAATGCGAAGCAAAATTTTAGATTGTCCGTGGGAAAATTTCTTATATCAAGGTTGTCTCCCGCTGTTACTTTGTTACATAGAGGTCACAAATACATGTGCTTCTATAGAGCAACGGTGGGGAATAGAAAAACTTCGTTATATCGAGGAATTCTTTATATAGAGGTTCGTTATAAGCATGCTTAACTGTACTACGTATTGATGACTTAACAGTCACACCGGTAATAGCTCAACAAAAAACTTGTTAGTTCGTATTACACTGCTAGTATTGTGCATTGATGGCCACCCACATTCCCAAGAATGCACAGTAAGTGCAATGCGGACATTTATAACAGCACTAGCACATGACAACTGTGCATCACAACACATACTCCAATGGTCTAAAGACTTCCACTGGGCAGCTCAGCAGTCTTCTTTTTTCTTGCAGCATAGCAGTACGAAAGCTGGGCCTTATTCCTATTTTGATCAATTGTATTTACCAATGCAGTATGGGTGATGCAACAGCACACAATCATGATATATATACATATTTATATATATATATAAAGAAAACACGTCAGGCCTGAGCAGAAAGTGCAGCGCAGTCACAGTGAAAGCTGGAAGTGCAGTATCTTAAAGTGGAGTCGATGCAGCCATAAATAGGATCGCGTCCTCATGATGAGCGCACACCTTGGCCGCCAAATAACTATGCCAACTTGTCTATTTATTTAGTGCTCTTCTGGGTAGCCAACTAGGTTAAGCTCCCTGCCTTTTGTAGATCATCTCCTTTCTTGAAGAAACTTATTACACTATTCTCAACTTTCACGACCTTGTCACAAACGAATGCATTTTTTCGTTTCGCCCGTGCGCCCCATCGTCCAAGGAAGGGCGCTTTTGTGTTGGGAAGACAATATCCGGCGACTTAAGACCCAGCACAGCACCACCGCGTCTTCCCTACACCTGTATCAAAGGGAACACACATGTGTTCGGGAAAAAGGAAATCACCTCCAGAGGGTAAGAGAACACGCGTACGCCCCGAGAAAGAGTTTTGACTGCTTTGAATTCGGCAGTTGACGTGCAACCAGCAAGACGCGTGGTCGTCGGTGTCCCGAGGCTCGTGTAGGCGGCGAGTATGGACTGACCCACGCAACATATTGAGACGGCTGCAATACCGGGCACCCTCGTCGTCTTCTAAGCAAGCGAGATCTACAGTGGCACCCGTGAACTCGCCTACAAGACCAAGAGCTAGCCTGATTTGTATGAAACTTTTCATTGTGACTTTTTTTTAAACTGTTATTTTATTATAACCAGCTTTTAAATAATTGTAGTTGTGTGCGCTGCATCGCACTTAGAAATTCAGAAGCGCGACCATGATCCTTCTGTAATTATTTCTTTGTAGCTCTTTTTGATTTTTCTCATGTTGTTCTTTTATTAATATTTCGCGTACTTGTCTTTTGTCTGTACCTCTTGAAGTGTTATTTTAGAGCTTGGTTTATTATATATGTGTTCTTTTTCATTGCATATCAGTGTTTTTTCCTCTCTGTTATTTACAAATTTTCTTGCCCTTGTACTAATTAAATGCTTGTTTGCCTGCGTTTTTTCCAATGTCTGTGGCTGGCAGCTCTATGAGTGCGTCGGTCGGGCCCATACATCACCACACGTGCAACCCCACAGGAGTCAACTGACCTGCTAATAAATTTAAGATGTACCACTTAGAGGCCTTTCAGGCGTCGCAGGCCGATGCGTAAAGTGGGAGCCTGCGAGTCTGCCGCACGTCGATGTTAGATTGGCGAGGCCTCACCCGAAGTGTGTGACAGACCTACTGATGACGCTACTATACATCCAACAGTGCGGTCGTTGAGATGATCTCCCCGAAAAAGACGATACCGGAAAGTACACTTTTGGCGAAGACTTCTTTCTTTCTTAACACTTCGGTGGCCCAATTTATGTTTTTGAGAAAGTAGGGGAGCGCTAACATACTATATTAAGTAAATAAATGGAGGGTAGCATATCGAGAAGATAAATATGTGCGAAATCGTATTGTATCAACAGACGAACCAAGCGCAAGAACTGCAAACCTGGAAGTTGCTGTACTCCTGCAGAAAATGGATACTGCATACATTCACGGGCCTTGGTTATTTGCCTGCTAAATTTAGCCCTCGTAGCCTCTGATGGCTTTTCGGGGCACTAATTTGAATAGGTCGCTTAATTTTCCTGCCGTTGTGCATAGGCCGGGAGCGTCGAGGCTCGCAGTGAATTCAGTGCGCTTTTTCTTTCTATTTTCCCTTTAACTTGAGAAACTCAAAGGGTTACCGTAATATCAAGACCGTTCACAATGTTGAAAAACGACCACAAAGGTGTAAAAACAAGCAGCAGCGTCTGCTGTTTGAAGCAGGTTCAAAACTTCAATCATCTCAACAGAACTTCCCGATGCCACCGCTCAGCGGTGCCACGATACCTGGAAGTTGCAAATACCTTCGTTTCCAATGTGACTGGCTCACCTCCTGAATGTTTGGCATGTCGAGTAGCTCTCCGAAGACATGAACGCCAGGGGCTTCTGTGACCTGCTTGATGAGTTCGGCGGCTGCGGCGCCTTTCGCTGTCTTGGCCAAGAGAAGGTACTGTTCCAGCTGAGATGACTGCATCATTGTGGTGGCGGCGGCAGTGTTGTTGTCGGCCATAACTGCCAGACCACACTATGCTGCGCATTTTGGCCAACGGAAGAGACTATCAACACTTGCTCAAAAAGCAACACTGAAATACACAAATCATTCCACCAATAAAATATTGTCAAGGTAGGCCTGCTGATTCATTGTAAATAGCAGTGCTAAAAGAAGGGCAACACAAGGCAGAGAAGTATATAGCGCAGGCATGCATCTGACTACTAAGAAATCTGAAAAAACTTATACAAATGCCTTCCATGTTAAATCCCATAATAACGCTCTTTGCTGCATCTTTTCCAATAGATGGCTTGTACGTAGCGTCATGAGCGTAGGTTTCAATACCGTCAATGTGGAAGTGATGCAGCGAGAACGTCTCTGTGCGTGAGCAATGACAGAACCTGCATGTGATAACTGGATAACATAAATGTGACATAGGAAACATGGTGTCCCTACATACTGGTGCTCCAACACAGCACTTTCAGTGACATCAGTGCAAGCACAATCGTACAGATTAATAAAAAAAAAATAGAAATTGAACATTCATAGTTTCCCATTCCGTGGAAGTTCAGGACGACTTCAAATTTTTTTTCATCCATGAGACTAAAACGACTGGGATTTTTTCAATAAAATGGTTTAGGCCAACATGATTGACAAAACGCTTACAGGTGTAATGAAGGCCTTCCCTTTCAATTGTGTGGGCATTAGCTATGCTAAACACGTGCGCCAATCTGTCCAATGACCACTTTTGAACATGATATATGAACGTTGTAAACCATGCCACAAACTTGGTTGAGCAACAGGTTCCTTTATGTTTACAGCCAACGTTCCTCTGACGCAAACATGCTGAGAAGGTCCTTTTCGTGTTTACAGCCAGGCATTCTTTTGACGCAAGCGTGCAAAGAAAGAGACTAGTGCAGAGCAGGTTGCACAGTGTACAGGAGCAACGAAAGAAAAGGCAAGGCGTAAGTCTAGGCACTGCCAGTAACTTGCTCCGCTTGACAAACACTGTATTTTGAATGAGTATCGGTAATTTGGTTACTTCGGTGAAGCTCTTGCAATCTAGACAGCGTTATAAAGCACTATACTGTGCACAACACACACATACACAAAGATAAAAATAGAAAAAAGACCACTGATTTCGCTCTGTGAAAGCCCGTCCTGTCAGATGACAGTAGCCGTCAGGACTGCATGAACTACGCGGATCGAATAATAGCTTATCAAGTTAATGGAGTGAAGAGTAAGTAACGGTCACTGTTTCGCTATAAGTAGGGAGGTGACGACGCTGGCGCAGCCATGCTAATATCTGGATTCGTTGGAGCACGCCACAAAGCCACATTTGCGATACGACTTCAAAGCGACGCCCTCTGGAAGAATCTTGAACTGGAATACGGTTCAAGAAGGAACAAGGGTGCTTTGAAACAGGTCTAACGCTGTATTCGCGAGGAACACAACCGGTCAAAACGAAAATAACGGCCTAATAACGGCAATTTGGCGACTGTGTGGCGAGTACTCGTCAAAGGAGACGACGGACTCGCAGTGTGCCACCTCACAGACGAGGTACAAAGATTAGGAAAGCGTTTACGAACACAATATCATACTTACGATAAGTATGCTTATAATAATAAACGTTGGAGCTGCAAAAGACAGCTTTAGTAGCGCTCTACACGCTCTTCTACTGGTCGGCTTCTAGTCTATTCAACCCAGAACTAGAGTGTACTAGAATGGGGGAGTGGGTCCACTGTGGCCGGCGGCAAGCGGTGCGGGTGAAGCAAAAACGGCGGAAAATTTGGTGGCGCTGCAGTAGCCTTCTCCTGAAGTGACGTCAGTTTCGGCGGGAGCGTGCGAGTCGTGCGGCGGTTCGGGCCGCACGACGCGCTGGCGGGGACGCTGAGCGCTCGATGTTGTCGTCTGCTCGACGCGCCGTCGTCTGTTCGATGCACCGTCGTTCGTGCGCTGTTTTCACAATTTGTCTCCTGGTTCTTTTTTTACACATTATTAGAGACAAAAACAAGTGACATGAAATAAAATGTATGCTTTTTTTCGTGAACGCGTAGGTTTGTATTTCCCTTTGAGCAAAGCCGTCTGGACAAAGAATACGCGGCAGACGGCACGTTTGCGTGCGCAGATATGTGTCTGCTGGTTGCATAACGGAGCGTTCCAAGCTGCTTCAAAAGATTAGAGGATGAGCACGTCTAGGCGTAGAAATTACTGTTGTGTCGTAGGCTGCCAAACCGGATACAGCAGAGTTAAAAACCAGCCCAAGCTCTCACTCTTTGGAGTACCTCAAGACGAAGAAAGACGCCGGCTATGGGACCAGAATCTCAACCGCGCTGATCGGCCCTTGCAAGTCACCGATGCCATTTGCGAGCTGCACTTCGAGCAAAAATACATACTAAGGCAATATGTACATATTATCGAAGGCCGAGAAGTATATATAGAGCGGGGAAAGCCGGAACTTCGCAGTGATGCTGTACCCATAATTATACCTCATCTCCTGAAGTGTCCTGACGAGCAGCCCACACCGGAGCAGTCAACGAAGAAGAGAGCGGCTTCACCACCAACCTGTGAAGACCAGCCGTCAAAAAGAACTGCGCTGCAATCAGTTGAGCCGCAACTGAGATTTGAAGATTGCGAAAGTGCGAGGCAAAGCGACAACGCATTTGAACTTGAAGACGTTGTCCGGCCAAACGACCACTGGGCAATGCACAAGTTTCGTCATTATGACGGAATTGCTTATGTTTCGGCCTCCCTAAGTCGTGAACTCGTAAGCATCGAAAAGACTGTGCTCATGAATTACGGTACCGACCGGAGTGAAGTGATTTGTCGGACATAAATTAAGTATAGTATTAAGCATTAAAAGCAAAAAAATATGAGAGTTTAAGTGTGGTATTGCTACGAAACTGTTCCAATACTTCTGTATGCGACGGCGTTTTCTTTTCGTAGCTATGGAAACCAGTAATGGCGGCATCAGCATCTATCAAGCGATGCTCGCCTCAAGATGATTCGCTAAATTGTTAGTAATAACAGCGCCGTACGCGTCGAGCGTCTTCTAAATTGTCGCGGTAACTCGCGTCATGTGCCACTGTCTCCCAGTTGACGCGATGCGACTGACCGGGGCAGTCGTTTGATATGAATCTGAGGACGAAGCGCAGGATTACTCTCGGTACAGCGTGTATCTTTTTTGTCATCACCGGAATAGAACACGGTGAGTCGTCGACGCGCGAGCGTGCGGTGGGCTGTCACACGACTCCTTTGGCAAGAACATTTTCCGCAGTGACGTTTCTCCCGTTTTTTCGCAGCCGTGATATTGCCGTCGTTATGGATGTATCTCAAGGGTCGCTTCCAGTCGCCCGACTATGCGATCGCCGTGGTGATTTCGGCGTGCTGCGTTACGGCTCTGTTTGTGAGCCCTTTCGTGGGCGTGTGGGCCGACGGGACGCGCAACGTGCGTTCAGTTTTGCTGGTTGTCAATTTAGGACAATTCGTGGGCAGCCTGCTGTACTTCGCTGGCATCTCCCACTGGCTTCTCCTGGTTGCCCGGCTGCTATCAGGTGAGGATAAGCCGCGGATACTCGGTTATCATGTCTGACAGCGCGCCGGTTCATTGTGGGCCATAAACAAAATTGAGCCCGCGAGAGGTTTAGCGCGAGAATGAATCATGCGCCGTGTCCAAAAAAGAACGACAAAAACTTTGTGTTGCTTGCGATGCACGTTAACCGACGCACCCCGTGACGAAACGGAAACACTGCCAAGTTAAGTTAGCGCGCGTCTTTATTTAGAAACACGCGCGAAACTGCTTTGCGGAAGCTGTCGTCCAAGTGGGCCGATTTTAAAAGCGTTCGCTCGATCTATAGAAACTCGTTCGATGCGACTTCCTCGATCGTTAAATCGGTGCGCTTCGAGCGACCGGCACTTAAAGCTTGCTTGCTGTTCTTGGTTCGCGCAAGGATAATTATTCATTGTTGGGCACGGGAAAGCGCCTTACGGATTGTTCTAGCATGAGCCCGCCGTTTCGATTGTTCTGTTTGTCCGCGCATATTATCTAAAATACAATCTCTTCTACTTGACTGCGCTCTATTGTTTGCCTTTGCCGTCGAAGGAGGACTTTTGTTTCGCGTTTATTCTTTTACGCATCTCGTTCTCTTCGTTGTGCGGCCGCAAGTCTCTTAGGCCAGACTAGATTCGTATTTGTAATGTTTAACAGATGCTCGTTTTGCTGTAATTGAGGAGTTTAAATACAAAATTATATAAATGAAAAACGTGTCAGCAGCTTCCGGCATTTTTCAAATAGTCGCAAGAAAGGCTCGTGCATTTAAACTTCTTTAAAGCTGTCTTCGCTTTTTTATTATATTTGAAATATGAAAGTGATGTCATTCAACTGATTACATAATGTTGCATGCTAAAATGCCCCAATATCTTGTTTCCAGACAACCATATATTTAAATGGTGGTCCATTCAACCCCACCACTTGTATGATTCAATCTAGTAAAGGAATATTGAATTTTCTGTTTGAAGTTTTCAAGTACCTGTGCATCTCTGATTGGTTCATAATCTAGTTTACTATTCAAGCAGAATGAGGCAAGCACTTCCTTCACAAGGCCACCACCACTTCTCGTGTAATTGTGGAGAATGCTGCAACCACACGGACAATCTGCATTCTGTGAAATGCATGGCAACATCAAGGAGGTGCCACATTTAACTCATGAAGTGAATGAATAAGCGGAGCACCATTCAAAGTGTTGAAAGTGTGGGCAAATCAGATTAAGATCTAAACAACGCTCAGTGTATGGTATGAAATTGACACTTAGCTGTAGTAGTTGAAAACATTTAAGTGAATGCATGAGCAACTTTTTAATATGGTCTGGATAACAACTTGCCTCAGATCATAGGAGCTGATGGACCAAATACTGTTTGCGATTTCCTACATTCGAGTGGATGAATACATCTAAATGCGTCGCTGCATTCTACATCACGGACCTAGCCAGAAATTTTTTTGGGAGGGGGATGTAAACATACTGTATGTGTGTAAATTTTTTGTGCGTGCATATACATATTCGAAATTGAACAGTGTCAGTGAAGAGAGGGGGAGTTGAACCTCACCTCCTGGCTATGCCAGTGTTCTTCATTACTGATTAGCTTGATTTTTGAACTGAAGAATTTGTTTCCTGTGTGCCACTATTCTCTTTTCTTTCCAATTTCTCACTAAAGGTCTGGGCACAGGAACGGCTGCTGTCATACTAGCTGACGCTGCCCGTTCTACGGCCGAGAAAGACCGCACTGCTACTTTTGCACTGCTGGCAGGCTTCCGCGAGCTCGGCATTGTTGTCGGATCGTCCTTGCACGTCTTCTTTCAAAATGAGAATCTCAGCATTGGAGTGCTTCCACTTGACCGCTATTCTATCCCTGCGGTATGTGTGCTCTGTTGTTCTTTTTCATCTTCAGTCTGTAGGGCAACAACTCAGCTGTCTTTTAAGAATTGAACAATCAATCTAGCAAATGAGGAGAATTCGTTTTTATTAGGTATCTGTGCTATGAATGCACAGATACCGTATTTATTACAGTATCTGTGCTATGCATGCAACTGTTATTGTTGCCTTCATAAAGTTTTTACATATGGTGCAATAGTGGCAGTTATGTTAGCAGCGCACGAGAGACCTATACGAAGTTACGTTTAATGCTAATGAAGCCCTTTCTATAACTTAATTTTGCTCATAAAAAAAAAAAACAAGGCTGTGTTTAGGTGATGTAGCTTTTACTGGGTTTTCTGCTAAGGCACAGTAAAACCATTCATTTGCAAAATTTACCAAATGTAAACAATGGTTGATAATGTTGTATGTTTTCAGCAACCAATGTGCTTTTCTGAACAATAAAAATGCAACTTGAATATTTCAGAAATGATCATGTGCCTGCCTCCCACAAAAATGTAATCCTTCAGAAACTTTCCCGCCATCTCCTAAAAAGCTGCAGTAATGCCACCTTTGGTACAAATTTGCGAATTACCAAGAAGGTTACGTATTAGATAGCTCTGTGTCATCTTAACGACATCTTTGCCTTTTCGAAGTCTTAGGGACACATTTTGTCAATATAAATAACTGGCACATTATCCCACCAAGTTCCTTGAGGCATTTTGTTAGGGTTCATCTTCTCGTCGTTATTTTGTTCTTTAAGGGCAATGTGTAACTCCACTAGTTGCTCTGCCTATGAAAACATTCTGAAGAGGGTATCCGTATCCTCGCTAAGGAAGACACCTAGAAACAGTTAAGACATAGAAATAACAAAATTTTTACCTAGTCATCATCACATATGGTAGTACATTCAGCTAGGTCGAACTCGAGTGCTTGGTTCTCTCACCTTAGAGTTGAAAAGCACGACTTAGTTAAATCTCAGTCATTGAGATCATGTGACTATTTCATCATGTAATTAGACGTTCGGTTGGGGGAGGCTGTACCTGTCTCCAGTTTTGGCAACACTCTGAATTGCTGTGAACTCATTTGGAGGGTGGTAGAAATCGTTCAAATGTATCATTAGTGAATCTTGCAGCTGGAGGTAGAGTTTTTCGAGCCATAACCTATTTATGTCGTCTCTTGAAAGAAGTTGCTGACACTGCTTTTACATTGCCTTATTCCCAACGTCTTTTCAGTTAATGATGGCCTTCCTCTGGCTTCTGGTGGAGGCCATCTTCTACCTGGCATACTTTAACATGGCCCAGCTCAGCCATCAGCAGAAGCTTGAAGACACCCTGCAGTGCAGCTACTTGGAAGCAAGCATGGGCAACGTCTCAGAGTGCCTCCCACCACCCAGTCCTTACCCTCAGCACCATGATATTCAGCCCGACTTGGATCACACCGATAGCATCGGCTACTCTGCAGGAGCGCTGTCATCGCGCTATCCCCACCCGCACCGAACGATGCAGGCATGTTTGCTTGATTTGTTCAGAACTGCACCCAAGCTTAAGTTTGATATATTGCACCCACTTGTTTGCACTTTAAGTTTTTGTTCCGAATACGAAACCTGCAACTTGTCTTTGGTCATTGTAAAGCTCCGCATTTTGATTTGTGATAGCGTTAACTAGACACTTCACAATCAACTTAAATTCAGTCTTGAGATTGTAGTATCAGTTTGGATCATCTAAAGGTTCAGATTAAAGGGATAGTGCTAAAAGGCATAAGCACTTTATGCTTTTTTAACCAGGTCAATCGAAGAGGCATCTCCAAATTATAAAGTGGCAGTCTGTTTTGAAAAGTCAGCTATCATATTTGTGAGAATGTGGACACTGCTGCTTTTTTTAGTATTCATTTATTTTGTTTGATTACATTGATATAATCATACATTCAGCTTCACTGCAGTGGAGCTCCATTTAAAAAATACTTAATCTGGAATATAAATAGCGTAAGTTGTTTCATCGGGGATTATGTGACTTCCCATGAGAGGTACAAGCTTGGCTTGGACATGTTGGTAGCACGTAATTCATGTTAGAATAGTGCAAAAGACAATGACTTAGCACTGTGTGTGTTATCTTTGCCATTCATTGTCTGGTGTGCTGTTCCAACATCCATTTCCCATAATTTGTAAATGTCCTGGCAAATAGAATAGAAAAGTGCTAGAAAAAGATATTTAATTTGATGAAAGACAAAGAAAATTTTTTTACTTATACATTCCAGGCTCCTCTCATGTGCTCACTAAATAACGACCTTGCCAAGATGCATCGCAGCCCGCTCAATTTGTCACTGGACGAAGGAGACCTGTTCAGCGATGCCATGATCGAGACTGCCGAGAGGTTCATATTGAGCTCGGAGTCTGCCAACCCTGGGGCTGGTTTTAGGAGTGTCCTCCGTGCTCCTTCCAGCGTCAGTGACAGTCGAGCAGTCTGCAACCCACTCGATTTCGGACAATGCCAGGGCAGAATCTATTGTGCCAGAGACACAGGTTCTGCGTAGGTACTGCTCAGGTGTGTACACCAAAATGTTCTGTTTCACCCATTAAGCCTCAGGTGATGATTGTTATAAAATGTTGAAAATTTTAACATTATATCTAATCTAATTCATTTACTTCATTACAACCAATATTTTGTTATATTAGAGTTCACTACATCGAGGTTATAGTGTATGTTCATGCAATGTTGAGTTCTAATGGCAGAGTCGGAGCAGCCGATAGACTCTGGGCGAGCACTCAACTCTGGCGTAAAGCAACGCCTCCGAATACACGATTGGAACACAATCCATGCCTCCGGAGCAAGCATGAAAACAAAGAGGAAACGGAAGTCCTTGAGTTGCCCAGAATACCTTGCACGTAGGCATTCCATTCCGCTAATTTCGCTGTTGAATTTTGTTGATTTATCGCTATTATGTAGTAGTTTCAGTGTCGGAGACACGATTCAATCAACTGCTCGTGCAGGAAGCAGAGCTGTGTGACTCGGAGCTGTCAGCGAAACATGGAAATACTGCGACAGCAGTGGCACCACCAAGCCGGCAAATGTGTTAAAGGGATGTGCGCCACGCCGAGTTCAGGTGAACTCCGTAGATTTCAGTGGAGCAACTCTTCCTGCTCCTAGAAGTCACTCCCGCTGTGAATCTACTCCAACTCTCTCATTGGTACGCTTTACTGTCGCCCTCACTCTTTCACTGGAACACACTTGCTCCGAAAGGGGCAGAAAAACTTTCTCCGACTCGGCCACTAGAATTCAACATAACCTTGAAGTGGGGCTTTGCTGCAGTGCGGGTTTGAATGAATGTATGCATAGTATAGCATCCCTATACTGCAGTGACACCACTTTTACAGGGGGTTACGTGTGAATTAATGTACATCTCTTCGTTCATTTCGGGTAACTCTCAATTTCCAAGAACCTGAATTCAAATCAGAGTCAATTCTAGTTTTGTATTATTCGTTCGAATATTCCAAGTGCTCAATTATTTACACTAGCCTAGTCAATTCTCAATATTCTGTAGGTAACTTTTAAAATCTACATTTTGCTTTAATGTGTCATATTGTAAGTAAATTTATTGCAACTTGGAAATGCCTCGAAACACTTAGAACTTCACACACTCTTCCCCTCAAGGAACATACACCACTCACAGTGTGATCCTGGAGTAGAAGAGAGTGTGAATATGTGAGTTTTGAGGGATTGACAAGTTGTGCTAAATTTAATGACAGTATGTTATATTACCAACTAGCCTAACAAGTTTTAATATGATTTAATGTATGTCTGTTGTTCTTTCATTCTCCTAGGACTCAGACAAGCCTATTTGGTTGTTAACTTCATTGTTTTTTTTTTTTCATAGAGTATATTCGAGAAGATACCGTTGTGTTGCTGGCTATAACATTTTGGTCGCCTACAGTCAAACAGCTCTCCAGGTGAGCAAAGCAACTCTGACATTTCAGCCTTGTGGTTTAACACTATAATTCAATATGCTACTGTAGTAGTGGTTTGGTTTGGGCAAGTTGGGGCGACATCTGCTAGACTCAACAGCATGATGGACGAAGACAAAAGACCCACGAACAACAGGACTGGTGCTGATCCTGCTGTTCACGTGTTTTTAGTCTTTGTCAGTCATACGGTTGAACCTTGTGATATATTTGCATGCTATGCAATATGATAATGTATGAAGTTCTTTTTCAAATATGTATATTTGAACTAATTGTTTGTGTTAATTAATTTCTATATATTTCACGTGTGTTTTTAGCAAGAAGTATATACTTTGCATTGTAGTGCTGCCTACGTAAGCTACTGCAACACATTAGATTTTGGTTACATCTACAATAGTTTGGCTTAGGTTCCTATGCAACTGGTGTATTGGTTTATGGTTTCAAGGTGTTATACCTTGATTTCTTCATGTCGGAACAGATCCAATCCGACCAGTAGCTAGCAGTGTAGATTTTTTTTAATAAGGTTAATGCACTCCTGTTCTACCTTCTGTCACTCCCGCGGTTTTACGCTAGTGTGATTGGTACGCACTCTATGGTCTGTAGTGTAGCAAAATGTGAACTATACAGCAGTACTTGCTTCGATAGTTGGCTCTTTTGTTCTAATCTTCATAAATTTCAGGCTGCTCTCTATCCTCTGGCAAACGAGAACTACCGCTATGGAGAGATGAAAAGCATTGCCATATACCTCGTGTGTGGTGTTGAGGTGAGCACGCTGTTCATGCCACATTGTGTCAATAGTTAGCAATACAGTATACTCTCAGTGAATTAAAATCTCTTAAATGGAATGGCTGTTTAAAGGGAACAACTGTCTTATATTACGATTGGTTTCATATCCAAATCCTGCATCCCTGTTCATCTCTCAGTAAATTGCCCTCCTGTTTAACGGCACATATTTTCATGGGCCCGTTAGGTGTAGTTTAACGAGTCTACTGTAGTTGAGTGCGTTTCAAATGTTGTAACTGCCAAAAAAAAAAAGTGGTAGACATGTTGGTCCAAGTATTCTTAATCAGTTACCACGCTGTTCCTGATTGATGGTCTCTAGGAAAATAGGTGCATATTGTCCTCAATTTGATATTGTATGCTTGCCTAACTAAAATGTTTTAGTACTTTGATTCAATAGAAATAGTATAAATATAATTAAGGTTATAAGGCTTGCTTTGGTCAAAGAGTTAATTTTTGGGCTTTTGCAATCACCTGATAGAAAACTTCTTTCATCTTTCAGAAAATATGTCACACTTGGACACTCGCGGTTTCAAAAATCATTGTCAGTCTTTCTTGTTTGACACACTGACAGGGAAATGTGCTTGACCCCTACAATTTTTTGTTTTTCTCAAAACATTTTTAGAAATTCTGTACTTTTTTCTTGGGAAATGGGTGCATAAATAAACAAAACTATTAATGTGTTAATTACAGTGGACTTTCATTAAATTGAAACTGAAGAGATCAGGAAAATGTGTTCCGTTTAAGAGGAGTTTCATTTACTGAGAGGTGAATTGGGGTGCAGTAAGCAGGGATGAGACCAATTATATCAGAGGCACTTGTTCCATTTAAGCAGTAGTCCTGTTTAAAAGATTTCCATTTACTTAGAGTCCACTGTAGTGGCATTTACGTAGCTGGTATTAGAGTTTCCGTTCTTTAAAGCGTTGGTAGTTAATTTCTTGAAAAATTGTAATGCTTCTCAGTTCATAATGAAATAATTGGAAGCAGCAAACCAACGGGAACACAAGAAAAGAGACAAACAAGCGCAGCCCTTCTGCAATGCTTCTCAGATTGCAGACCTTATAAAGAAGGTACATATGTAAAAAAACAGAAAACCAAAAATAAAGAACACTAGACACAGTTTGAAACTAATTTCTAACTCTAATTCAACCTGTCTATACCCTTGAATTACCTTCCAAGTTTTATAGCAATGACTTTTATTTCCACTGCTGTACTGCCAAACTTTGAAACTCACTTTCAAATTCTCACTCCACTCTTATGGTGCCTCAGATAGGCTGGCCAACGTTTTGACAGGTGGGCCCATCTCTGTGAAAGGAGCCTTGTGTAATTCTTGGCATATTGCAAAAGAACATCTTTTGAGCAGAGTTGGTGCTTACGTGGCTAAGATATGCTCGACTGTGGTGCAGAACAGATTTCGTGGAAAGGGCTAGGGGAAGGAAAAGTTGGCACGTTACTTTCTTTTTTCGCCTGCTCTTTAAGGGTTAGTGGTCGATGTCATGTCATGTGGAGTTGTTGGTATTTGTTATTTGCAAATGGCTTGTGTATTGTGTATTACTCCCTGTATGGCTAGTTGGCGCATGTTTTGTGTCAGTAGTAAGCTTCGACATGAACAATTGTAAGTGAGCACCTGTCTTTTTTATGTGTCTCTTTTGTGTTCTGGCGTGGCTGTGCTCTTGGCGCCAAGTTTGCTATCGATAGAGAGTATTGTGCATGAGAGTTTAGTTGGTACATTCAAAAAGTGTCCCATTGCGACTTGTCAGCTTCGACGGTATCTTTAGGGCGTCAGGGATTTGCCAGTCGCCTGAATGATAGAATTGAATTGCCGCAAGTGCCAAATTTGCGAGGCTCCGGCACTTCTCTTTTACAGGTTCTCTTGGTGTTTGCTGGTATACGCATCCTGAGCAGACAGCTCTCGGACAGGCTGCTGCTCCTAGTTGGCCTAGTCTTCACTTGTGTGGGGACTTTCCTTTGGCTTGGCTTCGGTTTTGTTGCAAGCCCAGGTTAGTCATGTGCTGTTTGTGCATCGCCAATGAGTGCAGCTGTATGGCTTAACAGGCTACCAGGAAGAGGTAGAAAATAAATTTAGAGACAATGAATCACTCTTCGAAAAATTTATACACAGTTAGAATGAGTGAAGAAATTATCGCGACATAGCCGATCAAAAAGTGTCTTACAGCAACTGTACACCCAGTTTTCTATAAAAATTTGCTATGTACTGATCTCCATATTGATTGTCACATACTTGCATTGTCATGCACTGTTAGGTTTGGTAAGCCACAATGATACTGAGGTGCCTCAAAAATGCAGTCGGCTTTTAAACTCTCGTGTTCTCCTACTGTGTGTAGAGATATGTGCGTAGATGGTGTGCGTGCTTTTGTAAACTTATTGAACAACTTGACTAAAAGCTTACCGCATTGTTCTGTCCACAGGAAAGTTTAACTCACTGCCTCTGTTTGTGCTGGGGACTGCCGTCGACCTGTTTGGAATGCCCATGCTGACGGTCTGTACAAGTTCTTTGATATCCAAGGTCACCAGCAGCAAACGTCAAGGTTTGTGCTCGGCCTACGTCTTACGTCATCCCACGGTTATCTTGGCTTTGTATTTTAAATGATGCTTTCCAGCAGTGGTACTAGTAATGCGATAAATCTTGTGCGTATAGTACGGTATGTATACATGCAAAATGTTCACGGTCATGGCACGCTGCAAGTTTTTTTGTCCAGCTGTGTCAACATTTACTACATATTGTCTCCCTGCCATTCTTTTGCAGCTGTTATGCAATCACTGTACATGGGCGTAATGCAATTGGGCTGTACGTTGGGACCACTGTGGACGGGAGGTTCCTTGCAGCACAAGAGCCTATTCTTTGGTGTTCCATGTGGCTTATCGGTCTTGTTCACGGTACGTGCACACAAGGTTATAACGATGTTACCAGTCTCCAAGGCTGATGAGGCATCAGATATTACAAATAACATGAGCAAGACTTGTTTCTCACACATGCTATTGCAAATTCAAGGTTACACAAATAAAAACTCATAGGGTCCCTTGAGCGTTCAGCTAAGGTGACTCAAAGGTGCAAGCCATCTTCTCTTTGTTTACAGTTGATGTACGTATAAGGGAGCAGGGAACGCGAGCCGTGGCTTTACTGCCAAGTGCCATCTTCATTTCGTTCTCTTAGGACGCACACTCTCCGCTTTTGTTCACTGCCCAAAAGAGGGCACTAATAATCATGTGATGTTGCATAACATGATGTCACACCAGAATTTGTGATGTTATGATAACATCTCAAATTTTTGATGTCTTTGAAATCATTTTTGCGACGTCATCATGTGATGATTTTTCGCATCAGTCGTTCCGAGGCTTTGGGACGATCGCCCCAATGCTCAAAATTTTCGATTTGGTAAGGCATCCAAGGATTTGGCTTTAGAAGTGTGATGTAGCACTGAAACCTGGCTGTCCTTCAGGGCTGTGTGAGCCTGAACACTCTTTTTAAAAAGTTTCGACACCCCTCAGCCTGCTTCATGTGCAAGCTCAGTCTTTTTTTGAGCAAGCCTACGTGTTGAATTTCTTTGTGCGTTCTCACTATGTGGCCCGTGTGTTGTTGAGTTTCCAATAATAAAAGTGTGTGTAGATAAAGGCTCTCACAAATACTTCAATAACAACACGTTTGGGTGTGTTGTCTGTTGTCCATATTTGTGTTGCACACATTTAAATCTAATGTGCCGAAATTCTACACATGTGCATTGACTTTGACAAATTTTTGTGGTATATATGTAGATGGTTTATGCTCTAATTTCTGGCATGTGCACGCCGCCTTGCTAAATTCAAGCTGCTTAATGCCCTTTCTGTCTCTAGGTACTTGTTCCTCGCTTCGTTTCCACAACTTGGTGCGCAGCAGACGAACGAGAATGGAGAGGACGCAGAAGAGGTAGACGACAGTTCATCAAAAACTGGACTAACCTGTGCCAACGATGTACACTAATACTTGCACGTCTTTCTTTAAGTGTGCTTGACGTGTCGCATTGAACTTGCATGCTTCGTATCCCGACTACATCAATCTGTGTGTGCCAACTTCCATCCCCCTTTTTTTTTCTGTTTGTGTTTTGCAGGACAATGAACAGATACCTCTTTTGAGGCAGAGACGCTAAGAGCACTATTTTCCAAGCATGGTTTTTAATTCGCATGGTCGTCACAATGCACCTTTATGTATATATTATGTATATACATATATTTTTCTAAATAAATTTATACATTTATTCACCATAGAGCACGTCTGACCTTTCTGTTTGTTTGTTAATGTTTAGTGCAGAATTAGAACTATAGGCTAGTGCACTGAAGCTTTCCACAATTAACAAGACTCGCAAACTGTCTGCAAAGCCTCAGGTATATGCCAATAACATCCCAGCGTTTAGTGCGCAAAATTATGTGCACTAGTACTTCATATTTCAAGTTTCGTCAAAAACTTCATCATTTTACCTATAACATAGGCAATCTTTTTGCTCACTCTCTTTCAAAAAAAAAAAAAAAGAGGTAACATCGCTTTTTGTAGCCCCCCTCCGAGAGCATGCAGTGTCTGTACGCAGCCACTAAACAACGTCGTGCATTTATATATTTGATGTAAATTTCAGCTGATTGCCTGTGCAGCCTTTTTTGTGTGAATAATCCGAAAGCATATGTTCCTACCTCAATGCTTACCTTTCGCTGTTTCCCCATTTTCTCTTTTTTTTACTCACAGCTTGGTGTTAGTGCATCAGTATTGTGATAATAATAATTACAGCATTAACTGATTACAGCCAGTCTTTGTGAACTCATGGGAAAAAAATGCCATGAGCTTCTGGGGTCAAGACGAAGTAAACCTATGACTTTAGGGGCTTGGATGTTCAGAGGCTGTTGTGAATCTCGAATTCAACAATAACATGCATGTAGACTCTTTGATGAGAACTATAAAATGCCTGTAGACATCTTGATGAAACAAAAAGACGCAGTTTCGCCACAAGAGCAAAGCATTGAATTCCATAGCAACAACTTGGAATGTAAAGCTAAGAACGGCAAGCAGATCAAAACGTGCAGTGCGCTGCTCATGCATAAATGATGCACGGAAACAACATACACAGGACGTTTGCCACTCTACACCTAATGCGTCGTTTAAACAAAAATGACACACAAAATGCAATCACAAGTACAGATGAGTGCAAACCAACAAGTGTCTCAGTTGTTGTACTTCGCTGTATACGAAAAGCACGCTCTTTTCGCAAACAGGGCCTGTGCAGCGAGCGAATGGACCTTTTTGGGCTCGGTAACTAACGCAATCATTCCGGTAAAAGCCAAAGGCACACAATTCTCCCCACTGAAGGATAAGCGTGCGCTCACAAGCATCTGCACATGGGAAATTAGCATGCGTCGGCACATCTTGATGAGCAGGGCGCCAAGCGCGAGCGGCTGTTTTTTTTTTTTTTCTTTAGTTTCCATATATATAGATATGTATACATATACAGTGAATGATGGCGGCGACGGCAAAAAACCAGCCGAGACTGTCCGTATAACTGCTATCACAATGAAAAAGTAATGCATTTTCAGCCATTACATACATGATGCAATGGCACCTCAGGCCTCCAACTACAAATGCTATTATGATATATCAGACTGCGAAATTTTTATTGTATGGTGAAATTGCAACGGTAGTGTTTTCTTAGGCCAACCACGCATAGTGAGATGACTGGCCCAGCCAAGAAGGATAACAAGAATAACCACCTGCACAGTCAGCCTTGAGCTTTATTTGAAAAACTCAAGAAGAGAGAAACGGCTGCCTTCAATGCAACAAATCACAGTGTTCATCATTGTTTTCTTCGGTCAGCGAGACCAACAGACAGTAACATCTTGAAAGTGACAGACGAAAAATCCAGAGTTCGAGGGGGGAACAGCATTCTTAAAATGTATAGAATGTCGTCGTTATTGTTCCTTTTAACCATGCAAAACAATTATTCCTTTCTGACAACTATACAATGCTAGTCACAGCTGTTTGTTTTCAATGCTGATTACACACATTTTCGCACTGAATTAATGTAGAGTGCTAAAGGTTGAGTACTGTTCTTCTTTTTCCAGCCAGCGCAGCTTTTCTTTTTTTTGCCTTCGAATGACTATTGTAATAAAAAAGAATCACATGATTGACAGAACACAATGACTTAATTCTAAGTCAGTGTGCACACAACAGTGTGTATACACAAGCGATGTCACTATGCACTGTAGCTGTGCTTGGGTACAAAAGGCAGAAAAGCGTTGCAAGACAGTGGACGTGACAAGGGGCAATCGTGTCATGAGAAACTATAGAAATGAGACATGCAGAGCTCTCGTTTTTTGCACGGTCTAACAAAAAGCAGTGGGTGCGGCGTATCACGGTCAACCCAAAGATTCGACTCGCAATCTTTACAGTGCAGCAGAGTCAATTGCGAATTCTGCCTGCTTGCTTTTTCACTAGCCTGTGCAAGAAACAAAAAACAAAATGCTCTGCTGCTTGCATTTCGATTGGCGCTGACAGCACACGTTGCAATCGGCCAGGTTTTCACATTTCATATTTCAACTGGCGCCAACTTAGCACACAGGACAGGCGAGCAGACATCGGCATAATGTGTATTCTTAACCCCCTTTCATGTCCACTGTTTTGACATGCACTAAACAATCGTGACGACAAGCCCAAGCTTGTACACTTTTGGAATTGCAGCCATGAGTAAAAAGCTAACGTAGGCTAAAGAGTGTCGCACTGTGCGTTGGTTGGAATGAACCTAGACAGTGGCTTGTTTTCATTTCGAGAAGGTCCTAAGACACACACATCAACACTAACTCCTGTCTCAGCGGTCCATGCTTGAGAGTCAAGCTGAATTTCTCTTTCTGCTCAGTTTTTATGCTATACTATGAAAATTGGGGCCGCTTGAGTCGATCAATTTAAATTGCTGCTCTTAAGATAACTTATACTGGTACAGATGCCTACAAATGTTTGTTTAGCATGTCCTTGCGCTTTCTCACAATGAAAACAAATCACGAGGCCACAGACTCGAACAGTGCTATCGTAGAAACAAGTTGACAGCCATTCTTTACATAGAGAGAGTCGTAGACACAAGGAAAACAAGATGAATTGTATAAGTGAGCATGTGAGTCTACAAAAGAACACCATCACAGGCTATGTCAACAAATAAAACAATTCGGAATGAGAAAAAGCCCAGAGTGATTTGCAAAGAGTCATTTCATCAGTCTACTGCATAAAAGAACACACAGTGACAAGCTCTTAGTAAGTTTATTTATCTATGTCACCTATCTTTTAAAATTATGCCATTCACATGGGCTCTTGAATGCAATGTTCAGAGAAAGAACTCTGGTACTTTGGAACATGCCTGCATATGCCTTCGATATTACATACTGCAGGCCATCACATTTTCTCTAGGCGGCCTGAAAAGTACATCGCAAGCTCATGATGTGCAACTGTAAAACTGCTGCCATGTGATGTGCTCATAACAAAAAGGAATAACTACTTTATCTTTTGAAAAGCTGACTGCTAACGAAAAGTGCTCAAAATAGTCACCAAATTGTGCATGCAAGTTAAGCTAGCATTGCTAGTATAAAGTTAAAAATGACTAGCTGCACTGTACAGGCATGTTCACTGTTGCAGTCACGGAAACAACCGTTGGTTCCAGCTGAGTTGAACATTAAAGACTTTTGTTTTTCAAAAAGCTGACAACTGTCCACTGGAAACCTTTTTCGCAACTACAGGAACTGGGCTGTTGTGCCTGTACATGTTTAAAAACAACATAAGTGCTCAAACTTGTCTGTTTTCATTTGGCTTACAACGAAAACCTTCAAGAGATGACAGATATCGTGATGAGAAAAAATCTGAGCAAAAGATAAGTGTGTCTCAGAAATATGCTAGCATTTTAATTTCAGTTTTCCAACTGCAACATTTAAATTTACAGGAATTTCACTTTGCACTACATTACCAGCGTGCGGATCATCTTTTATGGTCCAGGACAACTTTTTTCTCTGCTTTACTCATTTATTCCTTTTGTTTGTCTTGATAAACAATCTTTCACGACTGTTTACTGTTGATTCCAGATTCCTTGCATGTGCTGTGTGCTATCACTAGCGCCGTGCGTTGCACTGAGTAATGGAATGTTTGCTTAAGCTCGCATATAGGCAGCATGTTCCAAACTATATAACCCTGGCAGTGGCTTCCAGAAGCTCTGCTATTACAAACCTCGGAACGCGAGACCAGGGCATTCAATCTGTCATGCAGCTAAAATCAGACTCCTGTCACACTTTTGATCTCGTGTGTTGGTTTTATCGTACTGCTGACACAGTAGAAGTGCTAGATTTACTGCGCACCCATCGCAAGAATAAATGCACCATCCGCAAGAAAGGCAGCCACTATATCTTGCATTAAGACTGCACCGGCATTTCAGCTCTTCATACTACTATTATTAAGGCAGCTATGGATGTGCTAATCGTCCAATTGGGAGCATCCTAACGAAGTACAAAGTGCTTTTGACTCCTGCTCAGCTCCTCCAATGTACAAAAAATCAAGCAGAGTCATTTCCTGTAGAAGGTGTAGTGTAGTAACACACATTATGCAATCAGTTGCTTGGGCTACTCATTAAAGACGTGTGCAATGAAAATGAGAACACTTTTGCCTGCATTCATACAGTTACAGTAGTATTTTCTAAGAGAAAATCTGTTTTAAACTTTATCACACTTGCCCGCCCTATAAAGCCAGCACTAGCAACAGTCATTATCAAAAAAAAAAATTAGGGCGCTGCACACAAATGTGGCTAATCCTTGGGAGTGTCTCGTAGTATAGTTCTATTACGTCTGCACTGTTCAAGAGCATGAGATAGAGGCAAGAACTCCTTTTTGTGCCAGATGTCTTACAGGCAAAATACAATGCACAATTGGGACTATGTAGCAATAATGTTTAGGTGGGCCCATTTCTTAAGACAGAGGCTGTTTTGCCTGTCCATAATGGTTCAAATACGCAGCACACTTCCTTGATCGGTGCAGATGAGGCAGCACAATGTGTGCCCACAACGATGTGTTTATGCATTGTTAGCTTAATGGAGTGGCAGTCTAGTAATCAATTTGTAATGAAGTCCTCTTCACATTTTTAGGTTACAGTGCAAAAAATGAAGCATATGTGGCTGTTCAAAATGTCCTAAGCAAAAAAGGGCCCATTCTGTACAGACTCTGTCCAGCATGTTGTATTTGAAATTTGTGCCTGTGGCGTAAGTTAGCGGGAAGTTTCCACTGGCGGTGAAACGATAATTTTAAAATGACTTGCTGCACGTGGACTTTAACCTACTGTTCAGCAAGGTCATCATGCTCATCATAAGCAGTGTGCACAACTGAAAGCTCTTTTCAATGAACAGCAAGCTTTCAAATGCATGGTAGGTTTGCTGCAGTTTGTGTCAAATCATAAATCCGGCGTAACAGCATCTTCTCTATCAATTTTACCAAGATGGGCTCTGTCTCCTTACACATCTATTGTTGCCATTAAGTTCTCATGTAAACAGCACTGTGAAACTAAGCTCTAATGTTGAGGCATCCATAAACTTTCTTGGCTATTTGCGGTGCCTAATACAAAGTAAGCAAAATATGTATACAGTCTTTCATAATAGCACGAAGAATGCTCCTTTGAGATTATTCCTCAGCACATAGATGTGCTGAACAACACAGCACAATGGTGACTGTCGACTTGCAACATAAAGATGGGGGCCTTTATGATTAGTCATTATTTTGATTATCGGAAATGAACTGTCCAATTTTAATGCTCATTTAAATATTCTCCCCTGCACTTCTCATTTTCCCCCCTCAGTTTCACGACCTCATTGTGAGGGAAAAACATAGCACTCTGTGCATTTGCGTTTCATCATTCTGGGAATCAGTAGCCACGGCAGTAAGGCATCCCATGGTCTGCAGCAATTTCGATTTCTACCGAAAGCAGGTTGCTGTACTACAAGTGAAAGTCTGCAGCAATTTCGATTTCTACCGAAAGCAGGTTGCTGTACTACAAGTGAAAGTAAAGCATTGGCCTTCCCTTCAAAATGTAATCCTACTCCTCATCCCTTACAACCGTCATAAGGCTATGAGAATTTGATAGTTGTCAAGACACCCACGCATTCACCCGACAACCACCTAAAAAATTTAAGCGGCATGTCTGCATTAGAGCTGCAGCTAAAGCTATGCTGCGAGTCAGCATCAGTTACACTCCTTTATTCCCTTTAGCTTGTAAGCTTCCAGGGCAGAAACGAAGGAAACCCTGAACGGGATCAGCGCACACAAGTTTCGCGACAAGACTGTGCTCTCTACGCGAAGAGCGACAAAATAGTGCGCATATAACGGTGATTGCAGTGGTATGTAAACCACTGCGTAAGCAATAGCATGTGAGAAACAACCCGTAGAACACTTGAGGGCCAAAACGTCGCATGCTACAGTCGTGTCGTAGTACACGGGTAATGAAAGTACACTGTATATACACTTAACACATTTACATACAGACACAAAAAAATTGATTATGTACACTAAAGAGGAGAGTGATTCAGGCGAGAGTGAACAGCAGTAGGAAGTAAGCTGCGCAGTGTGGCTGGGTGAGAAAGGGAGGGCAAAGAAAATACAAAGTGGTGCTCTTCGAAGAGCAAAAGCAGTTTCGAAAGCACGACCCCTCTATCTACCTTCCTTCCTCGCACACCTACGAGCGAAACAGCGTTTCAGTTATACGGGCGTTCCGCATTCCGCATCCCCAGAATGGTCTATGTGCCAGCTGCTAGTGTTGTTCAAGCAACAAATGACCATCGACGAACAACGCAAGCAAAGCGAAATCGTATCGATGCCCGTACAACTGAGACCCTCTTGCCAAAACGCCGCTGTTGCATACTAGTTTTGCAATGCCCTGCACACTCATTCATATTCATAGAAGACGCAACGAAAAAAAGGAAAAAAAGATCGCGTAAACTACACATACAATCAGTTGTGCACAGGACAATGAATGTCAGGAGAGTCGCACGTAAAGATACAGCAGAAAGTGTGCCGTCATATTATATACAGAAAGCTCCAAAGCTAATAATCATCACAGCGTGCCTTTCTTGTTGTATCTTTTTTTCCCTTCGTAAGTTGATTTCGTGTGTATAGAAAACCTGTCGCACCCGACAGTCCTTGCCCCCCACCACAACTACGTACACTAAAGTTATGCCAAGCAGCCGTCGTAATAATCAGTGGCCATCTCAATCTACAATAAAAACACTCCAATAAGCAAACAACTCATGTAAATAAACTTCACAAAGGCTATGTGCCTTTTCAAACAGGGTAAAATATCCATTTGTGGCATTTTATACATTCATATAAATAGCAGACCTATGTGATATGAAAATCAGAGGTTCCTATAAATATACATATGTATATATATGCATGCGTGTGTATACATAAAGTATACAGGAATGAAGGCGTTTGTTTTACATTAAAAAATGCAACAAAAAAACTTTCTTTACATACTTGTTGCATTTTTAAGAAAACCACAAGGTCAACCACAGTGAACATCAGTAAGTCGTGCATGTATCATTACAAAAGAAAAGCGCAGGTTTTGTCACTAAAATGTTAACATACAGCAAAGACCCAAACACAACTGGATCAGCGAACAAAAGAACTAAGTAATCCTTTGGATCAGCGAACAAAAGAACTAAGTAATCCTTTAACTCTCAATAAAAAGCCCGGACTACTTTTCCACCTCGCAGTGCATTACTTCATTGGTGAACTTATTGAACCATATGAAAATTCAGTAAAAACTGCCAAGTTAAAACTAACCCTTGCGAAACTAATGATCTCTTTTGTGCAAAGAACGTGACTGGGAAAAAGGCCAGCGACACACGATTCACTGAAGCTCACGTCGGCATCCTTGTGTCATGCACAACGTGTCCGAACTCATCTTCCTCCCGCATTTGATGTACGGGTATCACTAAATCGAAAGACCATTCCTAATTTCCGAAAATATAACAATAATAAAAATGTGAAACAAAGAGAAAACAAGGCAGGAATGGGCATAGTGCTCTGTGTCGTATGCACGAAAAATGACAGGAAAAGCAAAAACGAGTATCGCACATGCTTCAGACAACTAAGGTGTTCCACTCTTATCAGCTCCCCCGATTATTGCAAGCTGTCATGTGAGCTCGTACCGAGCGAAAACCACCTCTTTTAGTAGCAAGGACAGGGCAGCAGGTGCCGCTTCGATCACTTACAGGCCGAGGTCTACATTCTGTTTTCGTGCCAATTTTGATCTGAAGGAGAAAAAAGAGGAAAGGGAAAGAAGAAACGAAACATAAGGTGAGACTTTGAAAATTTTTTTTTTTAAGTCTCGCTTGTGACTTTCCAATCAAGTAAAGCCCCACGGTCCTACTCGAATTCCTCCTATACCATATACAACTACACACATCTAGTAAGCAGTACAATAAAAAGAATGAGCAAAGCTTTGAAATGAGCCAAATTATGGCTGAAGTAAGCAGGTGATTGTTCGATTCAGTGGACACAAAATGCTTCGTGTCCTAACCTTCAGAAACGAGCGCCGTACAGTGACATTTGTGGAAGTGTTTACGACACTGCTATCAAGAAACATAATCTGGTCAGCACTTAGGCTAGCGTAGACTTCAGTCGTGCTATTTCTGAATAATTCCTTGAGTACAATTGATGATACCTATGAGAAGGATGCGGGCTGACAGAAAGTGTTAAGCCTCTGAAGCTATGATTGAAAGCCACAGCTTGTAGAGGTACAGCATACGATATTGAATAGTCGAGCTTCAAGCTGCACTTTCATAACTCAGAAACTCGAGAAAAGTTATCCAACATTGGTACATGCTTAATTTTATGTTGTGTTTTTTTTTTTGCTTTAAAAGGATACACAATACAGTGTAACCAAAAATAACAATTTCTCTTTATTGCTATCACTACTTGATGTTGATGCCCACTTACAGTGCTGAAATGTGCAAGAGTACGTCTTCTTTAAAGAGGCTTCATGAAAGAAATGCTCTCAGTACTCACAGCACAACAAGAAACAGTAAATGCAACGCAACACATTTGACATACAATGGCACTGACTGCGTGGTGCACTTAAAGCTACAAGCTACAACTTCAAAACTTCGGAAGTGAGTTCAGTGTAGTGTAACCCGTACACATTTCCTGGGCTCATACAAAGCGTAGCTTCGCCAACCGGCATATTTGTGCATTAGAATTCTACACTGCTCCTTCTTCAGAAGGCCAGAATATGTGGTCTCCAGGTTCTGGCGGTTTAGACCAAGTATGTGAACCGCGTCGTTTTTTTTTCTTGTTCGAGCGAGACATGTTCCTGTTAAGTTCGCATTAAACGCTCACATGCACAATTCGGTCATTACAACTCAAGAACAGGTGCTTACGCACAGCCGACCAGCTTGGGTGTGTGGGAAGCGGTGCGTACCTGATCTGCCCAGCTAGTAGGGGGTTAATGGCATACAACCACTCGTGAATCTCCTTCTCTCCAAGCGTCTGGAGCAAGAATCCACGACTCTTGGTCACCACCGAAAATGTGTTGGGAACCTGCGATCAGAGAAACACAATTGAAAGTTTTAAAGGAGAACTGCTCGCACAAAAGTCTCACACTGTTTTTACTGTTGGAGAAAAGCAGCTAACGACCATTTATCGGGACTGAAAACCTTATTTGCTCATGCACGCAATGGTTAATTATGTGAAGACGTTTTTATAGCACCCAGTCGGAGTTTCGGTCTCAGAGGGTGCCAGACGAGTCGATACCCTGCGAGGTTTGTTGATAAAGACGGCGGGCCACGTGCACGCACAAAACGGTGGTGCAGTTGCCAATTTTTCGAAAAATTCTCTAACAAGCACAGGAATCTGTGCGAAACGTCAGCGCGAAAAACAATGCCCATTTGAACGGAATCTACTGCCACACCTTGGAACACCACTTCCAAGGAAAACTTCTAATGTAAAAGTTTAAAAAAAACCCTCGGTCATTACCTTCAACATTTCCTGCTGCTCCTCATTGTATTCTACTTGTGCCGTGGCCAGGTTGATCAGCTCCCTCTCGATATAATCCTTTTCGTCACGGTAGATGAAGACATAGGGGCGGCGGATGACCTGGTAAAGAAGAGGCGCTCAATAATTCGTTAAACAAGATGAACGGCTCTGAAAAATGCCCTTTTTGACCAAATCAAAGGACTTGCTTCAAAGCATACAAGTGCACCAAGTAAACAGTACTCGTACGAAACAAGCACAAAATGGCATAATCATGTTAAGGTAAAAAGAAACAAACTCAGTAAAAAAGAAAAGTGAGCAAATTTTTTACCAAGAGTTTCGTCAGTTATGCATAGCAGTTTGCATTTATACGTGCGTGACACCAATGAAAATGAGTCACCGAGTACCAGTTCAATTTTCCAAGTGCCTAATAAGACCAAAGCATTTTATTACAGTATGTGCACTATTGGTACTTTGTATTATAGCAACATGAAGTTTATGGCATCCTGAATTACGCTTTCCAGAAATATTTTGAAATTATAATAGCATCATATAAACAAACAATTTAAGCCAGATAATAGGGTGCTTATTTAGGAAAGGAGTCTAAGAAGCCTCTTTATTAAAAGGAGTATGGTCCGATGATCGAATCGAGAACCAACACCTTTCCGGGGCAGGTAGAGCGATTGCCCTGAAAGGGCGTTGGTCTTGAGTTCAATCCCCAGACTGGGTCGAAATTTTTCAGCAGCTGAAAAGCTTTCTTTTGGGGAAATCTGCATAGCTTTCTTAGTGGCTTCGTTCGACTAACAGGTGGTTGTCAATTTTCCTTTTCTAGGCCTCCTGCTACCTTGCCGTATTATGGACAACCAATTTGCGGCATGCTTATTCCTTTGTTTCTTGATAGAGCAGTTCAGTGGCAAAGGCTTACCAGCCATCGCTTGACCCAGTTTCCGGTGCGGTCATCCAGGAGATTGAGGTAGCCCTTGCGCGACACAATGGGGCTGGGGCGCACTTCTTCCACCTCCGCCACGAAGCAAGGGTTGCCCCCGGTGAAGATTGGAGGGTGCGAGGCGGGCTTCAGACCCGCAGGGGGCGCCAAGCTGCTCGGCAGTCCTCGCGCTTCCATAGAATCTGACATCAACGTGCACGGCTTCTCTGGTGATAGTAGGCTGCAAGCAGGAGCAGTATATGTGGTATCAGTTTGGTGAGGTTTGCTTACCTGCGCTGAGCTATTTACAGCTGTGCGGCAGAACAGTTTAGTGGTTAAGCAATATTTTTCATTGTGATGCTGCGTGCCATTCAATAAACGAACACGCAGGTGAAGACAAACTTCCAGTTGACTTATGTTGACATTTTGTTTGCACACCACTTCAGATGAACAGCCGGCTCATCAATTTGTGCTAGAAATCTCTTTTGGATGAAAAGTCCACAGAGCAATTTGTCACTCTACTAGACTCGATGAGAAGAAACTTTGTATTACAGAGTCAGCTAAAGTAACTAATATTTTTTATTAATGAGGACCAATGAAGTCATATTCATTGAGTATATTCTATACTGCTGTATTCCTGACCACTGTAAGCCACTAAGACCTACTTTGGTGCCTGTGTTCCAGAAAGTAATTTTAGCATAAGCAGGCTTAATGCGAGCTGAACACACTTTTCTTCAACTACAGTGACAAGAAAAATATACCTTCACAAACTTAAGGCCTTTAAATCCTCCACATTCAATGGCACACCTCTTATTTCAGGGTCGATGCAAGGAAGAGGTCAAGCAAGAAACAAATGAACAGAACAAGGACTGCTATTTCATAAATGGTGAGCAAACTCAACTAGCTAGAAATTCACTGGTTTCACTGAGATAAATATGTCTTGATAATATGCCCGATTAAGAAAAGTTGCACAAGACTGCAACTGACCAAGCCTGAAAAAATGATAAAAAACGACACGAGACTACGACTACCAAAGTCTGAGCTAATGTGCGTGCACTGCAGACTGCTTTAACATGATTTTATGCATGTGTCTTAAAAAAAAAATGGGTAGAATGTTATGTTTGCTCAAAACACTTCATCATCATTGAGAAACGGAAATGACAGATCTCATATATGTATTTTAGGATCACATTTATGCACTTATGAATGGCCTGCATTCAATCCCAACTACGCTGCTGTACTTGCAAGTTGTAACCAAATGTAATTTGGGTGCTTGCCATCAACAGTGGACTGGTCTATACACTGGTCACCTGATCTTGCTGGCCATTACTGTCGAGCGGTCGGCCTCATCTAGTGACTATTTTGTAAGTTATTAACAGGCATAACCATGAGACACAGAGATTTAGTCATTCTATGTGTGACTTACTCTTGTGAAGAGCTCGATGTCATGCTGGAACTGAGTGATGACGCATCTCCCTCTTCAACAGGTGTCATCGCCGCATTCTGCTGCTTCCATTCAAGTAACAGAGCAAGCAAGGAAACGAGAAGATCATGTTAGTTTCTTTGTAGTGCAATGAAAAAGCAAAGTAGTATCTTCTGCTTACCTAAAGGAATGAAAGACAGCTAAAATTCCCCAAACAAATGTGTCCATTCTTTAGCATTGTTTCACTTGTCTCTGCCGCAAGCCATCAGGCAATAAAGTTATCTGCTCTAGTGCTCACTGTTCCTTTATTAATTATAATGGCTTGTGACAATCGGGCTTCTGTATACTGTCTGCCATGGCACTATAACTATGACAGGCAGCTTACAAAAGACATTCAAAATATAATGAGTAGCTGCAATGACATCATGAGAAATCACTGGACAAGCAGTATCACTGGAGCCAATATTCCGACGAGAGACCTTGTCGAAACATTGCTTTCCATGACATTCCCTATTCAATGATTTGTCCCAATGAGCCTCCATCTTCTCATGAAGTTCTGTCTTGTTTGGATTAAGATGACGCCAACAATTAAAATGACATCACAGGTTTCTCAGCCAACACTGTAGCACAGGTAGCTGAAGCAACCCCGTTCTAGGAATGCACTAATAATTCTAAACAAAAAATGATGCCACAAAGTGCAAGGTGCATTTGGCAAGTAAAGCTGATTTGAACTTTTCAAGGCTAGGCCCCACAATGTGCAGCTGTCTAACAAAGAAGCAATGCGCATCCTTTTGGACATTCGTACCTTGGCAGCAGCCGGGCCTGTAGGTGGCGGTTTGCTGGGAATGTGGCTCAAGATGAGGCCAATGGTGCGAGTGGTCAGTTCCCGCTCCCGAGGCGTCATCTCCCAAGGTGCATACACACTTTCGTCCACCACTGTGCTGCGGGTCGGGGTCACTGCAGTCGAAGAAGCCACGGTCGGCGACGGCAACTGCGAAGCGGCGGGAATGGCCGCGGTAGCAGCGGTGGCTGCCTGCTGAGTGGAGTTGGGGCCTCGAGCAGCGGCACGGGCCATCAGGTTGCATGCCTCTTTCTCCCACTTGCAGATGTCCTGGTGCTGGGGCGGACCACCGGAGTCCAGGCCTAGCTTCTCTCGAAGAAGCAGCAGGTGCCGCACCTTCTCCACCTGCGGACATTGGGTGTGGCAGTGTTTCACTGTTTCACCAAAAGTGTTGAGTTGTGGACATATCGGTGCGTCACGCCAGTTGTAGATGCGAAGGTTACGGCACTAAACAACACTTTGTTACTAAATAGTGAGAGAAAGGGAAGGGTTTATTAAAAGAGAGGAGCTGACAGGTCCGCCTGAACCAATTTGTTTTAACCAGTTACAACTCGCATAAGAGGAGCTATAAGGAGGTTGAAAGCAAAGATGATAGGAAGAAGAAGATGAGCAGCAAACACAAAGCTGCATAACAAATTTACTTTCTCAAGAAAGCAGCAAATGCCTTGGGCACTGAATGGACTGTGTACCTTGACCACAGAACTAGACAAAGATTTTCAGAAGGCAGGTCAATGAGCATCGTAGATCTAGTCATTTGTACCTTTCCCGTGCACAGTTGGTACACAAAAAAAAAAGTGGCCTACAGTATCTGGCATGGTGCATTTCTCAGGCACAGATTGTCTGCATAGCTATTATGATCAGGAAAAGCTAAGCTGGTATTTGAAAAGTCAGTTCACAGTAGCAAGCGATACATCTTTGCCAGAGGGTGTTATACTGCTACGGCTGACTGCGTACGCATTCCATATAGAAGCAACTGGCTCACATTTAATAAAACTGCACTGAGTAAAATCAAAGCTAGAAGGCAGAGATAAATATGCATCAAAATCTGATGCCATTATGCACCATTCAGCTTACAGATGCTTGTTGTTACGACATGCTTGTGCTTTTTATGTGCAAGTGATTAAATGTATGATACACAATAGGCGTCATACGATATGACACTAAGTGACTGAGCATGTAAACATCTCATATATTTCATTATGACAGGTGAAAACTTCCATAACTATGCATGCCAGTGGTGCACATTTACTTATTTAATTATTTATTTATTTCAAATACCTTACATGGCCACATGGGCATTGAGTAAGGGGGGCTTTACAGAAATTTCATACACCAAAGGTATAAACTCAAGTCACATGACGAAGAAAAATATGATTTGCAAGAACAGAGCATGTAAAACATAGAATTAGTACAATTGAAATTGTATAAAAGGTGAATGATACGAGAACCAGCAGAAAAGATAACATTAAAAAGTAAAACACATGACACCAAAAAGGCCTCAGACAAGACTTTCCATGAACCAATGCAAACTACAACTCGTCCCCACCAGCAAATAAATCACGAGAAAAATGAAAAAAAAAAGGATTACAGGAAAAGTGAGCTGGCTCTTCAGGAGATCGAAGCTGAGCTAGAAAGAGAACGCAGGAAATTTATGCATTTAACAGTGACAAGCACCTGCTGCAGAGTGCATACACCGATTTCATGGCCCACCTCTTCAAGGCGTGTCAGCTTTTCCAGTTCCCACTGGTGGTCAAATATGAGCGAGTCCCCTCGTGGCTGCCAGCCGTGCAGGTTCTCTTCTCCACGAACGTACGTTGATGACGTGTCCAGCACCCGGCGCTGCCGACGCTGCACCCCTGTAGGCCAAAGTAAGTGATGTTTGTCACCAGCTCTCGCAAATCATGTAAATATGTCTCTACAATTTGCCTTGCTGTGCCGGGGTTTGCAAGCGCAACCGTTGAAAACTTTGCTTGTAGCCACTGTACAGTAAATTTCATTAATAATGCCTGCTATGGCATCGACTGCTTTTGTGGCCAAATTATCTAAGTAAATGTCACATGTCTTATACTCAATTGAACCACAGCTAATTATAGCTATTTGACACATGTTGTGCATGTCAGTAACATTAATTAAATCTGATTACTTAAATTAAAGAATGCTACAGGGGGCAGTGGCTCAAAGTCACTACATACAAGAATATTGTTGCACTGCCACTGATATGTTTGCAAGCTTTTTGTAGTAAGTAGCTGACTACATTGTACTTGAACAATGTGCAAGCACTGGTATGCAAAGGCTACACTAGCAGATATTGCTTCAAATACACTCAAACCTCATTATAACAAAGTTGAATCCTACAAGAAAATAAGGATGTTACTACATTTAAAAACTCCTTATAAAGATTATTTCTAACACTGTGTCTATTGCAAGACTACTTTTAATTTACTTCGTTATAGCCAATATATCATTATACTGATGTTTCGGTATATTAGGCTTTGAGTGTAATACAGTCAGAGAAGAATGCAGTGTATATTGCAAATTACAGACACGAGTCTTCCTTGGGATACTTGAAGGCAGAAATTTTGGTCTGTCTGTTTGTCACATGATTCAGCCACCTGGCGAAAGATTAAGCAGTTGCAGAACACCCAGCCATCTTGAACTGGTGGCTGCGTTCAGACCTGCGCACACTGTCGATCAAAAGCAAATATTGCGTATATCTGAGGCACAACATCAACACATAAGTAATTGGTGGTGTGTTCCTTTAGTATAAAATACGTAGACAGGTAATTCATAGGGACCTAGTGTTTCCTCCGCTGCTCTAAATATGCAACACTACACCCAAAAAAAAAAAAAATGGCCAGCTGAAGAGTATTTCGATGACTTTTTTTTTGTCAATGCAGAGTAGCATGTATTATTTTCCTACATTCGATTAATTCATACTTACATTCAACGTGGACTGAGTTGTCAGAAAAACATACACAGAAACGATAGGCAGGTTGCATAGAGAACTGAGCTGTGCAGGCATATCAGTGAGTAGCTATGTCTCTTTGCAATTAACTAGGTATAGGTATTGCTGTATTCCATGCACTAAAATAAACCTTAGCAAGACTACGAAAACAATAAAATGCCTCCTACCCGGGCTACCTGAATCTGCCGCTCTCTTGAGGATCATCTCATAGATGCCGGTCACATGATTGGCATCAGCATTTTTGTAGGCACCAGTGAACAGGTGGCGCAGGGATCTTGCGTTCGGAGACAACCTACACGTGTGTGCCAATAAAAAAAAACAGTCAATGCATCGAACAGAATATTTTATGTACAATGTGCTGTGCTTCGGTATACTGAAACATTCATGTGAAAATTAACACACTGATACTAACAAAAAATGGTGCATGAGATGCTAATTAAAGCACCAATAAGATATCGTATCACATGATATACACAATTTTTCTTTTTCAACCCTAAGAGTGGCAAAAGAATCAGCCTGTATATCTCCTCTGTATTACTGACCTTGGTGCCAGTCTTGCATCTCGTCCATAGATGATGAGACAAAGGTCCTTCGTTATGATTGCAGGCTGCGCAGAGTTTTCCAGCTGTGAACAAGAAAAAATATAGTAGTTAAAGAACAGAAAAACAGGCCTCACAGCAATGTGTTTGCTTATATTTGCATAAATACAGCAATTTTTTATTTCACCTGGAGCTATTCTCCCACTCTGTTTACATTATTTGTGAAGTGCCTATATATATATCGTGAACGTGAACGTTGTCTTACAAGTGATGGAGAGTGCTTTCCGGTCCCCTGGTCCTCTCCCTGCAGCACTTTTTCGCTATCTTCGACTACCAACCATCCCTGGAGCTCCGGTCGGGTCGCCGTTTGCGCAGTCAGCCCACGGTCATGTCGCAAGACGAGCATAACAACAACGAGGTTCCGTCCACCTCGCCTACACCCCTGGGCATGCCTTCATGGACTGTCACCGCCCCTCAAAAAGATCCCCCGATGTTCGCTGGCCTTCGCGGTGAAGACGTTGAAGACTGGTTGGATGAGTACGACCGTGTGAGTGCGCTTAAAACTATTGGCATGATTCTGTGAAGCTGTCCCGCGTGTTGTTCTATCTGACGGGGGTCGCTAAGACATGGTTTCTCAACCATCAGCTGGATTTCCCAGACTGGCCTACCTTTAAGCAGCAGCTCCATCAGATATTTTCCAACCCTTGTATACGTGCAGACATCGCCAAACGGAAGCTTGCTGAACGTACCCAGCACCTTCCACCACTTGTAAGACAACGTTTTTTGCTGCAAGACACTTCTTTTACTATCTGAGCCTCTGCCCCACAACACAGGTCAGACTGATGATGATGAGTATGTACATACGACAAGATGACGAGCATGAATAATGCTCACAATATATATATATATATACAACACCTTGAAAGTAAATGTCTGTTACATAAACAGCATTCTCTACCACCTTAAATAGGTTAAATAGGTCTCTACCACCTTAAATAGGTTGAGGTTAAATAAACTCAAACTCAAACCTTGGTCAGATTACAAGCCCCTGTGTAGACAACTGTGGCTCTGCGGAGTTGACCGAACCTACTATATTACACTGTACTACATACATTGATGATGCAGCACAAGTATGATAGCAATCAGTGAAGGCCGTTTTACATTGGGACACCTGTTAAATTCTTGGCACTTGCCATCAATACTACATCGAACATGTGATTTCTTAGGAGATTACATACCAAGAGCCAGCAGAACATATCTAATCAAGGTGTGTTGTAATATTAACTGGAAAGTGTTTTATGCCTTGGTCCACCACGTCGAAAAAATATGCATGATTAGAAGGCAAAAGGGTCCGTCAATGGGAGTTGAATTCATGACTTCTGGGTCAACAACAACAGATGCTGGGCATGCTATCCACTGTGTTACGATCACATACTTAGTATACTTTAAAAAATGCACCTTTTATATCTATCACTGTCCTCTCACAGCGCTCTTAGTAAATAGTAAAATGCAGTAATGCATTATGGCCTTGGCATCTGCAATTGCTTCCTTGAACGCGTCATTTCTAATCGTCTGTCCCATTCGGCACCTTTGCTATAGTAGAACTACAATTTCGTCACTGCCCTAACACACCCCCAGGTGGCGACCTTACCACAAACATCGGCGTCGCTCATAGCATCCATCCACACGAAACATAGCTCTGCAACCTCTGGAACGCACCTGTTTCTCCTGAATGTAGCTACACGTTGCCCACTTACGCTCGCCCGGCAAATAATTGTGGTCGGCCAAAGGGAAGACACAACGCGCATTGCGTTTCTCTGTGGTCGGGCAGTGCTGTTCAATAACTCCAACATGCGGCGAGTAGGCGACCTTTAGCCCAATTTTGGCATCTAAACAGTCACACTTTTCTGGCTGTCCCATAACTTTATCTGGCTCCACTCTCATTGTGAACTACTACTACAGTTACCACAAGGATGTATGACCTCAAGGATTTCTTTAATAATTAATGATAGACATTAGTCGTCGGGATGTAGATGTATGACTAAGCCTCAGCGTGGAATGTATCATCGTTGAGCGATGCTGCAGCTGTCAAACACTGATGCACATTGTGCAAGCTGTCTGATATCAATGTACATTAAACTACTTCTGTAAAGACACGGTTTACTTTAGTGTTTTACTGATTCCTGTGATGGAGGGATCAACCATGTTTTTTATCACTATGTCCAATCACCATTCTTCTAGGGCCTTTCTCCCCCCTTCTTTTCCCTCCTCTACATGTTATAACGTAGGCAAGTACTTCTTTGCCAGCATATCTTTCTGATATTAAACCTATTTCTCAGCAGAGAAACAAACCTCCCTGCTCTCCTTCTGCACTACCTAAAACTCTAAATATGCATAGATTGCATGTTACTATACAAAAGAAAGGCACCTAACTGGGAGAGAAAGAAGCTTGTGATGAAAATTCGTAAACAGGGGTTGTGCTGTAGCCGGTGGTTCGACAAGCAAACTTGTCTTCTTCAAGGCTGCAACTCCAGTTGTTGCTCGTCGAACCGCCGGCTCCAGCACAACTTCTGTTTATGAATTTTCATGTTACTACTACACAGCAATCAGTAGAAAGCCTGGTGCTTACCTCCAAGTAAGCCGAGATGGTCATGTAGACTCGTTCTCCATAAGGAGTGACTCTGTTCAGCAGAGGCGAGCTGTGCAAGGAGGAGTCCCACGCCGCCTCAAAGTGGTAGAATGTCCTGTGAGATAACCAATGCACACACATACTTAGAGGTGTCCAAAAAAAAAGAGCATTGCAGCTAATGTGGCACATATTTCGATGATTATTCAGGAACTAGCAGCACTTCGAAGCCATGAAAACTAAAGAGATGTTTCGTATGGATACTAACGAAACACTGCTAGCCGGCAAGGGTCTTATTTTTAAAATAACAGCTTACCTGTCATCACCAACCATCTCCAAGTAGCTACCAGGGAAGATGCCCAGGGACAGCACCGAGGTGTCATTGTCCTCTTCCTCGCACTCTGGTGTGCTTCTGACACGACCTGTTATGTTGTGATAATGTAACATAAAGCTTACGCGCTTCAACTCCTTTTAGTATAGGTCAGAACTATTGTCCCGCAGTAAAGAAAAAAACGATGTCCCCTATGCTTTCCTTGGCTTAATTGTTAGTTGTTTGCATTAGTGTTGTCTTCTCGAATACACCTCACCAGTAATGTCTACACACTAGTTCTGAAAGAAGTCTCTAAAAACAGTTTTACAACATTTATTTCCCAAATCAGATCAGCACTCACATATTATGAGCCTCTCTCATGTCAATATTGTGACACTTGATAAGGTCTTTACTGCAGGTATTACAGTTCAAATAAGCGCAGAATAACAGGAAGGGATGAAGAGCTCATTTCTTCGTTAGACGCAACTAAGCGTGGTAGCTTTCAGTGCCAACTTAACACTGAGTGTTTTACTATCAGATTGTGGGTGTTTACCCACCGCGAGATTCATCGGACATAGCTGCGGTATCTGGGTGAGCAACAGCAAAACTGTGAAAGGCATGCCTGTTTATAATCACCTAGGTTACAAAACATGCTTGTGACATGCACGAGTATGAGCGTGCTAAATGAGATGCCTACCAACAACAACCTCTCGGACATCCTTCCAGCAGACGTTGGGCGTTTGCTCGTGGACCAGCGTCAGGCGTATGCGCCTCTGAATCCCCTGGTGGAGAGAGAACGTCCCTCTACAAGGAGCATCATCGCTGTGATCGACCACGGCCGGGGTGTACCTAATTGGGGAAAACACGCAGGATGCTGGCGTCAGGTGACATGCGCAGAGGCACGTAGACATACACAAACATCACTGACTGAGGCTAAACGAAAAACATATCTAGAGCACTGTATGGGTACCGTGTGACATAGGTCTTGCTCCCTCTCATGGCAAGTTATCATTATGGACACTCTTATTTCCTTTTCCATCATTATTTCTTCATTATTTCTAGGTCGTATCTAAAGGTAACAATTAACTTCCACTGTCTTTTACATGGCTTCACTGTCAATTACTCCACATGGCTGTGACTAAAAATAACAAAATAAAAGTCAAGCCTCTTGCATCCTCGAATTATTCTAGCTGACCAGGTAACCATACTTGAGGCAAAAAATAAAGTATGGTGAAAGTGTCCTTACAATAATGAAGCAGTACATGCACTGCTTAATTGGGCTCTGCTCTTTACTAAATGACCCGTTACTTCAAGGAGTAGAAGCTTTTCAAAAGGACCCCACAAGATCTCAAAAACACCTTTTCTATATTTGACATGTTTCTTTCAACTATGTTGGAAAATATGCAGTGCCACTTACTCGCCGTTCGGAGTCAGTTCGCAAATTTCGAACCACACCAGGACGTCATGTTTCGCATATATGTGTGTTGTGCTGAAAAAGGTACGAGAGATAGCAGTTCACACTTTTGAGGCACATACTTTTAGAAACCAGATTATTACACTGACGGGACTCGTACCTTGGGCACTGAAGTATGTCGAACTTTGGCGACCGAACAGGCTGAGAAATAGGCAGCGTCCTTGGGAACATCCGTCGGGGCGGCTGACGCACGCTGCTGCTGCAAAAAATGGATTCTCTTCTGTACTTGCCAAAAGATTAAGCAATAAAGAATGGCACTCGTCAGGCAGAGTTTGGCAGCAAAACAAAGATAACATGGTAAAAGAAAAACTCTTTTCCAGATAGGTTGATGCTGCTCTAGCAATGCTTGCAATCTAGCAATATACTATGTAGCTAATGGACTCTTAAAAGCAGCAGCCAAAGTGTTTTTTTTTTTTCCTGTTGTTGTTGTTGATGTGAGCTCTAAATAAGCTTAACATCTAGAACACTTAACAATTCTGATAGACAATGGAGGGAGAAGCGTGGAACAGGCGAAGTGCTGAATGCTGCCATTCTTTTGGTACAAGCAGTACGATCACAGAAAGCCAGTTAAAAAAGCTCTAAACAAATAAATCAACAAAAAGCTGTACTTCTACCTCAATAGTGGCTATACAGACACGTTTGAAGAACCATAAAGAGAGCCGCTAATGTATGAATATCTGAGACCTTAATGCCAATGGCTACTTTTTCCGTTCTTATCCCCCATGCTAAAGAACAATATTTTTAGTTTCAGATATAGCAGATCATGAAAGCTGCCCAGTTTTGGCACAACACACTAACCCTATTTTATTATGTGTATTCTGATGACAGCAAATAGTGATTGCTTGATTGAACAGCCACAGGCAAGCTGGAAGAGAAGCATGCGGCTTAATAGCTGTCAGAGTGAATATGCCTGTTACCACATTATATCAGTCCACAAAGACATGCATGATGATTTAAAACAACAAGAGCTTTCCATCAAAGAAAAGAGAACTGAATGCCTACTGCTGTTGACAGGCATCTCTGGAATCTCTGTGCAAGGGGTGCTGCTGATAGTGCCCGAACACCTCGAAGACAATTGGCCGACTCCGCAGGTAGTTCACGAATGACTGGGTTACCGTCACTGTGATCTGCACAATGAGCAAAATGAACCAGCAATACCACCATTTATCAGTGTTCACACAAAGAGTGCACACATAACAATAGTAATATAGCATGTTTTTTTCTTTCCATATCAGTGTAACTATGACATTAAATCACACTTCTCATGCTATGAACAGGACTACATGGCAGTGAGTGGAGAGGATAAGACTAGCATAAGTATCACAGTAAAATGTATCGCTCCTAAATAGCAGTCCAGACTTGCATAAAGTCAGTTTAATGAAGACACACACTGGATAAGAAAACAATGAGACAGAGTAAATACAAGTGACAATAGCTTTCGGGAGATATGACAAGTCAGTGCATGTTCCTTGTTCCCTATACGAGTTACTGTAAGTTACTTGATTGCAAGCACAAGACTTTTCATTGCATACAGAAAGAAAAATATAACACAAGAAGCAATTGTGTGCATCATTGCACTTTTGGCAACTTGATTGCCGATGACTTGAATTTCGGTGTTCGACTGTAACGCGAGAGTCGACTTCAGGTAGCGAAAATCTGAAAAAAAAAAAAACTGGCAATACATTTAGGTAAATACTGTATGTTCTTGTTCTTGTGCTGACAAATAAGTTTCCATGATAGACTATTCATGGTGGGACTCCACCTCTTTAAACGGGTGCTAAAATGGGACACTAAATTAGCTTGTAATAATAAATCAGCTTAAATTGAGGACGACGCAGCAAGCAATGGAAAGAAAAATGGCCGGTGTAACCTTAAGAGACAAGAAGAGAGCAGAGTGGATTAGGGGACAAACGGGGGTTAAGGATATCATAGTTGAAATAAAGAAGAGGAAATGGACATGGGCCGGGCATGTAGCGCGTAGACAGGATAACCGCTGGTCATTAAGGGTAACTAACTGGATTCCCAGAGAAGGGAAGCGGGTTAGGGGGAGACAGAAAGTTAGGTGGGCAGACGAGATTAAGAAGTTTGCGGGTATAAATTGGCAGCAGCAAGCACAGGACCGGGTTAACTGGCGGAACATGGGAGAGGCCTTTGTCCTGCAGTGGACGTAGTCAGGCTGATGATGATGATGATGATGAATAAATGACAATTATTAACTGCACAGTCAAAAATTTATTATTTGAAGAAATTAGGATGGTCTAAGTTTTCTTATCAAACTTCATACAGAAGTTTGGCACCTGAAAGTCAGTAAGGTCGCAGATCTTGAGATCCTTTTTGTATAATAACCTCAATGGCTCTATGAAACTTCCCAGCACTTTTTATGTTAAAGGAACATTACAGAGAAAAAAGATCTTTGTTGTGTTAGCAAACTACTTTTTCAAAATACCAAAAACACCACGATTGCCATGAGGAGTCTCTTAGTAACTGAGATAACGGCCGAAACGAAATAGCTAGTGGTGATGCCATCTTGAAGTACCTGCACTGAAAGCTGTGAGGTAATACATATATTTCGGTGTCATCAACTAGGTCCTACGTAGTGTCTAATCAATAAAAATAAAGTAAATTGTCCTTTGAGAAGGCATTATACGTGACACAATAAGTTTCAGGAAATTTTATCAAGCCAATGATTCGACAATGCCAAAAATACATATAGAAATCTGTGATGCCATGCACGGAAATCTTGGCGCGAAATTCAAGAACACATATTTGACCTTGATTTTTTTCTCTATTAGTAGACCTATGATGGTGAAATTAGTGGCATTAGAATCTTGAAAGCATAATTTATCAATCTAATTGATTAATTATTTTTCACTTTATAGTCTATCTTTAAGTTCCTGGAATAAGTACTGAGCACTACAATGTTACTCATTTTTACAGCTAAAACATTACGTAAGTCATAACAGATAACGCGAAAATCTGTGATACCACTCCAGCCTGGAGTACAAACCTTGAGGTGTTGTCTCCCTGTGTATTCTCTTTTCCCATGTTTTTCTCACCTAGCAGGCCTCCTAGTGGCAACCGGATATCACAATATTCGGATTTGCTTTGATTCGAATATAAATTATTGAAAATTTCGAAGTACTGCATATACTCGCATAATTTGCGCACTTTTTATTGCGATTTTGGAGCCCCGAGAAGGGGGTGGGCAAATTAAGCGGGGATTTCGTGAGCACATACGAAATGTTGTGTTACACTCCTAATGCACGCTGTATATAGATTTTAAAAAACAAAGAAATGAATTGGAGCACAAACAAAGTGCACTTGTTAATTTTAAATAATTGGCGTGCACTTTAAGCAGTCAGATCCCATCAAACGTGGTCTAGCGGGAATCACTGATCGCGAAGTCCGATTGGGAATCATCGTCGTGGCCTCTGCCATCGCCCTCCCGAAGCGCATCGTCCTCGGTTTCGTCGAGCGCGAGGGCTTTCTTGAAGCTCTTTCGACAATGCTAGGAGAAACTATGTCCCATGACATGGCGATACTGGAAGAACTAAGCATCCGCACATAATTGAAAAGGCCTCCTTCAATGGCAGGAAACATGCATTAGCAAGCACACACTATTCTGCTTTCTCGCGCACCGATCGCGCCGGTCGTCACCTTGAAGTATGTCCTCTTAAAGTGCTTTGCGGCGGCACGCTTCTTGTGTTCTTTGGCCAAGTTTACAACACCTTCAATTTTACCCTATATATAGTTACTGTAGCACATCACAAGGAAACCGTCAAGACGCGTCAGCCGGATGGCAAAACATAACGGTGGTAGCGACGGGCGGTGTGTACAAAGGGCAGGGGACGTAATTAACGCTAGCTTATGACTCGTGCTTACAGGGAATTCCTCATTGAAGGGGAACAATTGCAAGCCCCTATCCCAATCACGAAAGAAGTTCCACAGTTTACCTAGTCTTTTCAGACAGGGATAAAGACACGCTGCTTCCTTCAGTGTAGCGCGCGTACGGCCCCGACATCTAAGGGCATCACAGACCTGTTATTGCTCTGTTTCGTGCGGCTAGAGCCACTTGTCCCTCTAAGAATGTTGTAAGGTGCTGGGAACCCCTCACCTATTTAATAGGCTAGAGTCTCGTTCGTTATCGGAATTAACCAGACAAATCACTTGCACCAACTAAGAACGGCCATGCATCACCATTTTTTTGAAGTTCGAAAGCTTTTTATACCCTCTTATATGATCTAGGTATAGTAAATTATAAAAAAAATATTTTACAGGCTACTACTTGCATTCTACTGAAAGCCATATCCTGATACTATTCAAAGTTGTTTCCACTTTTTTTTTTAACCAAAAATAATGAAATTAGCACAGGCCTTGTTTCAATTTTTTAAAAAGTATTGTGCAGGTCAGTTGGGTCATGACAAATAAGCCCATTTTCTTTTATAACATGTGATACATACTATTCGAATTCAATTCGAAATTATTCGACCAAGATCACCATTTGCTTTGATCCTAAAATTCACTATTCACACAAGCCTAAAGATAGTGCATTAGGTATTGTGAAAGGGAAAGTTGTATGTGAAAAAATCTTTATTCTCTTCCGTGTCCCTTCACCACTCATTCTCATGGCTATAAGTAAATGACACTTACATTCTGAACATGGAAGAAGCCAGGAGGAGGTCCCTTGACTGTATTCTTGAGAGGCTCCGTGGAAAATGCCTCATCGTGACGGTGCAAGAAGCTGGAAAAGAATGGCCATAGGTGAAAAGTAGCACTAATAGCATGTACCACTGTGTATGCATTACATTAATGCTCTGGCAAGCTATAGGATTACAGTACTTTCAAATAAAGCTAATAAATTACAATATCTTTGATGCAAAAATTTTGTATGTGGCAGCACGACTGACAAATATTCTAGTACAGTTAACACCAAATTACAGAGATCATCTAGTTGTAGTCTACGACTGTTCTAAAATGCGCTCATTTAAATTTTTTTAAATATACTTGATGATAGAATAGCAAAAAAAAGTAAGGCAAGTAGACATTTCAGAATACACTGACTCTCTTGACAACTACTTTAACAAATAGCATAGCTGCTTTTAGCACGCTAAGATACAACTTTGCCTGAAAATTTCATTCACATGAAGTAAAAATGAAAAAACTTGTTTAAAACACCAGCCTGTTCGTTGATACATCACACGATGATACGCGTGTACCCACCATTCAAGTGGTAGCAGCGTAATAGCTATCATACTAAATTGCAAAAAGCTTGAAAGCACATGTTGCATACTTGAACTGGGAGAAGATGTCGGCATATTCCTTCGAGATACCAATGGCCTGCAGCACAGTGACCCTGAATGTGAACTCCTTGCCGATCTGCAGGTGCTCGGGCAGCTTCTCTTCCTCCTGGCTCAGGGGAAGGATGTTGTTGTTCTCACCGTCCTGCTTGTAAGCCTCGAGCCGGCTGCACTCCTCTGCACAGAGAAAGCAGACAGCGACGAGCGTGAGCATTTTAACGAATCAGATTACAGTCGCATGACAGCTTCCCTCAGTACAAACATTCTCTCAACTACAGTGACATCTGTGATACGGCATCATGTTAAATATGAATAATGTAGTTCTTGAGTCACCATGTAAACTCATAGGTAGCGTTCGAGGGTTTATTGGTGACACATGCCTACCTTGCAATATTGACATACCATGTGATACCGAAGAATGCCCCACATTCGCCATCGTGGTTATGGGTGGTGCTAACACTCCCACGTTTACATGTGCATAAGTACCCCAAAGAGAGGAACAGAAAACCACTATTACCGTATCATAGCAAAACTGGTAGAGCACTGTACAGGTAACGCGAGTGTTGCCGATTCGTATCCTATCTACCGAAAGTTGTTTTTTCATTTGCTTTGCATTTTTCTTTGACCTACATACACCACACTTCAATCAAAAACTACAAATAACAACCCCTATGTTAATTATAAACATGTGTGAAAAATGATGAGCAGGACAATGCTTATGAACTGAAATGCTATACCTGAACAGCCCCAGTGAAAGTAATAGCACTGCCTTTTTCACACCGAAATGCAAAGATCCTATACATGGAATAGCAATACATATTCGCACATGCCATGCATGCAACAAGATTCGACTTTCTTGTTTGAGACTGTCAATAACACTGTCCCACATTGTAACTGTTACAGCAGAGAACTATACAAAAACAGCAACCGTATACTGAAGTTTGTAGAACATTAGCCAAACAGCTTTACTGAACAGATATCTCATATCTGTATATGAAACATACAAGAGCTGAAATAATGAGAAAATGTTGCAAAAATAGGAATAGAGAGAGAAGGATAATACCATGCTGCAGTGAAGTCTGTTGTTGCTCCTCCCCTTCCACTATGCGTTCTTCACAGCAAGGTGCTTTTTCAAGGCAAGGTGATGCACTTTCTATGCAGTGGTCCTGTGGACAGTGAACAGGATACATTCTTAGCTGCACTTTCCTACTATAAAAAGCTCTCAGAAACTTTTTCTCTTGCATAACCTTCGTTTGCCTTACTTTCCTTCCACATTGAAAAATTGTGTGTAAACAATTCAGTGAGTAACAACATCTTGCTGCTCTTATAAAACAGTTAAGAAAATCTGGCTATTGAATTTGACCTGCTCTTTATTTACACCACAGACCATACAATGTATGACAGGTCCCTGCCATGCCACTCGATTGCCATCTGCCATTTTTTATTGTAACAACAAGCATTAAGTGCATCTCTGCATATGCATCGTAATTACAGCGCAAATCTAGCAAAAATGTTTAGCATTGCTCACATACAATCACACACTTTACGGCTAATTTACAAAATACAGTGAAGACAAAATACCCTGCAGCTGGCCTGTCTTGTCTATGTAAATCCCTATGATGCTTCAATGAAAATCACTTCGTCCTCAAATTCAACTGAACAGCATTTTAAACCTCGGGAACTATGCAATACCTAAGCGGCAAGGTTTCATAGTTTCTCAGGGCCACTTGCCTTCTTTGTGGTGTCAAAAAGTTCATCATTGAAGCTTATTCTTGCTGACTGGCGTACTCCTGTGCTGCAGTCTGCGCTTTCCTCATCATCTGAAAACAAAAAAAAATGTTATGGCAACATAAAAATGACCATGTCATTAAGACATTCCTAGTTTATTCTCTCATGAAACTTATATCCAAATTTTCCTAGCCGGCACTGTTTACAGCATCTGCATAAAGCTCGGAAGTATCACTTTGCTACCTTATGCTAGAATTTCTAAAAAGCCAACTAATCTAGCAAAGTTCAAAATCTTCTGCATTCAGTAGTATCATGCATGCTTGTTGGTGTACCACTACAAGCAAAAAGAGATGTTTTTCCGGGAGAAAACTGAATTTTTGTGGATAACACATGGCTTCATTAAGCAACACACCCACGTTGTTCACTGGCCATTACCACAACTAATAACTTGTGCACCGTGCTGAAGCTGAACATGACCCAGAACCAATGAACAGACAGACATAAGACACTCCTAACAAACATTTAGCATTTGAAAATTTTTTTTGTGTGTTGTAAATGCTTCATCCTTCTTTTTGTTACTTCAGTCAACAAGGAGCAAATGGTTGCCATAGCTGTTGGAAACTTTCCAGCTGTGTGAGGAACATAGTGGACATGTACAAAGTCACAAGAACACTACATCACGTAGACATCGCATTTCTCACCTATGACAGCTTGTACAGCGACTCGCAGGTAGCCCTTCACGTCGCCTTTCTCATTGACAATGGCCACCTTTTGCACCAGTGGCACAGGGTATAAGAGGTTGCTGAGGTACACAAAGGCCCTGGGAGAAAAATTGGCCAAGTGTGGTTTTTAATACACTTTGTCTTTGTTCAGTGCACAACATGAGCATACTGCTTGCCATAAATATTAATGGGTTTTGAAGGTGCTGGTGTGTGATGGTTAGGTGCACAAATACACCATGCGCTCATTACATGCACCTGACCCATGGCATCTTCGACAAATTACGCAGGTGTGCACCGTTTTGTTCCATGATCGTATCGCCTAGGCACCCCTTTGTGCACCTGCGTGATTTGTCTAAGATGCCAAAGAAGTAAAAAAGAGGTGAAAGGTGCTAACTACTGCAAAGTACTGCACAATATTTATAATAAATCAGATTACTATAATGTTTCGATATTCTGCAAACCATCACCTTATCCTGATATACCACCAGATGTCCTAATCTGACCTTGAAAACAAGCCCAACAACTTCAACAAATGTTTCTTCATGAAAAGAAATGCATGCAGCTATTTAATCAAGTAATGGACCAACAAAACAAATGTGTTCTGATAATACAGTGACGATGACTAAGGCATATGCCAGAATAAACATGAACCACTAAATGCATTTTACAGCATTCATGTTTTGTTATGAAAACTAGAAGAACGCAAACTTTACAGTATTTTGAACTAATTTTATGAAAAAGCTTCATACTAATACAGTAAAATATTATGGTTAAAGGGAATCTGAAGAAACCAGGAAAATATGATGCATTTAAAAGGAATTTCATTCACTGAAAGATAACCAGAAGTGCATGCACTAACCCAATCATATCAGAGATAGTTTGATTGAAGCAGCAAACCTATTAAACAGGTTTTTCGCTTACTGAGAATCTTCTGTAGCTTACAGAGCCAATCCACACTACCACATGTGGAAGTATCACACCATGCAGACATTCACACTGACCCCTATATATCAGGTGAATTCTAAAAGGACATACCTGCCAATGAGCCTGAACCATGGAAACCGGTCATAGAAAGGATCCCCGCCAGTAATGCTGCTTTCAACATTGTAGTCGGGAGATGTAGGGGACAGTTCAGCCTCATTGTGGTACATCTCGCGCATCAGCTCCAGGCGTTGTCTGTAAATGAAGAGTACCTTTACAACTGAACTTTCATCTAAAGAATAATCAATGTGTTTGCTTTGCTGACAACACTGCATTCAGCTTCGCCATATCAGTAAGACCTTGAGTTCTTTAGATAACAATAGGATCTTCTTGACAGAATAACAGCTCATGTGAATCTTGGCACAGGATAGCTAATTCAGAAAATTGTTTCTGCCAGTAAAGGCTCCAATGTCATGCACTTATGTCCAGCAGTTGTCCTGTGAGGTACACAGAGTATGTGTTTGTAACATTATAAAAAAACAAAAAATTAGAGACACGATTTCTTTACTTTTATGCTCATATTTTACTGTGCTTCAATTTGCATTAATTTCTGACAGTGAAATTTTCTACATACGTATTATCCAGTGTTCTCATAGAATTTGAACATAAAAGATTATATTTTTTATATTGCTTTTACTCCAAGCCAAACAAACTGTACACTTTATTATGAACTGCCATTTTTTTTTGCAAGCCTCACAGTGATGGCGGTGTCCAACTACGTTCATAAAATGACTTTATCTTTAAGGGGCCATGCAACACGTTACGTGAAATATTACAAATGCATCTTTTGACCTGGCACAGATAATAGCTAGCAAAAGCATCTCGAATGTACCTTGTATGAAAGGAGCTATTAGCATTAAAACAGAGCCACTGTAATCCCCCAGTAGCTTCAAAATCCCTTTTCTTCGTTCCTACTGGATAATAAAAAGTTCTGCCACTAAGCAATATCTATTGTGTTCAAAACATTATTACTACATAAAGTAACTGTTGGTTGCAAGAGGCTACAGCACTTCTTCAGTGGTGCCATTACTTGCTTCCAGAAGATGCCAATACAATACCAGTCATGAAATTTATTCCTGATAACTTTCACTGAAGCCATTACTTGATAAACATTTCTAAATATACCTAAACATCAGAATTAGAAATGTTTAGGAGTGTATACGAGAAATAATTGGGCCTAAAAGAAGTTGAAAGGTGCAGTTGCTTTTCTGAACAGTACAGCAATATCTCCTTGCTATGTGTAGATGAGCAATATTTGGCCCTAAAGTTCAAAACTAGCTGTGTAATTCAGTGCTTGAGCTGATATATATATACATGCTCAAAGCGTATTGCAGGGCCCCTTTAGGAACAATGATAATATGATAGTAAAAACATGTTAAAAAAAAACTCTCTGAAGTGCATGAAATGATAAGAGTGTACTCGGGCAGCATAAACATGATTCGAGGAATTCACATGCGATCATTACCAAGAGTAAGCCGTGATGTGCAATCAAAAGAGAGCCTACATCACAGGAAATGGAACTAACCAAGGCAGGACGCTCAGGAAGTAATGTTCATGCTCAAATAAGTTTGGTGCATTAATTCTGGCTCAGAAATAGCCACAGCTAGCAACATATGTTGCAGATCTGTAAACAATGCCGTCGGCAGGCCACTGTCAACCAATATGCAAATAAGCATTCCAGCAACCAGGAACGTACATACAAACAAGAATCGTTTGTGAGCAATGAATTAGACCGACACATGGCAATGTGAAGGATTAGCGACACTTCAGGAAATGGAAGGTAAAATGCAACATGCTCAGCAGTAGTCTCCTTCATGTTAGGTACAGCAATTATGTGGAATGTAGGATCAATGGAATGGCATTGCTTTTCTACTTTTTTCTTTCTGCACCACAAATCTTTTTGCATGAAATACCATGAAATGCCAACTCACTTGCAGACACACCTGAATTAGAGATATGCAGTTCCTAATAAGAGTCGCGACATTGTGGCCTACGTTATTATTGAACATTAAAATACAGCCAACTAATACATGTTCCGTCTGCGATGACATAGCTAATTTAGAACACATGCTCTGGTGGTGCCCCAGTGTTACACTGTGGTGAAGTCTTCACGCAGCCCAAATGGGATGGTGCTATTACCAGCTCCAGACTTTAACGGCAGTTATGGACAGTCCAACGGGCCTGCGATGCAGCAGAGAGACTTGATCTTTCTGTTCTGACATGGGAGCGGCTGGCAACGTGCTAAGGCGCGTTCCGAAGGACCTTATAAAGTTCCTCCATCTATCCATCCATAAAATGTAGGGATGATACTATGTATAATACGGAATTACACACAAATAATGTTTACCTCTACTACTCTTTATGAAAGTCATTCTAGCACAGTGAGCTTAAGATGTCAGCGCTCCTGCATGAAATTTCATATTTAGCAACACATACTAGATACCCAGCAAGTGACTTTCAATGACTCTGCAACAACTGGATGGAAGTGCTTCTTGTGCTAAAAATATGGAACGAATATGACGATTGAAACCAGCAATGACAGTGGTGAGACAAAGATGTTAGAGAACTAGAATACTCGAAGACAGAACTATATCTTTGTGTTACAGCAAGCAGCATTTTTTTAACCAAGTGTTTAAAATGACGAAATGTTTGGTGGCAAAACCATTCAGGTAAAAGCCATACGAGTTAAATTCCCACAAATGATAGAATCAAATTACATTAAGTTCTTGCTGGGCTTCGCGACTAACTTGAAGCCTAGCACAAATTTTCGTCGCAGACTAACCTTTCAGTCCAAATCGCAAAAGTGTATCTCTTGTCACCAGTGTCTGTATCATAGTTGTTACCGAATGTAAAGCTTGGTATAATGAACACAGATATCATAAATTGTTGGCTCTAACAAAGTTGTACTTATAAAGAATTTTCTGATGTAGCAAAGCCGCTGTCATGTCAGATGCAATTTTATTATAATGAGGTTGGAACCTTGCACAAAGAAACACAGTATGCAGTGTTACCAAAATTTATCAAAATTAATTATGCATGCAGACAAGAAAAAAACGGGAAAATTTTTGTAGTTCTAATGTCTTTAATGTAGCACTCAAGTTATGTGTGTGTGTTAGAGTAGTACAGCAATGCGGATATACTTGTTGCATACCATACACTGTACAGAACTTTGCTGAACAAATTTTGTGTTGAATGCTTTGCGCAAAGGCCCACACAAAGTTCAAAGTTAAAATACTCTCATAAAAACATTTCATTCGTTGAGAGACTGTGTGAAAAAGGCGGCGGTTTATAAGCTTGCATGAGATAAATGTTTTGTGTGTCCAGCATTGATGTAAAACGAACTGCGATTCTTTTTTTCACCATTTCTTCCCACTACGGAAATTGTTTTGATTGATAAAATTAGAACAAAAAAAACGCTTGCATTATTATTAGCAATAACAAAGATTGCAATACACAACTCTATAGAGACAATTATAACACCCCTCACTACTTATTTGCTAGTTTCTCTTTACTGAAAATTCGGGGCAGATGAATGGTATTGACAACAAGAGAAGCGATGATGATGCTGTCTAAGTTACTTATTTCAGGGCCTGTTTGCGGGACAAGTCCCAACACCTGGTGACGAGCAGCCCTATACAGCACGTGCAGCACAACGTGTTAATCAAGTGCATTTACAACACACAAATTACGTGGCTAATTGAGCGACACCTCGAGCTGAAGCATCAGCATGGCCGGCATGAGATGAAGCCCACAAGAAGCAGAACAATCGACAAGCTGTGGGTAGCAGCACAATGCACATTCTTGTAGCTCAACGGCATGAGAGACTCAGAACGCCCGATTCAAACAAGCAGAGAGTACACAGGCATTGTGCAGAGAATGAGGAGAGTTTTGCATAAGGCAGACGAAAAGAACAACAGAAGAGGAGCCAAACGAGAGGCCAATGCAAAACTGGTGGGTATGCTGACCGCAACATTTATGCGAGGAAAGAAAGAAGGGGGGCCAAATGCAGTGAATGACGCGTGGCAGCAGCAGCAGCATCAGCGGCGGCGTAGTGCATGTTATGACCTTGTCTTGGAAGGGATGAGACTGGACAGGCCCAGGGCAGCTGACGCGCTCAAGCACTGCAGCAGCGGGTCTTCCCGAGATTCGGGGCTCCCGGGGGACCAGGTGTCCTCATTGTACACATTGCGCATTAGCTCCAGGCGACGTCTACAGGTTGAGGGGTGGGGCAGGGCGGGAGAGGGGGTCATGGAGGTGCGCCACTCAGTTGTCCGTGCCAGTCAATGCTCTCAAGTTGTTACTGCCCCCCACTGCGCGATTATTCTAGTGCCCTAGGTTTGGCTAATCAAGTGAATTTTTCATTTTCAGTACACCCACAGCATGTGGTACTGACAGTTTTTTGTCTTTTTTTTAACTGACCGTCAACTTGGCAAAAAGCATAAAAAACCTGCAAGAATTACCTTCACACAGTGAAATAATTGCAAACACTGTATAATGCTATCTTCAAGGAGCATTGCTTGGTCACTACTATGCTCATGAACATTTCGAAATGGTGCAGTTATAGGTGTGATCGACAGAAGTAACCAGCCTTACTGCACTTCCTAGACATGAAATGGCTTACAGGTGGCACTTAAATTGGCACATAACCAATCAACATTTGACTATCTGGTTCAGCATAGCCATAACATAACAAGTGATTATTATGCCCATGGAGCTTGTTGTTAGCAGGCTTAAGCTTTCATAAACTGTCATTAACTTCACGAAAGAGGCGTATAAGTATTCTGAAGCTATGACAGCCTGTAGTTGCGATGTAAGTAAATGCAGAATAACATGTAGCTCTAAAACATGTGCTCAGCATTATAACTGAACTTCTAAGCATTATCATGTGCATAGCGCGGGGCACTAGGCGGCGAAGCATACTGCTTAAAACAGCTGTGGCTGAACCCCAGCTGTAGACAAAGCGCCTTGAACGCCATGTACGAATGGTGGCTCCTTTATGCAAACGTGTGCTGTGGCATGTGCGCAAACCAGACATGTCCAGCCATTGCGAAATAACGCTTCAAATAAAGAATGATTCAACCAACGTGATTACTGTTCAAAAGTGCGTTGTGTGCACTATATTGCCACCTGGGACCACCAATCTGACAAAAGTTACCACTGGTCCATACCCACAATCACATACATACTGTAAACAAAGTAAGCCCCCCCCCCCCCATGGTGAACAATAGCCCAACAAGATTGGGAGGTGGGGGGCCAAGCTAGGCCATGAATCAAAATTCAAAATGTCAACAGAAGAGCCGCTAAAAATTTAAAAAAATGCACACTTGTGCTTCTAATGCAATGCTTTATTAAATACTCACGCATTTACTGTTTTCATTCGCCCTCATCAGGCAAATAGAAACAGTAAATGAAAACGGTGGCAGGGGAGAAGGGACACATACATTAAATCTCTCAAGGAAGGAAGGGAGGTGCTTGCTCAGACTTTCACGGTAGTATGCAAGTTCCCGGGCAATAAAGTATACAGACAAAAATTTCTAACTCCAGACCACATGTTTCAAGAGATGAAACTCAACCTAGAATGCTACGAATCCTCTAGTATAAAAACAAAGCACCACAAGCGTTGCAATCGGAAAAGTGCAGCTGCTTGTATACAATTGAGGTGCAAGCTAGGTCACAAGTTCACATGCAATATCCTATAGTCTTTCGACAGCCAACATGCATAATATTACCTGTCAAAATGCACTCATCAGAGGAACATGCATGAATAAAATGTAATACAGTTCAATTGAACTGTAGTAAGAAGCTGAAAAGCATCTTACCACACTGTAAAAAATCAGCAGCACATGTTTTGCATAATGTCAATATAAGCAAATATTCGATCGATTCAACAAAACAAAACCAAGTTTGTACAAGGGCAATTTTCAGGTGACTAACAAGGATGAATTTTCTGCTACGTGATTACAGTGCATTTTCACAGAATTCACAAAACTAAGTTATATGCCAAACACATCGTATATTGTAAAGAAAAAAAAAATAAGACAAGAGCACCAAAGTGCGACGCCTACTATTACTGTGCTATAACCGTGCTGCAAACATTCATTTGGCTCGTATAAATCAAGCCTGAGTCACACCACACAAGCTGTTTAACAGTTCAGAGTGTCTTATCTAGTATTCTTCAAAACTGGCACAGTTACAAATTTTGATTACAATCAGAAGACGACAGTTTCATCTATGCAAAACAAAAACATGCACATAAAATTTCAAATCATGAGACATTCGATATTAATGTCATGCTGTGTATTGAGAGTAGAATCAGCAATCATTACAGAGCAGGGGCACAGCCATAAATTTGCTTCCCGAGGTGGAGTGGGGGTAAAGGTTTACGCACCCTTTATACACATGTTTGGACATGCATTTTCATGTGTGCATGTATAATATACACATGCAAAACTAAAACATCTGGGAGAGTGGGGTGTTGACTGCCCAAGCCCCGTGCTGGCTATATTAATGTTACAGAGCAACTGAAAGCAAAGAGCACCAGGTTGCTGCATGGGTACCTGGTACATGCAGTATTACCTATTACCTTGCGTTGCTGAAGCCATTGTGATCTCTGAATGTATTGCGAGTGATCAAGCATAACAAAGTGAAAAGATCTGGTACATCGCACGAGACCAAATTATCTTATGTATTATAAACACTTTGGAAACAAAACAAGATTTATAGCACGGTAATACTTCACTGGTGTTTATAATGCTGCCTGCATAGTAGAAAAGAAACAAGTGCAAGACCAGGCTTTGACATATGACTAACTTTACCTCACAGTTATACTTTCCCAATGCAGTAAAAAAAAAATGTTAATTATAATTGATTTTATGTATTTTTTATTCTTCAATTGTTTCCTATCAATTCTGAACAATGCTCTTTGATTATGCGTAAGTTTAATACTGTATTTTTATCCAGAGCTTGAAACCCCTCCTCCCCTCCTACACCTCTGGTTAAGCTGGTAGAAACAGCATCACCAGGCAAAGTGCACCTACAGAAGTAGTGATCGTTTGGCATGAAAATGTGCACATCCAAAGAAGAGTGCCACTTGCCCTTTGATGTAAAATGGGTGGCACACAAGCAAGCTAGCATGTTCAAGGAGCGACACTGCTCTTAAAGTTTTTTATTTCTCAATTGATTTTAATGACACTTGTTGAGCTTATATATATTTGTGTGGTGATTTCAAATATCTCAATATTCTTCATGTATAATGTGCAGCTTTTTAAATACAAAACCTTTCATGTGCCTTCTGAGGAGCAACATTATTTTCTGAACTGAGAGATCTACAAAGTAAATTAGCATATCACAATACTCTGGAATCAGAGCTCATTGCAGTGCAACAAATATTATTGTTGTGAATTCATTTGAACAAAAGTTGTGATACGTTGAACATTTGCGAGTGAGTCAACTTAAAGCTGGAATATCACTCGCAAACTGTTCAACTCACCATAACTTTTCTTTAATGAAGTTTAGAACACCAATTTTTGTTGTACTGCAATCAGCTCTGATTCCAGAGTATTGTGATATGCTAAGTTTACTTCATATATCTCTCAGTTTAGAAAAAATGCTGCTTCCTAAAAAAGGCACATGAAAGGTTTTATGTTGCACACTCTACACTTTATACATGAATAATAATAGTATACATGAAATGAATATACACAGACTCAGCAAGTTTTGTCAAAATTGATTAGGAAATAAAAAAAATTTAAGTGCCCTGTCCCTACTCAAGATAGTAATAAATAAAAACCATGCTGTGAGTAAACAATGCACCCTGTACTAACTTGACATGAATTTGATTAGAATGCTCGAAATTGATTTTTCTACTGCAAACTACATATTTTGAGATTCTAAGAATGATGATGCAAAAGAAAAGCGAACAATACGAGCCTGGCTCCACTTGCCACCATTATCTCTACATCAGGGCAGTCAAGTAGTATATCTATCCAGCATGCAGCAAATTGGGAACTGAGGCTTACACAGGCACTGACAATATGTCCTCTGAAAGCTCATTTCAGGAAATAAACAACATGCTCGGGTGCTTCAACTCAGTTGTCTAGTTTGGCCATTTTGAAACAAAAACATAAAAAACTTGCATTTTAAGCAAGATGTGAGCCAGTGTGCTGTCCTCTGCCTTGGCCCTTACAGTTCCAGCATGATTTGCCACAGTACAGCACAGAAAAAAAAAAACATGCACTATTAACAAACAGCACAGCTTCCAGTGGAGTCTTTGCAAACCGTTCATATTGGTACACTACATCTGCTGTGATGAAAGGATAACTCAAGATCATGACTTCGATGCAGTGCCATGTAATGAGTGCCTTGAGAATGGAGGTAGCCCTAACCTGAGTTTGGTCAGTGTCCAGTGGTGGGTGGCTCCGTTTTTGGTGTCCTGCACTTCGACGGCAACCAGGGTTCGAGGGAAGGGCCGCTCCTGGTCTGAAAACTCATCCGATTCGTCGCGAGGAATCAGGTCCGGCGGGAGCGGCGAGTACAGCGTGTCTGTGACAAGGACAAACTGGAACTGCACCTGCAGACAAGAGTTTAGACAAAGAAGGCCTGTGTAAGTACTATCAAAATGTTCATATCATGAGTATCAATAATTATGAACTATACACCCATCACGTGTTGCACAGTGTTATCCTAATCAAATACGCAGTCAATGCCGAAAAAAATGTTCACTTTTTTTTTCTACCAATGTTGAAACAAGCTGACTAAAGAAACACCAAAGAGAAAATTGATTTGAGCTGTATTAAAATGGTGGGCTGCTACGACACCAATACAGTAACTGTATGCAAAGAAAAACTAAAAAAAATATGGGTGGTAACAGGGCCTCGTGATTATTGCATTAGTCACTTTGACATCCTGAATTTTCACGTCGGCTGCTTAGGTCTACTACAGTTGACATTTATCGATACAAACAGACAACACTGCAGTTTAGAAAATTAAGGCAGCATCTCATTAGTGGTGCACAGCCCGAAGGAAGAGCCGTGCTGGGCAGGCTTCTTTTGTTTCTTTTCAGTTTTCTTTTTCTTTCCTTTTTTCTTTCTTTTTCTCTTCCCTTTATTTTCAATTTTTTTCCTATTAATTTCCATTTTTCTTTTGTTATCTCTTTTTATATTTCTCGCTTGCTTCCTCTTTTTTGATTTCCCACCAGTTTTGCCTGCATTAGACAAAGCGACAGCAGCATGCGACAGCATACGGCCGCCCAGGCCTCTATAGTGGTTCGCACTTGATATCACCATCAAGGTGCTTGAAGAACAAGAGGAAGAAGGCTTATATTTTGCGCAAGTACGCGCTCATACATCTATGCTATATGTGGTTTAGCCTGCATTACGACAAGCGATGACAACGACGCACGATCACAGCATATGACAGCCCGGCCCCCTAAAGAGCTCCGCACTTAAGAAAAGCATAAGACTGCGGCTAGCAAGCTTAAAAATTTTTACTGTTCCACGATGGGCAAGTACGTGAAGACGCTTCAAAATCCATAACGTCACACAGGCATACAACAGCTGAGCTTTTTTTTTCGCCCCGCCGCGGTGGTCTAGTGGCTAAGGTACTCGGCTGCTGACCCGCAAGTCGCGGGTTCGAATCCCGGCTGTGGTGGCTGCATTTCCGATGGAGGCGGAAATTTTGTAGGCCCGTGTGCTCAGATTTGGGTGCACGTTAAAGAACCCCAGGTGGTCGAAATTTCCGGAGCCCTCCACTACGGCGTCTCTCATAATCAAATGGTGGTTTTGGGACGTTAAACCTCACATATCAATCAATCAACAGCTGAGCTTTGGCGTGAAATTAGAGTTGCTGAAATTTTTTTCTTCTTCCTCGCTTCTAATAATCTACCCATTATCACAAAATTAACGAAAGTGGACACTTAATTAAAATAACACTTTATCTATACATATTAAATGACCATTGTTTTTAGCTTTGATGTCCCCTTAGAATAGAATGTGGTTATTAATTATAATCACCTTCTTCTTCAATTCAACACTGATTGCATTGGCCTCCTTGAGGAAGATTGCGTTGCCCCAGAGATCGTCCCTGAGAGATGTGAACTGGTGGTACTTCCATTTCTGAAAGGCCCACGCAGCGACCTGGTACTCCCGGTCACTCCAAGGCTGGTCAACTGCACACAGCAATGTTTATGTTAGATAAACTAAAAAATAGCTCACTAATTACTAAACACTAATTTTGCATCCTAGCACAATGAGCCATCACAAAAGTGAAACCACCTACGTTTGCATAATGCAACGTCAGTCTCACTTTGTGCAGTTCAGTGTGTTGTGTTTGCTCAATAAGTGTGGGAACATTAGTAGAAAACAAAACTTTAGCAAGGAACACTGCAAAGTAACTTTCCTGCCAGACTTTTCTATAGTGCTGTGCAACATAAGGCACTTGCAGCCCATGACAAAAGGATATTGCTGCTCATGTGTTCATGCTGCATATCAGGAATCTGGAACTAAACAAAGGCACTGTGCAGAGGCTATGCGCAGAAAACAACAGCACAATGAATAAGCAGCATATGGAGTGTATAAAGAGTTTGCAGGTACCCGTCTACAAGTGCTCACAAACATTCATAAGGCTCATAAGTGCTTGAGCAAGATAGCTAAAGCCCTACAATAGCCTTTCATTGTAAAATAGCAGCTGGTTTGACATGTGGATGATGCAAGATGCGCATGTATATCGCACAGAAAACTAAAAATGAAACGGAAGCGTGCAGAAGTCAGTGCTGTCATCAGCACGGTTGCCAAATTCTTTATTATTGTCTGTGAATCATATATTTCTGAATATAATCAAAGGAATCGTATCTGCTTTTCTAAGTGCCAGGCTGTGGTTACTGCAGCCAGAATCTTGAGGACATGAAAGTCTTTGTCTACATGTTACAATCATGGCCAAGACATATAGGTAAATAATAAAAATCACAAAAATACTGTCCATGCTTAAGGGCGTGGGGCTGCTATAGTTAGCTCAGATGATGCTTGGCATTTAATTGCGCTCGTAATGTGGACGCCCTTCAAGTTTGCTACTGAAGGGAGTAACGAAGCTAAAAACTCACAGACAGCATCGTCTTCAGCAGTGGCTGCTTCGTCTGCTGTGCACGCACTGTACATGCTGGAAATCATCGACTGTTCCTCTACTTGTCGTTGCAAACACTCGATGCGGGCCTCGTACGTCTGAAATAGAGAGGCAGTAATGCAACAAAGTCATGTGCCAGTGATCAAAAACCTCTTTACACCATCAATGTTGCAATGAGTGCCATGGTTTAAGTGAAACGAACCTAAAGATGGATTAACAGCAATTTAGATAAACAGCTAGATAGCACAAGCATTCAATTCTTGAGTAGTCTAAGAAAGATTATACATAATGCGTGAACAATAACATTCTTTGAGGCATTTCTGGAACCTTTAGCTGTTAAGTAACTATTCTGATTGACATCACAATTGAAAATTGAATCTACTGCATGCACTACAACTTTCTTCATTGCTATGTCGTTAAGAAATACACAAACACAATTTAGTGACGTGTATCACTCAGCAAAAACATTCAATATGAGATTGCTGAAAAACTTGAGCTGTGAAGCTCCTTATGGCAATAACTTCACTCAATTTGGCACCAATGTTATCAAGGAGAACTCCCTTCCAGTCATGATGATGATAAGATGATTCTGACCAGTATCATTTATATACCCTCACCTTTCTCTCTTGCTCAAACTGCTGATCAGCCTCTTCTTTTTCCTTCTTGTACTGCTCCTCTAAAGCTAAGAGCCTGAAATGTCAGACACATGTGAGACATTCAGACAAAAAATGTGAATGTCTGTAACACCTATGACAGAAGGCAAAAAGAAAAATAACGTCACATACTTCTTCTCCATTTCTTGCTTCAAATCAATGCCCTGTTTTTCCAACAGCTCCACTTGTGCGAAGGACCAATCAACCGGCTCTCCACCTGGTCACAACAAAGCAGTGTGTCATTAACAATTGTCAATTTCACAGAACTCCACCAGAGATAAAGAAAATCCTGATTACTAAAACTAGCACAACTGTTAATGGATTAAATCATACTTGATTTTACGCAATGATGATGCCACATGTCGCAACTTTGCCAAATATGTTTTACGCCATCCAGAGCTTATAAAGTTGGCAAGAATTGTTTTGTTAGTAAACTTTGAAGCCTATAAGACATTCACACCTTTATAAAGTGACTAACGAAATGGTGCTCTTAATTATATGACAAATAGTTGCAGAAAGATGAGTGTAACTCCTTACATCTGCCTGCATAATGTACTTGAAATCAATTTATTATATTCAGATACCCTAAAGGCCCAGATGTCATTACAAAGGGGGGGGGGGGGGGGGGGGAGATAATAGTGATCGGGGCCAATATTATACAAAAAACTAAACAATATAATATAAATACATGAAAAGAGTAAGTAGAAACAGAAACATTTGAAAGTTAAACAATGGCTAAAGAAAAAAGCAACCACAATTCACACATTCAACAATAAATGATATTTTCATCAGAGGGGGAACACAAGTCTTGATAATGATTACCTTAGAGTTTGAGGAATGACTTTACGTGATTAAAAAATGATTCATGATCGACAATGTGAGTGATGTCAGTAGGCAGAACGTTCCATGCACGAATGGCGCTGAGCAGTGGCGAGTAATAGAACAGATTAGTGCGAGCGAAAATGGGTTCAATTTTATGCTGGTGATCTAGTCGTGAAGATATATGTCTAGCTGGCCTGATATTGAAAGTATCCTGGAATGACTGATTGTAGTGTAGCTTATGAAAGAAGGACAACAGTGTCAGCATCCTGTGCTTTTATAATGAAGCTAAGTTGAATGAAGACTTGATGCCAGTTACGCCTGATGTGCGTAAGTGGTTTTTTTATATGAAACAGGCAGCCTTATTTCGGACATACTCCAGCTTTCGTATGAGATAGGCCGGATGTGAATTCCAGATTAAGGAGGCATATTCTATTTGTGGGCGTACTAGGGTCTTATAAGTGAAGAGTTCGCCAGATGCAAGTTTCGCCTAATGAAGCCAAGAGATTTGGATGCTTTGCTAACAATTGCGTCTATATGAGCATGAAGAAATGAAAAAATATGCAGCCCACCATTTCAAATTTGTAAATCTGTGCATGTACTAACAAGAAACAACAAGGTAACAGTGATTACCATTAGAGTAAACAGAGTCATCCATCTTCTTGCCTAAGGTTAACATCTCTAGGCGGTCACTCTCATCTTGTTGAGATTCTGTAACAGGTGCACGAGAATTTAATAAGTTTGTCCGCATGACAAAAAAAAAGTACTCTGCATGAATTTGACTGCCCTGTTAGCAGCAAAATGTGCACTCAAAGAACAACAAGCACTGCATCAACACTGGGAGAGATGTAAAAACAAGTATCACAAAGGTGCTATAATGTGGATAATGCTTAGACGCACTGATACCAAAACAAGTTTTATTTACTCTTGTATGATATTTTGTAAATGTTCTGTAGAGAAGCAGATTGATTAACTAAATTAAAAGAAAAGAATAATGAAAAGAGAACAACTTACTTTCTGGCATCTCAACCGGAGATTTCCGCTCCCTGCTTTCTCGCGCTGCAAGAGCGGTGGAAGAGAAACACAACAAATATAACTTTTGTCACGTGTCACAGACAGGTGTCTACAGAATAAGATGACTGAGTGAGATAGATACCTTGCTCGGGATGTTGAAACCGAAACACGTGAGACTTCCCCAAGATTACTCGGGAACCAGTCTTCAGTCGAATGGAGTCCACAATCTCCCGCCCATTGACATATACGAGGGCTCCTTGGCATGGGTAGAGAGTGACAGTGCCTGCGTAGATGCAAAGATGCATTATGAGGCCCAGCTCCGATTCTCTGTGATACCCTTGGTACGAGCCACCAGCATATGGATATGATGGAGAGCTAGTTCTATGTTATAAGCATATAGAACTCATGTCTGAAAGGTATGAACACTGCTGACAGACAGGAAGAGTTGTTGGTTAAGTTATCAATCTGAGGGCCTCTAACCAGATGTACTACATCTGTGATAGTGAAATAGCTAACTGTATCAGTAACAAAAGAAGGTCATAATGAAAGTCATTTTGGCAAGTTGTACCAGCATGGAGATCTCAGCAAGTATATTGAAAATTAATAGAATTTTGGTTGAAATACCTTCATTGTTTTCAAACCAGCAGTGCTCATTCAGGATCTGAGAGCCACTAAGTCTGATGTCCTGAGCGACATTTGCATCTGGCCTTCCCACTCTATAAAAGAAACAAGAAAAAAATAAGAAAAATTCAGAATTAATGTTTTTTTACTTAACAAGCAAAATAGTCACAATCACAGTAACACTATGCACTGCTCACACATTGTAACACTAGCAAAACCGCACCATACACTTGAGTCAGTGAACATATGCTTAGCTGAAGACTAGGACATGCCCGCACACATTCAATAACAGCAGAAAATAATATTAGGGCACTCCAAGAATTCTCTCAATGAAGTTCAATAAAAGTTTGAAGCACTAAGAGCATGCCACTATTTGTTTTCTAAGGTTGTGCAGACAATATCACCAGGCTCCTAAAGCTCTGCACATTTATGCAGTTGTTATGAAACCAGTCTCAAACGTGAAGGCGCACACTTAATAAAAAGTTGTTTCTTTATTAAACTGTTCCTTATACACCACACATTCAGGCACAACAGTCTGTATACTACGAAAACCATCGTGTTATAATCTATCTTGTGTAGTATACATACAAGACTATTTTAAACTAGACAAATCAGATTAGCAGAAACCCTCGCTTTCTAGACTGGCACACTTTGGGAAAACATGGTAGTCGGGGAGAACCAAGAGTGGGAATAATGCTGGGGTTCACGATTGATATGGGCGCGGAATGCTCTCTAATGCTTGACATCACAACAATGATTTTCAGGCTGTGTGTATATCTCGTGCTTTGGGTATTGTTACTAGACAATCTCCCAGTAATATGAACCACTGCTCACCTTGTTATGCCATCTTTTATGTAATACAGGAGGCACTCAGACATCAGTGGATCTTCGTTAAGATTCACTAAGTGAGGAGTCTGTGAACAAAATGATTAGATGTGGTTACTAATGAGACCGGAACCACAATAAAGCTTTAGAAATGTTCTAATCAGTTAAGTACAACATGGCAGTTATTATTATTACAAAATTGCAACAATGTCCACAACTTTCCTTAACATATATATTACAAATATAATATTTGTTTTTGTTAAATTTATACATAATGCATAAAATCAAACAATACATCGGGCAGTCCAAGCAATGATGCATCGTGCAAGCTCGCAGTAGGTGTGGTAGGAGTTAGTAGAAAGGTTCACACATGCATGAAAGAAACCATCACACTTGACATCATAAAAGGCAGAAATAGATGTTTGTGCAATCGAACTGTTAACATTGTCATCAAGATGAACCAAGTAGCCCAGCAACAAATTGTGATGGCTACCACGTTCGATTTCGCAATGTGTTGCTGTTAATGTTTATCTTTTTTGTAGTAAAGTAAATAGCTTGCACTAAAAGAAAAAGTTTCAAGAATCTTACCTTTTTCGGAGAGAATACACCTACGGTGTCACCATCTTCACGGAGTGCTACACCCATTTCAGCCAGAACAGCTTCCCTGTGAAATGGGAAGAAAAGAAAACACTATAGCAGCGGTCTTAAACTCGCTCTAGCTGGTGGGTCATAGTATTGAAGTTTAGTCCCGCATAGGTCAGGACAGTGAAGAAGGTAAAAGCAGAGGGGGGGGGGGGGATTAGTTTGAACAAAATGTCATGTAATTGCCACATCTCATATGTTGGTCATTTCTAAAGGAAATTTGGAGCGATAATTTAAGAAACATCGATGATGTTCTCCGGAATGCCTGAAATCTGAATGCCGATTTCGGGATACAGATGTGTTTTTGCTCCAAAGTGATGTTTCAATACATGGTGACAGCAGAGAACGTCTCATGAAAAAAATGCTTTAGATCATGATTAAAACACTGCGCTACAGTTCCTGGGACCTAAAATGTTACAGGACACACATTGCCAAGTGGACTCGACACGTGTGTCCTCTCTAACTTGTTTATGTCCCAGTAACTGTAGCATGGTGTTTTGATCACGGCAAACTAACTAGCCCAATATCTCACTTTGCTGGTGCTTTAGATCGGTCACGCCTACGTATCTCATGAACATAATTATTAACAAAATAACATGGTAAAGAAAAATATGGGATGAAAATGGTTGTGTGGGGCAGGCCACTAGCAAGAGGTCCACAGGCTGCACTATGGGATGAATTGGCTCGCTAACATAGTGAAGATGAGAGGGGTTACAAAATAAGAGAGATTTGGTTCCGAAACAAGACCTAAATCAGTTTCTGTATAGTGTTGCTAGTCGAGTGACTTCACAAGTCATAAAACAAAAAGGGCACAAGAAGAAACATTCTAGATCTCCTTGGGTGTTTTTTGCAACACATGTTTGTAAAACGAATATACATGGCAATGAAAGGATAAGTTGTCGTCGGCAGTATGCCCTCGTCGGCAATATCATCGGCAATGCCCTCATGGCGCTGCAGGTACTTGTATAAATAAAAAAAATATGTCTCTTCAATATCTACACACACCCTTTCAGCAGCATTTGAAACTCTCTTGATTTTCTGCACCGCGTGCACACTAAATGACAAGACGAGTCGAGAGGATAGCCCACCTCTGTAGCCGTATGGCCTCCGTCTTCTTCAGCTTTTCTTCCCAGGTCTCATTGAGCTCAGCAATGAGCTTCTCGGACTCCTGGAGCTGTTCTATCGCATTCTCCGAGGCCGCAGAGACAGATAGGTGCGGTTTCCGCTTCCCAGTCTCCACATTCATGTTGTCGTCAGCTGCCACATCACGTTAAAATTCAATTAAATTATGCATGTTACAGGTTGCTGCATTTTAGCCAAAAAATCTTTACTAACAATACCCGATCAAGTCCAATCAGTATTCATTACGTCATTGCAAACTAGTGCAGAAATTTAAAGGCAGTGTTGCCACAGGTCGGTTTTCTTTTTTCCTTTTCAGTTTGTTATCCATATTCACTAAGCTTATCCTGATCCCCTCTTTTCCTTACTGTTTACGTGCCCTTAACCCATATCAAAGACACAGACATGGTATGGAGAGTTAATTAAGCATAAACATGAGGTCAGATTACGAATAAGAGCTTAATTTATTCATGAAGTATTTCAAGATGACAGAAATGACAAGTGTAAGGCTGGTTTACGAATGCTACAGAACAAGTGCCATAAGTTGATGCTGTTACTTGGCTAAGTTATTCAGCAATCAGTGCAATGAGTAATGCGTTAGTGAAAAAATGAAAGCATTTAAGGCACCCGGCTGTGATCAAGCACAATGGGAAGGACGCTCACCGTCAACGTCGATCCCTTCAGCCAGGAGCAGGTTTTTAAGACGAGAAATCTCATCCTTGAGCTCCCTGATGAGTCGAGCATTAGCATCCTCATTGATGACAGCCTTGCAGACAATCTGTTTCGCTCTGTCAGCATACCTGCATTGTGAGTGCACCAACAAAGAAATTGCCTCGCATGAATCACCCACATACAGTCTACGTGTGCACAACCTACATACGAGTAACCTATATACTACTACACAAAGTGGTCATTGCAGCCACTCATCACGACCACTTGCAACTATCTGAACAAATTATGACTGAGAAAAAGTGAAAATCTTGTTTAGTGACATCCCCCTTCACTGTGACAACACTCAGCTCTCAATAAAGGTGTGCAAAAAAAAAGAGAAAGAAGAAAATAAAACAGATAATGTCAATCAGTGCACATTATTAAAGAGTTATTGTGGTTTGGTGCACATATACGTCTGTCTTTTAATCACATGTGTTCTTCTTCATATGCTACTTTTTCTTTACCTTGTATTTTTGTTCACTAGCACAAGAGATGCCACCAGTAATGATTGGTTGGTCGTCTTTGAGACCTCCTTCTGTATTAAACAGCTCTGCACTAGCATTTCTATTACACTAAAAACTTCAATATAACGAAGTTGCATCTTGCAAGAAAATAAGCTTGTTATATCCGAATATTCGTTATAAAGGTTATTAACAACACTGTATTTAATGTAAAACAGTTTTTCATTTACTTTGTTATAACCAATGTTTTGTTATATCTGTGTTTATTATATTGAGGTTTGAGTCTACATGCAACAACTAGCAGTTTGAATTTTGTAATGAAATTTAGAACAAAGCCCATACAACCCTTCATAAATACCACACACGTTTTCTTGTCAGGCATTCCATGCTTTCAGAAATGTAACTTGTTCGAAAAGCACTTCAGTTGACATCTTTTCAAGGAAGTTGGCTCGTACTACATCACACAAAACTCTGCTCACAAAATGCCAATATAATTTAACTGTTCATTCTAAATGTTATTCTTTTGGTTTTCTGACAGCATCACTCATGATTATGCAACTATTTTTCTCTATTTTGAAATATGCTAAGGAACTTCTGTAGGCTTTCTCCACATCTACCAGGCTGCCAGACATCCAACATACAGAAAAACAACAAGCTTTTAGAGCTCACTATGTGAAGCAGCATGTATTAGGTATTTTTTAATCATCATATACACTCAAACCTCAATATAACAAATCTGGATATAAAGAAATATTCATTATAATGAAGCAAATAAAAAATAATCTTGCAATAGATATGGTATTAGGAATGAACCTTTATAACAAATGTTTGGAAATAATTAACTCTTTTTCATGTACGATGCAACCTTGTTATAATGAAGTTCGGGTGTATAAAGAGATTTTAAGAGGGAGTACTTGGGAATCATAACAACACTAAGGGTTCCAGCTTCATAACACGATGTTTAAAGCTGCTGATGAAGGTGAGCAGCACGGAGGTGTGTTCTGCACACTGGATGGGCAGTGGACTCTTAGCTCACCTCAATGTGCTAAGCGTCTCCTCGTAGTTGATGTCGGCTGGGCTGATGGCCGCAATCATGGCAGTTTTTGAGTTGCCACCTAAAACAAACAAATTCACGTGGTTAATTACCTTTTGACTGCTAATAAGGTGGACTAAAGAGAGCACACAGTCTTATCAACGTACCTAAATTTTCTCTTAAAAGCCAGGTCAAAACTGAATCTCGGTAGGGAATGAAGTCGCCCTTGCGTTTCTTCTTGGTCGCCTGCAAGTAAACGAAGCGTCAGTTGTTTAGTAGAGAATTCGAAACTTTTCAGCAACAGTTACTCTGTCAGCCTGAATCAATCACACCACAAATTTTACATGCGTAAAATCTGTTGCAGGAACAAGAGCCAATAGAAATGGCCTATGATTCATTGCAAAAAATACTCACCGCCTGGTTTGCATCAGAAGCATGTGGGAAGAAATGATTCGGAAGAATGTTAAAGCATTCTCAAGACTTGGAAAACACTAAAGGAGGGACCTTAATAAGAACTATGTCATAGGATATGAGGAATAGAACACCATTGTAAAAAAAAAAAAACACAGCCACCCTCTAGATAAAACTCTGAAGATTGTGAGTGACGTATATTTGAAAAAAAAAATTTAATGAAGGCAGTTGATAGTCATGTAGCTTACCACTTCAGCAAGTGCAGAAATGACTTTGCCCAGAGTGGTAAGTGACTTGTTGATGTTCGCGCCTTCCTTCAGCCGAGTGCCTTGAGCTCCTGTAGAGTCAGCCCGCTCGCTTCCAGCCAGATCCACCAGGCTGATCTTGCTAACCTGAAGGACGAAAATGCAACGCAGGCGACACTCATATTCACCACTTAAGCTGTAAGCTATGCAATTTACACTGGCTGAACAGGAATTCCAGGCCTTACATCTCTCAGAATCAAATCTGCTCCTCAATTGAATGACTGAAGTCAATGATAATGCCATAACATTATGCACTAGATCCAATTAATGACATCCTAAAACAAATTTGAAGACCTAAAACCCAATTTGTACAAGTACGTGCCATTGTACCTGGGCTTTTAAAGATCAGTGGCAAAATGGTGGACATTATACATCATTCGTGGCACATATAATACTGACCTCCATGCATGTCTCTCTTGTTACCAAGTGATCTATATAGACACTAAAAAAATACTTATGCCTTACATTCCTGCATTGGCAAGGTGTTCCCTTTCTGCTACTATGACTTCCCTTGCCACAGAAACTTTTCACCAAACCCTGGAGAGCCAAAAATAATATCACTGGCATCATTTGTGAGAAAAAAAGATTTGTTTGCAGTAACGTTTATATAAACATTTATGCACATTTTACAAATTGCCGTCTGATTGGGGGCATTCCGCCAGTCAGAACAATGCTACATGCAAGCTACACAATTCTGAACCTACCCTTTCTGTGGCGAGCCCTGTATCCTTGTCAGTCTTCCTTTGGGTGAAGATGATGGTGAACACAGCATGCGAGCGGCTACTGGTCTCATTCATATTGGTGGCTGCTACAGTCCTGCAGTAAGTGATGGTAAAGACACCTTTAAGTAGATGAAGCAACTCATATACAGTTAAACCCCTTTATAGGAGGCAAGCTCCAGGCAGCAATTCTTGTCTTTTATATGAGATGTCTCTTATAATCAAGGTACCTTGTATGCATTTTCTTAACGTGTATTTTACTGTAGGCACACTGGTGTCTCTAATAACCATTTGTTCCTTATATCAGTGTCTCTCATAAAGGGGTCTGAGAGTATAGAAAACTCATTGATTATGAATTTGATAGTGTTGCCAGAGTCATGACAGAAAACTCTGCACCTCGGGCTCCTTCATAGTTTGCTAAAATCCCATAACATCTACGTTCCTGCATTCTGTCAATCTTCACAAATTAATTCATCCAACCTTGTGCAGAGTAAAATAATGCCACATTTTCTTTAACACACCTCATAGGCAATTCACACATATGAAGCTATAACCAACTGAAAGTCAGGTTTTGAAACTGTATGGTTCAAAAAACAAGTTTTTTTTTTATGGGTGCCTAAAAACTTCATTTTATGTTAATAGTGTTCCAAGAGAGGGTGCACACGAGCCACTTGTGTCAACCTTAAACACAAAGAAAATGAACATCCAGCTATGATGTATTGGACAAATTTCAGCAGTGGCGTCCCAGAAGGACCCCAAGACATTTATAGATTGTCTTGTGTTCTTGCGACTTTGATTGTGCTCATTTAGGGCGAAATTAGCCACGCATCTGGCGTCACGCAAAAGACTGTCATTCAGCTTATGGCCATGTAAGTCAATACTTAAATAATTCTTTTACCTGAAAAAAAATTTCACAATTTCGAACCTAGAAATAGCATGGAAGGCAATGCGCATGTGTACCTGGCCTTGTTTCCTTCGTCCATGAGCGAGTGGATGTCATGGTAGGAGGTGACGGCCAACTTGGACAGATCCTCCACGTAGGGGCCAAGCAGGGGGTGCTCACGAACTCGGAGGTTGTTCTTGTTCTTTGGGTTCAGCAAGTCCCGCACTCGCTCGCAGTAGATTTCCATGTAGCTCACCTGTCAAAAGGTCAGGTAAAGTTGTCACCGGCGTGAACCGACATTGTACATCTCCCAGTGTCTCCCAGTAAACCAAGAGGAAAGAGCAAGTTTTAAAAACCCTTCCAGCACTGACAGTGTCAATTGACACTACCACACATTTTTCCCCCAGCACCTTAGAAATAAAGCCAAAACTGCTCATTCTTAAGGAAATAATATTTAAATGATCCCCACAGCGATTGACATCAAAATGTGGCATGTTTGGGTAGCTCGAGGTCTGAAAGAAAAAAAGAAGCTTGATCGAAGTCTTTGCTGAAGCCAAGGCACATAATCTGAGGTGGGTAAGGCCATATTCGAGATGATGTATTAAAGCTGTTTAAATGAGTATCACACATATCTTGTGTACTATAGTGAATTGCTGCAATAAAAAAGCTATTTTTCTCATTTGACAACCACTAAGCCTTGATGACCTAACTTGACACCATGTTCATTAATCCATAAATACTAGCACCACTGGCTCTACGCTTCGTTTGTGGTCTTCTGAGTTCCTAACTATTAGGAAAACATGCACAAGAAAAGTCTCCAAGGAAAATAAAAAGTTCAAGGCTGAAAAGGCCTTTTGTGAATATTTATCCCAGCAGATGTAAAAGCATCAATTAATGAAAAAGCCTCCTCAAGGCTAACGCTACTCTACCGTACAATGCCTTGTGAAAGGTGCCAACTGCATAGAATACCATTTCTATGACACAGATACCTACTGCGCAGAATACAAATTTTACATCATAGGTAGCTACTGCATAGAATAGAAATTCTATGCCATCCCGATTGAGGGCTCTACCTCTAACCCGAACGAGAGCGCACACGAGGCCACGCGAGGACTCACTGACTGTACCGCCTTCACAGTCCCTCTGCCTCGCTGGGAACCCTTACTTACGTTCAACGCAATAACAAAGTACTTCTATCTGTCAAGAAGGGTATATCCTCTCCCACACCCGGCCTTGTGCAGGGCGCAGGCAGTCACCCTAAGACTATTGCAAGCCAGTGCGTATCCTAACCCTGCGGTTCTACATGCCATCTACCCTGAACGGTATCCAAGTGCGGATTGTCCCGCTTGTGGACTGTTAGCCACATTTAATCATGTGTTGTGGGAATGTGAAGCCATCGGTCCCGTCCTCAGCGAGGACAGGTGGGCTGCACTCTTAACGCAGTCCCAAACTTAAGAATCAAACCCTGGCCATCCAGAATGCCCGTGAACGGGCCGCAAAGCTCGGCTTAACGGTCCCAACGTGGGATTAGCTGGGTGGCGCGGGGTCTCCCCTGCGTCTTCTCAGGACAAAAATAAAGTTTTAATCAATCAATCCCTGCAAATAAAACAGAAATCTGGTTCCAGGCTCTAAGAACAAGCATTTACATTCGTCCCAAGCCCGAGTCTATATAACAGCTCAGTGATAATGTTCATGTGAAGTAGCAACTGTCCTCGGCTTGAAGGTGAATGCAAGCCTATGAATAATAAAAGAAATAACCTGCAGCACATTTGTTAGAGAAGATATGCACAAGCTAAGTGTCATGCTTTTGTCTAGTCTAGCACTAATATTATGTTTGTGAGTTCAGTCCAATAAAAGACACAGCTCCACATGATACAGAAATTTCAGAGATAGGTAGATAGCTGATGAGTCAATGCCTTCTGCATTGCATGCTACACAAATTGATACCGCTTAAACCTTAAAAAAATATAGAAAGCACAATGATGTTGATGGAAATGAACCTCGTGATAGCCTTTCTTTGTGTTACTTTTTTTCATTCACCTAAACGATATAAGTCTAAAACTTCATTAGCAAGTTGGTGCATGGACTCATTAAGGAGGATAATGGGTGTAGGGGTATGCTAAGACATTGTACGAGCCATTAAGAAGGAAAGAAAGGTGTCTTCTTCAATAAAGTTCTTGACCGGCTGACTGACCTGTCAAAAAGTTTGTGTGCTCTAATTTAGAGAAGTGCTTCTACTGCCTAAGTTTACATTTCCAAGAGATCTCTGCAGAACAAAGATGTGTCATTCGAAAATGAAAAAATGGAAATTCGACAAAAAAAAAGAGGAACCAAATGAGTCAAAAAGAGCAATAATAGGTCGCAGCACAATGGAGCCGAGGCAGTGTTCCTTAAAGACTTGGTGGGAGACCAGACGCCGAGCAGAAAATGACACTTCCGCAACGGGCACTCTGCCAAGACACCAGTTGGGCACAAAGCCAGGAAGGCGACCAAAACTGTGTAGACGTTCAGGGAGAAAATAACCCACTTATTCAGCTCTGCTTCCCATTGTTTCTAGCTCTTTCTTAATGCCAAACACCAGTTTTACGTTCCGACCACTTATTCCGTCATTTGTGTGCGGCGCTCGCTAAATGAGCTTGCGAATGTATCAGCAGTGGCGCTGATGTCCTGGTTTATTTTAGTTTCCTTGGCGCTCTTACTGTGAGCGTAAAAATTAGATGAAGGAAAGGAGACGTCAGTTGCGAACTTCTATATAAACATTCTTTTTCTCCCTAACATACTATTGTTGTACAGTTAGCTAGCAAAAATTTTGCATCGAACTAACTAAAAATAACATGAAGTGCCTTCTGAACAGCGCTACTTTCTTGCTGAAAGCCAGGAGAGCAAGACAAAACTGAAGAAGTACTGACACAAAAACTTTAGAACTCAATTTTTCTGTTGCAGTAAGTAACCAGCGACCCATTTGTTGCGGCTGGAAACCTTGTTTTCCGGAGAACGTGATGGTTAATTATTTGCAGAGCTTTATAACGGCTAGTTGCAGTTTTGTTTTAAATAGTGCCAAGTGAGGGGAGGTCCAGAGTGGTTTTCATGTAAACATAACTGGCTACGTGGGCACACAACACTGCATCCCACAAATTGTCTCGCCAAAAAAATTTTGAGTTAGTACTCTTCAAAAATAAGAGTGCGGGAAAGAAGTCATTTTTCAAGGAGTTTCGTGTCCATCTAAGTAGCAACAAAAGCGATGTAAGTAAATTATTTCGACACTGCTGTAAATACCCCCCCCTTTATTTTTAAGCAACTTTCGCAATTTAATGGCCGCTAAAATGTGCCCGTACTATCAGAAATGTCATGATCGGCCTGTGTGCTCTGTACAGAGCTATACAGAGCTGTACAGAGCACACAGGCTGCCGGTCATGAGATCCCCACGCGAGGTGTGGGTCTCAAAATTAGTCTTTCCCTTGCGATTCCTGTTTCTTGACGCACTATTGCACTAGAATGTGCACACATTTTCCATGATCCCTCAGACGAGCTGAGTTGACCAAACGTTACTTTAGACAGCCGCACTTCATTACAGGCAAAGAGTGAGGAGTACAGTTTAGACCACGATTGATTACGAGTACAAACAGCATTGCACTTGCCTCTGAATGTGCTTAAATTAGAATGGCTCAGCCATCACAGTTAGCAGTAAAGGGGCCCTGCAACAATTTTTGAGCATGGTCAGAAAATGCTGAGATTGAGGAGTACAGTTTAGACCACGATTGATTACGAGTCCAAACAGCACTGCACTTGCCTCTGAATGTGCTTAAATTAGAATGGCTCAGCCATCACAGTTAGCAGTAAAGGGGCCCTGCAACACTTTTTGAGCATGGTCAGAAAATGCTGCCGATCGGTAGTAAAGCCTCCCGACAACACGTGAGCCAAATTATATAGCGCAGCACGCATAGAATTCACAATAAATTATCAAAGTCAGCTAAAAATTGCTTTCTCTTCTCTCGACAAATCACGGAATAAGCCCAAAGATTACTCATAGTAAGCCTATCTATCAGCCATTGGCTGATTTGTACATGGCATGCTCGGCTGTTACAGAGGTCGCCGCAAGAGGCCGTTACTTGTCCACGCGCGCGCGATCACACTGAAAAAGTCGCGTATACGAAGAAAAAAGTACTCAAGGTCACGAGGCGTGAGTAACATTTTTGTTTGCCCCTCCCATCCCTCCCTGCTTAGCTTCCAGCGCTTTCGTCGAGACGAGAGAAGAGAGAATGCGATTGCAGCGTGACAAATCTTTGTAACTTTTCTTGTACAGGACAGATTCTTAAAATTTTTCCGGCATTGAATTTGGGAGGTAATACGCTTTTTCAGTTAATTAATTCCATGGTTACTCAAAAAAGTTTTTCAGGGCCCCTCTAAAGTAAGCTGTCACAATGACGGGAATAACTGTTTCAGTAACTAACTATATGATACATACTACGTCTACGGTAACAATCTTGCTGCTTAAAACACTGCCTGCAAACCATGGTGATGAGTATATGAAGCCACCCCCATTCTCACCTCTACAGAGTAGAGCATGTCCTCAGACACGTCCTCCTTGATTTTGCGGAAGAGGTCCTTACAGATGTGTGGGATGATGCCCTCCTGCCCTTCCTCCTGTCGACCCATCATGGTATAGCTTTTCCCTGCACCTGTCTGTCCGTAGGCAAAGATGCACACGTTGTACCTGTCCCAAGCAAAAAAGAAAGGCATATTTTAATTACATCTTCAGGGACACCTTCCAGTCGTGAATGTGAGAGAAGAAAAACCATTTTGACATGAGGTACTGCAGGGAAGGGTGACAGATAAGGCAGTCACATGTCCTTTTTCTGAAACACATGCGTGCTAGCCTGTAAACTGTTCTTCAAGTAGTTTACAGTTAACTTGTGTTATTTGTGGATTTGTTCATCCTCGTCTCTTTAAGGGCCACTAACCAGGTTTGACAATTTTGAGCTGACAAGCGCAATGCGTAGACAAGGCATCCATGATCACGTCTGCCAAACTTTGCAACGCCACGCGCCGCGGAAATTGGTCAAATTTCAAGATGAAAGCTGCTCCCCCTCCCCTCTGTCGCCGCACGCGTAGAGAATGAGAGCATGACGTAGGCGTAGGAATGGCCCTACGTACACGGCAATGCAGTGACGTTGGGCCTCTACGTAGACGAGTCTGCTCTGAGGTTGTCAACAGTATACCACGTGACATGGCAAAAATTATTTAACACAACATGCGTAGTTTATGTATTTGTCGCTTAAAGATATTAATAAAACTTAAAATAAATAATGAGATACAATAAAAAAATGTGCGCGTTTTTCTTTCATTTTTTACCGTGAAATGCTACGAGATGTGGGGCTAATGTGCCAGCGTTTCACATGCGTTCGGGTTCCCGCGGTCAGCGCATTGAGCAGACGACCGCCGTGGGACGCTCCTACACGTTCGCGCACTCATTGTGCTCATCTACTCTACCGCATCTAAGCCAGTGTTTCCAAACAATCCCGCAGAAACAGGCAGAAGACCACAAATTAACGCTGGTCAACAAAGCAACGCCGCTCGCGTGCACGGGGGCTGGGCTTGTTCGTGCATGTCATGCGCACGTCACCTCTTGGTCAAATGCCTGAAAGGGTGGGGAAGAGGTTTGGCTTGCGAAGGCTACGCGGAGGAGCGGCAAGGGTTCCGAGCTCGTCTCCTCTCACCCTCATTTCGCGCCACTTCAAAAGACCTATTTTCTCCGCTCGTAATGAACCGATTCGAAAAATTTTTGTGGTAAAACGTTCCTCATCGGACACCCAACAACTTCCACTGTCTAACTGAAATTCGGTATGGGGCCTGGTGAGTGGCCCTTTAAAAGGGGGGACGTGGCAATGGGAATTCTAAATTTGGTCAAAATGTTCAGTTTTTAAATTAATTTTTTTCTAGAATCCTGAGACCATGTTTTACATCATAGCGCAATTTGAGACCAAGATATCTAGTACTAGTTGAGTAATAAGCATCTTACAGGTGGGCTGTGGTCAAAAGCTATGTGAAAATTTGGCATTGCAAATGCAAATTTGCAGCTTTCCCTTGGCACAGTGCCACCATACAGGCATGATCATAAAGAGGACATATTGGAGCTCCAATAAAAAATAAAGCCAGCTTCCTTCCGAGTTTCGTTTTATCAGCCTCTGCTCCAATTTTTTTGAGCTCCAGTTTCTCAGCTTTCATTTTTTGAGCAGTTGCTGTCGGTCATCCCTGTGCCATTTCAAAACAAATTAAGCTATAGCCATTTTATTTCCTGCAATTTGATTCTGAGACATTGACGAGTGCCGTAAAGTTATCCATATTTACGTTCACATGATACAAACTTTTATAACTGGCTCTTCGTAAAAGTTGTTAATAAGACAATATGTTAAGGAGACTTCAGAAAGAATTTTTGTGTGCTTAATTAAATAATAAAAGTACACCAATAGCATTACGTCACAAAATTGACCCTTGCGAATATCCTTATGCAAAAAATTTTGACAGACATGTGTCTAATTAGCTAATTAATTTTGGGATGACAATGAGAGTCTATCAAGTGTTGTAACTCAAAAGTTATATCAGATAGCTCAAAAGTAATTTCAGTTATGATATCAGTACAAGAAACGACATCTGAACGCCGAATTTCATTTCTTTAGCTTCATACAAAGATAATTTTCATTACCACATTACTCTTAAACATCTGCAGCTGCATTACAGAGCTCCCACATAATTTTTTTTTTACTTTAGTTACCCCAAAAAAAACAATGCAATGAAATTAATGTTTTGCATAAAGTAAAAATTTCCATGCAAAAATTATTTTAGTATTACATGGTAGAAATGCATTGTACAAATTGAGAAAATGTTCAACCAAACAACTGCGCAAATCGACTGACGGCCAAATTTCACAAAGTTATAGCTTGGAAACAGCTATATGTCCTTAGCCACTTCAAAACTTAGGTTTCAAATGGTTGCATCGAGATATACTAAAAGTAGAGGATCTAGTTAATTGTTAACTTTGAAAATTCTCAACAATGCAAATAAAAAAAAGAAAATGTGTAAAGCCATTCCCTCTCCCTTCTTCCCGCCCCCTTTTTTTTTTTCAACATTTAGCCTTATATTGTTTGTGTTTTAGTATCAATGAAAGCTACTATCAGCATCCATAAAAGCTGCTTTCGTATATTTCTCTTACCCTTCAAAGGCATGTAAAAGCATTTCTTCTCCAATGTCATCGTAGACTTTGTCTTGAGAGGCAAAATACACATCTGTTGGCTGTAAAAGAAAAAGTCAGTGTCACTGCTTTCTTATGAAATTTGTAACGTTGACAACAACACAAGGAGCAATAGTCTGCGAAAAGTGGCTGTCACACTTCCATCGCTCGTTTTATTAATTTTTGCCTACCCTTTATAGGAAGTGATTAACTTCCTTGCACTGTTCCCAGCAGATGCAAGAGGGTCAATAGCGAACGGCAAACAGAACACAAGTTTTAAGGTGTATCGGCGTGGCTCTAGTATTACACGGTGAACAATCATAACCATAAACTCTGGATCGAGTAGCCTCACAGATGCTTGACAGAACACAGAACAATACAAATACTCAGTCGTATAGAAGTTGTTTTAATAAGCTCCACAAGAAAACTGAAGGACCCATTTTTTTTGTTAGCCACAGTCATATGAAACATTAATTTCAGCCTAAATACCAGTTTAAAAGTACAGAAAGTTTCCTATATGGCTTTCTCGGCTTCATCTAAATTTTAAATGCTTACTTCTTGCAGTGACAGTATCATTAGTAAAGGCATGCACGAAAGTCTTGGGCTTGTTTGTCTGGTTGTTTATAAATGACATGTGTTCAAGATTCCCAATTGTTCCTTGCTTTATTTTTACAAGCATACTGAGCCCTCTACATAAGAGGCACTGCACAGCAAAATAGAGATACTAGTTGATAAACTTACATCATGGGACCAATACGAATAGTCATAGTTGAAACTTTTTGCAGCTTCCTTGCAGCCAGGTGGTGCTTTGGGATTCGTGATTGCTGCAAAAACAGCCAGTTCGCAATTTCATGCGTTGGTCAAGCAAATTTTCAGCATAAAGTGATGAAAAGCACTTGCTGGTGTGTTGAGAAAATTGTGAAAAAATGCAAAGCATAAGTGGTGGAAATTGCAGCATCAATTTAGACATCCTGCAACAATCACAAAGACAGTGAAAACCCAAAATATTGCATAAAGAATAGAGGTGAGCAAATACTAGAGATTTTCAAATAACAAAACGAATAGCATTCTATTCAATTAAGTACTTGAAACAAATAGTGTACATTTGAAATACGGAATATTTTTCATATAGTTTTCAAATAATCGGCAACGAGGAAAAATGCTCGAGGAAAAGGGACGAGGAAACTGCAAGACAAACTAGCTTTTCTTGTTTTCATCATTGAATTAGCCAGATACATGCAGCCCATGTACTTACAGCACTACCAATGCCATAATAATCACAATCACCAACGCAACTGTGTCAGTAATTAGCCATTTTCCGTCTTCACTATGAAATTTAATGATCCCGTTGATTCATGAAAATTGCTTTAGGTATCAGTTTTATTTAAAAGCTGTTGACAAAGTATCACCTTGAATGCTATATTTTAGCCTACAATTATAGAATATTTGGAAGACTCAATTACTGCTGATTTTAAATAATTGTAGTATTTTTTGCTGGTCAAAAATAAATACAGTTTCTCAATGCTTGCGAATATTCGTTTCAAACTAAATGTAGAATTCTAGGGCTATCTCAAGTATGGTTGCCTTAACATTCAAAAATTATTTGAATAGTAATCAATTCATATTCAATGCAGTTCTGAAATCGACTATTCAAACATCCTTCATAAAAAACAGTATCAGTGCTGCATTTACATATTAAATGCTCGTAACAATGTAACTACCATCAGTACAGTCTGACCCAGTAAACCAAGCATTACAGGAGATATTCGGTAATTTCATAATGAAAAAAATTATACCATTGTGAGATCTACAAAAATAGTAATGTCCAAAGAAAGTTGCTAAATGAGCCCAGGTGTGTTGCCTGGCCTTTTCCTACCAACTACTTGAGGGGTGCTGTCTGCTCACTACTTGGTAAAAAAAAAATGACACATTGTCTCAGAACAGCGCTACGTCAACGCAACATCACTGCAATGCAACAGCAGCAGCGCCTTGAATATGTGATCTCATACAAATAACTGTCAAATTTTGTTGAGAAGGATTCACTGAAACAAGCAATTACAGACAATGTGTGTGCCAGTACATCACGCAGCTTGAGGTAGCTTGATAGCGGCAGAAAAGCACCTGTTGTGTTTCCGCTCATGGAAATGATGCACTTGCAGTCCCTGCTCGTCTCGCGGTTGTTGAAGGGCCGCACCCTCACTGCGACTTTCACAGACGACATGTCCACCTCCTCTCAAGAGCAACAGGGGCGAGGAGGTGGGATCAGATGGCTGAGAGGTCGACCTGCAGGTGAAAATTTTCGCAGTGAGTAAAAAATTTGAGATGGTCAGTGAACTGGCGGAGTCAAACATCCCTACGCAATGTGGAGGTGGTATGTGACACAGCTGCAAGACAGAAAGTAAATTCCGTGTTATTGTGTTGCAGCCTTAGTCGCCTATAGGCTGCCGCCCTAGCCAGGTGACTAACTCGTCAAGAAAGAGGTGCGTGATACGACTGTAGATGATCTCTCTAAGGTCCACTGACACAGAAAGCTTTCATTTGCCTTTGCCCATAAACTGTGGCAATCTTGGAGTCATGCTGACCATGCACAACACATAGCAACTTATTTTATGTTAGTCTTTTGTAATCATTGCGTTTCCACTTTTTGGCTTCTGCAGGTGGCTGTGATATTCCATCAAAGGCCACTAATGTCACATAAGCAAAAGTGATCACATATTAAAAAAAAGAGACACTTGTAGGACACTTAAGCTTAGCCTCCAAGAGTAGAATGCGACAGCGTAATTGAGCCTGCTGTGTACCGCCCTCAATCGTGCTGCAAATAAACTTAGAATATTTATGCGTGTCAGTCTGGTCGTTTCAAACTAACCTAAAATGCCTGATGCAAGTACATTTGCAAAGTGCCCACTACACGACGATTCGGCCATTTGCAAATTGACAAAGTACCCGCAATGCAGTCATAAGGCGCCATGCGCACATGTGCAGCAGCACACTGTGTGTAATAAAAGGCAGCTTTAAACTACCCATTCGTGCAATTCATATCATCTGGTGTGATTCTATGATTCTGCCATGCAATGCAACACAATGGCGTTAAAGAGATTGTTTAGAAGAAATACTGGTGTCGTTGTGAGCGTGGTTAGTTGTAAGGAAAAAATCATCTTGTTATAGAGCAAACAAATTGAGAAAGATGCAAATTAAATAAATAATTAGGAACTTCTGTTCAAGTGAGAATCGAACCCAGGCCATTTGCATGACAATCATGTGTTCTACCGCCGAGCCACAGTTTAGCTTGAAAATGCTTTGGAAAACAATGTCATGTACTAGGAAGAGTCTCCCTAACGCATGTAATATTGAGTGGCCGAAGCATAGAATTGTGCCAGGTGTGAAAACATGTGAACTGCGCAACGAGTGAGCATTTTAAAGGCCCACCAATTACAATGTACTCAGACATATTTAATCATCATCAGCAGCAGCAGAACCATCAACAAAGTGAAGTGCTGAGTATGTTTGTAGTGGGCCCTTTGTTAATGGTAGTGGGCCCTTTGTTTGTTAATGTTAACGATTGCATAGTGGGCCCTTTGTTAATTCACAAAAGAAAGAATCATGTGTACAGGGCACTTTATAACTGTGCCTACAGTAGACATTCTAGAATGTCTTATAACTGCCAATGCAGAGTCATTCGTTTCCATATAACATGATTGAGGCACGCATCCACAACGAAAGGTAGGCTAACGATTGAGAAGGTAATGTGCATGAGACCTGATTACACTGTCACATTTCACCTTTGAAAATGAAACTCAAGCATTCTCCAACTTTTATTCTCCTAATACATGAAATACTTATAGAATTTTTTTATGAGGCAATATAAAGCATGGCTGTGGTAGTACAACTGTTCCCATGCAGAAAGTCTGGGTTCAATTTCCACTCGGACTGAAGGTTTTCATCATTTAATTATTTGCACCCATCTTGAATTTTGGCTCACAGACGTCAATTTTCCCCCCACAACAAACTAAACTGCCATCGACACCATAATTTCTACGAAATGGGCTTCGCAACACCATCACGTTAATAAGAACAAAATTAATGGGATTGATAAGTTCAAATTGCAGGCCTATACAATGCATTGCATACGTCTTGCAACTAAGCCTTGACCTAGTTATTGTGTACAGTGTCAGTCAGTCGTCGCAGTGAGTCCTTGCAATACTGGTGCATCAATTTCTGTACATTTATCATTTACAAACACATAAAATCTCAGATAATGAATGAATGAATAAAGCATTCATTGCAGAAAATGGTATTGTGGAAATATAGTAAGACAAGAAAAAACATGGTATGATTTAGCCATATCTTTACGTAAAGTGTAATGATCTAAAAAAAGTGACAAAAGTAACTAAAATGATGACATGCCATGAGTAGGATTTACCTTGTCAGAGATGGGGAACTCTAGCAGGTATATGTAAGGATCATACATATAATGCAGAATACGTGAGTTTCCTAATAATGGTAAATATTTTTTTATCATCCCAAATTAGGCCATGCACGCAGACAGTTTTCCCTATGTTCTCCTTGTCTGCAGGATTCATAGATGGCAACTGACAAAAAATCCAGCGTTTCTTGTTCCCCTTAATAACTTTTTTCTTAAGTTTGTGCATACACGGGGTTGCTTTACTTTTTCGAGACCCGTCACATTGCCAAGCCAAAAAAAAAAAAAAGTTTAATGATGACTGCAGTAAAATTCATTCCATTGATGGCTAAAAATACACGTCAGCGGAAATGCGAAGAAAATGAGGAGCGAAAATCTAGGCGCTAGAATTTTTACCACATATACTGCATTTTTTGCATGTAAGCTCCAATATAAATTATAAAATTCGGAGCTTAAATTTAAAAAAAGAAGCAAAACAAAAAACAACGAATCCCGGTTTGCAAAGTTGGCTTCGCGGCAGTGCTTCACAAGTATGCAGAAAAGTTAGCTTTGCGGTAATACACGGGTATCACTTTTTGAGTTATCCACAAATCGTTTTTGAGGGTGAGGATTATAGGCGAGAAAACGCGGTAGTCGCACAAAGTAAAGCACCAGTGAAACTAGTAAATGCACGAAGAAAGCCTATTGTTAAATTTATGCAAAATAGGAATGATAGGTATATGGAAGTGAATGCGTGCAAAAATATAACTAGAATCACGTCGTGATGTAAGAGTTTTACTGGCCAACTGTCTGATACTTAACTCATTTGCTACGCGACGCCCGTTAAAATGACGTCACGCATTCGCTGCCTTGGCCGCGAGCAGTGTATACAGGCCAAGACTCCAGGGGTTATTTACACGTGCTCAATCGCCAGAGAAACTGGATGCAAGCTATAGTGTGGCCTAGGCCCATAACCTGGAATTTGTTTTCGGGGGGGGGGGGGGGGAGACACTTGTTGAGTTCTTGAAAAACACATAAAAGCTGCATCCCAATTTCAAGTGTAGGGGGGGGGGGGAGCGCTAAGGCAACCTTTGGCTACCGGCCTAGAGCGGATACTAAACTATCTCTGTCGGTGGAGCACCGCGTGAATAACGCGAGATGTGCAGGTTTGGCTCCCAGTCATGCCAAAGTTACCCGTTAACCGCATACATCAGCGCACTGTTTGCAGGCATAATCATTATCTGCAAGACAAATACAGAATTAAAGGTTAAATGTTTTTGCATACTTAAAATGCTTATGTAGTGATAATGAAATTTTTGTTAAAAGTCAATTCTTAAACTCCAAAGTTGCGAAATTAAAAAAAATAATAAGGATCAAGGGCCCCTATAAGTACCAAACAGATGTCAAGCGATTATAAATAACTGTACTAGCTTTTATTTTATTTTTTTACTGATTTGTCTCGTTCCTTTGGTAAATGAGAAACCAAAAATTATGACAACAGGAATGCATCGAAGATGCTAGACCTGGAGACAGCGTGAAATCCTGGCTAGCGGTACACCGGAGGTGCTTTCTAAGGGATGTTCGACTATAGCTTTCTAGTTGTTAAAACAAATTAAAAGAAAAGTTTGCGCAACATTGCCGCACAGTGGTGTTTAGGGGCACGTCCTTGCATCACAAATGTACCCCAATGTGGACACGTACAGGACACCTCAACGATCGCTCTGTGCGAATAGGTCATATACTGGGCCATAAACACATTTATGAATCCTTGTCAAGGGCATAAAGAAAGAAATTCTCTGAATATAACCGAAGCAACGAAGAGTACTGGGCACTACGCTTCGACATGAATTGCTTTGAGCAGCTCTGATATTAACGCTCCGAAAGACAGCGTGACAACCAAAAGAGAAGACCCAGCCAGCCGTGATGCATATGCAAGCTTAACGGCCTTGACATATAGTCCGCAAGTTAGGTGAACAAATACGACATGGTCGGATCGAAATAAATCAAAGGAACATGACAGTTCACATCGATGCGCTGCAAGACATCATGTGACTCGTAAAATACAATGAAATCGAGGCAAAAATGGAGAAGAAAAAGCAACCCTGAAAACAACCGTATGGCAAAAGGAAGCGAACACTGCCCCGTCTGCTACACAAGCGGTGCAGCAGAAATGCGGATTTCATTTAAGCCTAAACTTTCGTTCACCCCTTCACTCGTACTGGTAGAATACGTTCGCCAGCGATACGGCGACACTAATACGACCAAATCGAGTCGATTTCGTAAGCCGACCCGGTCACCCGCCTTGGCATGACTCATGCGGCGCGACAAAACAGTTAGTGCGCCCCCCCCCCCCTCCTGAGAAGCCATTTTTTCTGCATAGCGTACGAGCGCCGCAGTGAAGGCGGCCATCTTTGAAACAAGCACAACAGCAAAAAAAGGGGAGAGAGCGGATCGAGCGTGGGTGGGCGGTTGGGATGGCGATAAACGAACTCCCGAGAAAGCTTCGACTCTTGTTTGACGAAGAACAGCCGTGCCCGATAATCCGTTCGACTCGGGCACCAACCTCCGAGCAAGCGAACACGCAATGAAACCAGCAAGTTTGACGCAGGGACGGCGAAAGACACACATTTCACAGACGACAGGCGTGATCGCAAATTCAAGGACAGCGTCGCAGACGGGAAGCTTACATGCGGGACAAAAGCGTTGTTACGCGGCGACGAGCGAAATAAAGGCGCGTGTACATGTAACGTCAGTATGATCTCCCGGGAAACATCATGTTGTGTAAGCAAGGCCCATCTCTAAAGAAAAGAAAAAAAAATACGGCGATGCCGGTAAGCAGGGCGTTCGGTGGTCAGGTGGGTCCATATGTTTTCGCATCGCATCGCCGTGACTACAACTTAAATATAAACTTAATATTTCCGGACAATATGCGCGTTCTCCCAAACTTACGACGAAATTAAAGTCGGCCCACTTTCTTCGAATTCCGCCCTCCAAACGCTGGGAGGCATTATCATCAACTTACCACTGTCCCACCTACGGTGGGTTCGCAAATTATCCGCAAAATTATTTAAAAAAAAACAGCACGGCATATGTACCTTTCGTTTTCCTTATTCAACGCTACGAGTGAATCATAAATAACCATCGACCACGAGTCATCAAAAAATGATTCATCGCACCTATAGCGCATGGCTCGATGTACACACGTCAATTAGACTAATTACGACTACACTGGAGAAAGCGTAGGTGTAGCTTTCAAAGGATTGCGTGGGAGACACCCTTTTCCTTCCGAACGATATTGCCGAAAAGTCACATCCTCGTCGTTCTTTCCGTGCCCCTCCTTTTAAAAGTACGAATGAAGATTTGGGCCACTAAAGGCTGGGAGACGTAAAAATACGCGGAGATCTGCTTCCGTTAGGCCTAACTCGGGAGCGCTGACTACGAGCGAACGCTTCTATCGATGGGCGCAGTCGACGATAGGCACGACTCGCACAACACCGGGGGCTTCCAAAACATACTGAAACTCGGTTCGGGTTGCCCAGGTATACGTCTACTTCACAGAAAGTAACGAGTCCAGACGCAGTGGTTAGAAAATCGGGCACAGGTGTAGATGCAAATAAAGAGAGGAACTAAATGGACCTAAAAATAGCGGGACTGTACGTAGAGGAGCCAACACAGACCTGCGTTCGAAAGCGACGGTGCGTCAGGGGCGGTTCAGTGTGGAAGACATGGTGGCAACGACGGCATCCTTTCGGTGCGCGAACGATCGACGGGATGGGGACGACAGACGTAGCGGTGCAGCAGACGACGGAAGGGTCAAATCCGAATCATCCTTATTTTTATGTCCTTTCGGCGGTGCTGGGACAGGCAGGCGACGGCGAGTGCTCGCAAAGGCGCCACACTCGGCCACAGATGGCGGCGGCCGGATAGTCAACAGCGCCGGCACCGAGCGATCCCCAATATGTCTGGCCCGCGTCTCTCTCTCCCCTTTCGCGATCCCTCGCTCCCCAAAGAGGGAGCGCGCGCACCTTCCTCCTCTATCCCCACCTTCCCCAAAAGGGAGGACGTCGCTTCTGCGCACGAGCTCGAAACGTGGGGACAGGAGTTTTTATTATGCGAGCCGACGGAGGGGCTGCACTGCGGTTTTGGGTGAAATCGCCACACACGACGCTTGCGATTCTCACGAGGAAGCTTCTCTTTGAGCGCCGAATAAATTTCCGCCGCTTGATAATAGTGTGGTGGTTTGTCTTCGTTTGTCGAATCCGTGAGAATGGTCCATTTTCGTCCGTTTATTGAATGTCATGTATGCACTAGCGTTTTCCACGCTTTCTTTGTTTTTTGTCAAGTTGGAGTGCTGTCCTGCCAAAATAAAAAAAAACTGCCATCATTTCTTACGTTTCCTTATCCCCGTGTGTACTTGGCTATAGTTTCCAACTTCGTGGCGGGAAGGCGCGCTTTAAATTACTTTAACTAATACCATGTTATATTTTTTCTGTACAGCAAAGTATTATAATGAAATAGCGCAGACAATCCACATTATTACCTAGATTTTAAAAGCTATGCTATAACTTCGTGGCGCCTTCCCGCCTCGAAGTTGGAAACTATAGCATGTTCCGAGTTCGTCAACACTGCAGCTCTGTTCTCGCCAGCTGTTCTTAACCGGTGGGATATGCGATTTCTCTTGTAGTCGTACCCTTAGTGACAAATTGAAAATATTTTTTCGTGGGTTTTGTATGCCGTACGTATTACCAAGTACACACGGGGATAAGAAAACATAAGAAACGATGGCTGTTTCAGCTCAACGTTGAGAGACAAGGCATAAACAGATGTAGTTGCGTCAAAACGAAAGAGCCACAAGTTACTTCCCCTGACACGTCATATAAAATAACTCATGTTTTTGAAATAAACAAATGAGTGTTTTCCTATACATGCGTGAAATGGCATCGTCAAAAGCAAACTTGTCGTGAATGTGCGCGGAAGATAGATACCGGAATGCCAGTCCATCGTTGGCGTTTTTCAAAGCGGCTAAGTGCGAGCCGAGCGAAATTTGACGAAAAAAAGAAGCAACAGCGCTGGCACAGGAACACAGACTAGAAGACACAAACACAGCAATCTCACCTACCCAGTGAAACGCGAAATAAACAAAAAACAAATGTGGATACGGCAGGCCACCCGCTCCGTTACGCCCTGCTCAACGCTCGTGCGGCGCACCGAGGATACACAATAGGAGCGAGAAGGACGGTCCGGAGAAAGTGGAAAGGGAAAATACGTGACGTCATCCGGAGCCTGACGTCACCGGAAAACGTCGGCGACCGGAAGACGGCGCAGAAGCGTCCAATGAGACTGGCGCAGACGGATCAATAAACGTCGCGGGCGGTGTTCGCAGTCTAGTAATACCCGCCTTTGATTCGGAGAGAGCAGCAATGAGACGCCACGCCGGTCATACATATTAAATAAGGGTGCGAGAGACGGAACGTTGCTTCCAAACTCATCTTCGCGAGTTCTCTTGACCAGAACATGACCATTGATAAGATAAGATTGTCATCGGTGTTATTTGACGCTACAGAGGGGCTTATCGGCTTAAAAGTTAGTCGGGCTCACCCTATTAAGTTAGTGTCGGTATACATACCTACTTTACATGCATCGAAAAGCACGAAGCCACAAATATGGCAAAACTACACGTAAAGAAAGACTACATTACATTACTAGTTATTTTTCCAGAAATGTTTTATGTAATTGAGTTAAGTTCCCTATTACATAAGGCCGAAATCGATAGCATTACATTACGATTTCCTTTGGAAAGTGATGAAATTAGTTTCACAGACGTTCATAATTCCTGCTAAGCTCAGGTACAATTTATTTACAGCATAGACATTAAAATCTGAGAGATCTTAGTACAACCTCCCACACTTGAAGTTTGGCACTTATTTTAACTTCTATTTGTTAATTTTCTTGACTTTCTTTTTGGGAGGAGGGGGTGGGGGAGTCATCATCACATGGGATAAGGGAAGCGTACACATGCTATATTCTAGACAAAGGTAGTTGGGAAAGTGAAAACTATTCCTTTAAAGCTAGTCACCTGAAGTGACTCATTACGTTGCTGAATTATCAGCCCCAAAAGTAATTGATTGAATTGCTCATTACAGCGAGGAGCAGTTTAGTTACTGTAACTTCATTATTCTAATCCCAATGCTGCCACGTCTATATTTCAAAGGCATGCCCGCGAAAGAATACAGGGCACATTTTGAGGAGAAGACGGTGTACGATATCGGACAGCGAGAGAGATACATCATACCTTTTTTTACAGAAGAAAACATGCCTGAAATGTTCGACAAGCACACACGCGAATTTTCCAGAGCGGTGGGAAGAAAAAAAAAAAAAAGATAGGCGTTACGCGACAGTCAGCGAAAGCAACTTGTCACTTAACGGTTTTATCGATCCCCATTTTCTTCGTGGTAAAAGCGTGTGCATACGTAAAACCTCAGTAAGATTGGATGCGATCGGCGTTACGTAGATCTATAGCGCTATCAGATGCTGAGTCAGCTTATCGGTTTATCGGGAAAACGATCTCCTTATGCGTCGCTTTGCGCGTGCCTAAAACGACAGAAAGAAGACGCACGACTGACGTAATGCAGCCCGTACGAGAAGATTCGACGCTCACAGGTTTAACTTATTTGAAGTACACACACAAAAAAAGGCATTCACTTTTTTTTTTTTTTGTGGACTGAGAGGACCAGCGAGAAACCCTACAGGAAAGCCTATTCCAGAGAACGAGATCTCAGTCGGTTCAAGAGTGTCCGTTAGGATAACTCACTCTTCTTGCAAGTCTTGCCGCTTTCAGCGATGTCAGCTTGAGAAAAGGTGGAACTGAAAAATACCGTTATCACGCGCGCGCGTATTGCGCAACCACGGCTACATTGCATAACGTGCTTTTTTATACAATAGCAAGGTGTCTATGCCGTCAGAGCAATACGGTGTGACTGCTTCTCTCGGTTTTATATATATAAAAATGAAGATGCAGCACTATCTTTTGCACCATGTGCGTGTTCACTGGCCGATTGGTTACAGTTTTATTCGGAATGTGGTCCACGGTATAAACGCTGAATATGCCCCCCCCCCCCAAATACAAAAAGAAAAAAAGAAGAAAAGAGAAGCCTACGGAATGAATACAGTTTAAACTCGATTCAACCTATGAACACGCTCGAATTATTGCGTTAAATTGTGAATTTCGTAAAATAGAGAAATATTTCTCAGCCCTTAGAAATAAAAAGTATAACGTAGCGACACCCAAACGCACGTCACTGCGTCGCTAAACCCACGTTAACCCACGCCAGCACAGCTCGCGGTCTGAGGGCAGCCAGCCGGACAAACTGTACACCATGTCCAGTCAATGCAGGCCCAGTAGGCGGCCACGTCAAACTATGATAACCTACCAATATGGGATGACGAGGAGAACGAAAGCAGTGATTATGCGAGCAGGCCGAGAGAGAAAGTTGCGAGGAGATGATCGATGCATGAACCAACAAACAATGAAAGCTATCACCACCGCCTCTTGAAATCATCCGGCAAATGTAAGAGCGCTATTGATTATCTCGTAGTCGCTCTGTGCATGAACACGGAATGCAGCCTGGTTCACAATAAAGCTAGCGACATAACTGGAGCGTCTCTAGTTTTTCAACTTAATTACGTCACAGCGCACAATCAAGAAAAAAAAATAATTTTGCTTCAACGCTCAGTTATTTCAAGAGAAACTTCATTAAATCGGGTTCAATGGCCACATTTGTTCGGTGAATCGGGTAGACAACAATATTAAATTATGTAGGTATTTACCGGTGAACGGAAATTCTTTCTCGGGGGAATTCGTAAGATAGGGTTTCCCTAGATCGAGTTTCATATGTTCAACGTGTTCAAGAAGCTAACCACTCACTGTTCATGCGAGCACTGACAATAGACGCCTATAAAATGCAGCTCAAATGGAAGTCTTTCGTGAAATCAATCTCGTTCGTTTTTTTTTTAATTCTTTCAGGCATAGAGCAATTCTGCTGAAATTCACTGCGCATGACCAAATTTCACGCCCGGGTACAATATGGGAGTTGCGTGCTCGTCCGCGCGCTTATCCTTCGGTGGGGAGAATCGTGTGCCTCGGCCTTTCAAGGGAACGATTGCGTTAGTTGCCTGGGCTCCATTCGCGAAAAGAGCGCGCGTTTCAAACACAGCCAACTAACAACTGGGGCACTCCCTAGTTCGCATTCATGACTGTACCTATGATTACGTTTCGTGCATCGTTTTATTGCGATAGCAATTATATGTACATACATTCTCTGCTGGATTTTGCCGTCGACGTATATATATATATATATATATATATATATATATATATATATATATATATACATATATATATATATATATATATATATATATATGTGTGTGTGTGTGTGTGTGTGTGTGTGTGTGTGTGTGTGTGTGACGCTTCACAAGTGAATGTGGGGAAGAAAGAGGAGGAAGACGAAGGGTCAGAATAAACTGGTGTTCTGACTGACGCCATGTCTCATCCGTTACATATATATATATATATATATATATATATATATATATATATATATATATATATATATATATATATATATATATATATATATATATATATAGTAACGCAAGAAAGAAAAATAATCCAGAAAAAGATTCCGGCGCGCGAAATCGCACGTCAGACATCTGAATTGCGAGTGCGAAGCGTTAGCCACTGAGCCACGAAGGAGCACATTCTTCAACGTTCAAACTGCAATCTCTTTGTATCTACCACTCACCGCTAGTGATGGGCATCTCGGGTAGAACAATCGTGTCTTCAGCATTATTAGCGAGATGGCGCAATGAGCGCGCGTCGCCACATCGTCACGACACGGCGGCGCACGCTCTCATCTCCCACGTGTACTTTGCCCCGCGGAGAGGGGGAAGAGTGGACGCTCACACGT